GTCTCAGGACCAAAGTAGAATTATGCTACAAGCCAGCAGATGCATACAACGCAGTAGAGTAATAATGAAAGCAGAGTATAGAATTAGGTTATATACCTAAGAACTTAACACAGTGATGGGCCAGTAGGTGAAATTCTATAATATAATAGGTTAGACGTTTATAACGTGTAGCAGCAGCAACTTTAACTGCAAATTGTCGCAATAGCAGAGCAACAGCAGCTCAGCGTCAAAGGCTTAGTTACCAGCCTTGAGCAAGTGGAGCCCGATCTTCTTGATGAGAACGCGCGTTCAGAAACTCCCTAGTCGCGCGGCTCTCGGTGTGGGGTTACCCCAGATTTCCAACAGTGGTTCACCATTTCTTGAGCGGGGCCGGCCGGCCTGCCAGACGAGACATGGCTAGCGAGCAGAAGAAGAAGTAGGCAAGGCATGTGCGACATAAAATCAAGTTAACCATAACGCCATTAATTTGATCCTGCTAATCTAGAGAAATCTCATTCCTCAATAGTAATAATCCAATATCCAAAAACTGTCCACATGACTGCCATGCCTGCTCCCATACACAATTGGCTTGTCCATATATCAAGTCCCAGCTCCGAACTTATGTAACGACCGGCCGCTCCGCCAAGAATGCCCATCCAAACAACAAAAAATCCTACCTCCCAAGCCTTCTTCTTTAGTTCTCTCCATCTGTTCTGTTCCTGTGTCTTCAATTCTCCCCTCATTGATGTACCCCATTCATTAGCAAGCATGGTTACAAAGCTCCAAGCTTGAATTGCTGGTTGTGGTATCATGAAAAATAGAGCAGCAGGAGTCGACCAGACCCACTCGCCCCAAGTAGGGTTGATGGGGTTCCTTGTCTTCAAATAAACAGCGGTCAACACAAATTTCGCGATGTAGTCCTTTGGTATAAAATGCGCGAAAGGGCTGACACCTAGGAAAAAGTATGATGTGATCGTTGTAAAGTGAACAAGAGAGGTGAGTTCTCGCCGCAACGCGACGTAGAAGAAAAGGGGTGGTTGGTGGATGTACATGGATGGATGAACGTAAGACTCAATGTGTACGGCGCGAGCCCATCGAACTTGCTGGAGAAGCCAACGGCGGAGAGTAACGGGTGTTTCAGTCTCGGTCACTGCGTGTGTGATGTAGCGGACACGATAGCCCGAGAGAAGGAGGCGAGTGGTCATGTGTCTATCTTCGTTGACAACCTGTTAATTGTCAGTGCTATGAGCAACAAGTACACATCAAGTACGATGTTGATAAAAAAAAAGAATGAAACTGACCATCCAATTCCCGCAGACTGTCTGCTTGTACCAAGCTAGTAATTCAGGTTTGACAACCTCAATGCGAAACGCCGCACAAGGCCCGCTCTGGCAATCGTTGGAGCCTACAGCGCTTGAAAAACATCTTGAAAGATGTAGTTCATTCAAGTAAACCGTGTTCCCCAGCGTGGTAACGAGATTATCTTTAGCGTTGTGGATTTTCAGCGCAGTACTGGCGCCTGCACATTTGTCGTCCCCATGAATGGTTTCAATTGTTGTCTGAATCGTGTCTTTGTAGACCATAGAATCTGAGTCAGAGGTCCACACGAACTCAAGACCCAGGAGGTCAGACAGGGCAAAACACATGATAAAAGAGGTGAACAGGATGCCCTTCTTGTGCATATGAGGTTGGGTTACACATAGATGTGTTATAGCGTCAGGACCTGTGACATGTATGTGGTTTTCGAGCAACGTCTGCTTAGCAAGCGCTACGCATTTCTCGATGAGAATTTCATCCTTGCCCAAAGTATCGGTACCGCGATCCATTTGGAGTGCAATGTCCACAAGTGGAACGGGAAGATTGAGAACGGCCGAGCCACTTGGGTAGACCTAACCATTATCAGCTGAGCCACGAGATGGTGAATGCTGGACAACGAAGATCGAGCGACATACCTTTCGAAAAACTTCAACCATTGTCTGGTCTTCTTTCTGATTACCATCGATGCAAGTAAGCACAAATTGGCATCCCTCAGCATCCAGATAACTCTCGAGAGCCTTGGTAAAGATGACAGGATCCTCGCGATATCCTACGATTGCAGCAATACAACCGAGTTCAGGCTTTGGCGAACGTTTGGGATGCGTACGATACTCTCCTTTCTCGGCCAAGCTCAGATCGGGATAACCTTTGCTTTTTCCTTGTTTATGCGGATCGCTATTTTGACGGACTTTCTCATTAGCCCAGCCGCAGTGTTCCGCGAAATAAACTGTCATAATCGTGTCGAAAGTGAAAAAGTAATCGGACCAGTAAAAGGTCAGATAGTAGTAAAGTGCAGCTCCAGCCAAGCAGCCAATGAAGTTGAAAAGCTTTGTAAATGCATTGACAAGATTCTGGGTCTCTGGCTCGGAGTGATACTTGAGCTCACTGTCTAGTTCGTAGGACTTCGATAGCAAAGAGAAGGTATAAGAGCAGAGTCGCCCAAATCTTAGGCGCAGCCAACCCATTGTAAAAGATTTCTTGATAGAAGACAGTGAAACCAAATCACAGCAAGGTGTTAGGTCTTAAATAAACATATTCACACCACTCTCATCGTACGATAAGAGAGGGTGAAACGAGCATACGCCGGCTGTTCACCGCGGACGAATTTCACGGGCCGTCTTGAACAGGATCGCTGCGGTACGTATGCGTTGCAGTTGCAGTCACACGCTTTTTCTTGGAACCACGATGGCATTTTCTAGGCGTCTAAATACAACGTTTTTGAGTTCACAAAGGTAAGTACACCAAATCAACTAGGCAGCGGAAAAACTTTGGAGATGATGGAACTCCTCTAGATAGACGTCCTGAAGGAGGGACTATGCCTGGAAAGATGCAAATGTGATTTATAAGGTTAACAAAGATTTGTAGTGAAGGTCTGTAGACAAAAGGTCCGAAGGCGGTTATTCCTCGGCTGTTCGTACTCTACTAGCACACGACCAGGACAAGATTGATGGTGAGGGGAGTTGGTGGCGCATGTCTCTCCCCAAGAGTTGGTTCAAATCCAAGTCACACGCTAAATTCCGGGCGCAGTTGCATAGACACCTATACTATCCCCACAGGCACACACCTTAAAAGTGGATACAGTGTAGTATAGCTGCGGAGGAACTCCACGGGCCTTCCTAAACCGGACCGCTACGTTACATATGCGCTGCAGTGGTAGGCCCATCACACTTTAGAAGTGGATCTGATGTGCAACAGCACCTTTTCACCTCAGGTGAGACGAAACATGCCCAGGTGCTTGGCATTAGTCCGATGTCTAGCCCTACAGCATCAGCAAAGATAGAAGAATAAAGATAGATTCTTAAAAAGATATATCTAAGGCATACAGAGTGAAATATAAAAGTCTTGCTTAATCTATAAAAGCGTTGCGTTGTTGTCGTAGTTGTATCTACCCGAAGTGTTCCACCGGAGCTGGTAACGTGCAGTACGCCTCTTCTCTTGTTATCGGCAAGTAGTTCAGCTTAGCGAGTTCTTGTTGCTCAATCCTAGAACTGTTTTGTCGTAGTTTATGCTGCTGCACATGTTAAGGGCCTGTCTACCTCCCCGTTTTGAAAACGCCGTTTCGGCAGAACAGTAGCAGAATCTTGACGCCGCGATCATGTAATAAAACAGAGCAAACTAGTAAGTAACGAAATTCTGAGATAATCGCACAGATATGAAGACTCTATTTGCTACGCGCGCTTAGAATAGTAGGTTTTAAGCCTAATCGGTTAAGAATTAGCGAAAGCAGTACAAAGGTGTCCATCGGCCCCTTTTTATGATAGCTTATCATAGCGCTTACTTTGGAGCAGGCGTTAAACTGAATTAGCTAAAACGGCGTTTTGGAAACCGAGCAAGTAGACAGACCCTGAGATAAGGGCCTATCTGGTAAACTGAAGGGACCAGTTCTGACGTGGCAGAATCGGGCAGAATTTTAGCGCAAACGGAGCCTCCAGATTGCTGACTGAGATATGAAATAGCTTCTTTAAAATAGAGGGCTCTAGTTCGTAGACGCGCTAAAAAGGGTAACCTTTAAGCCTAGTTTATAAAAGGTTAACGCGGCCAAAACGGAGCTCTCACCGCCTCTCTACTTGTCATAGTGGTTTATTGGGAGCAGGCTCACGTGGACGCTATACCTCTTTCAAAACAAAACGGCCGGCGAAACTTTCGTACCAGACAGGCCCTAACATGGCTCGCCTCTGAACCGGTCCGAATTCTGCTTGCAGCTTCGGCCATAAACTCCTGAGTGGATGCAGGGACAAGGATTGATATCGCTCCCTCACTCGTACAAATCACTGGAATTGTCCCGTCGCCGATCAGCATTTCTTTCGCGCCAGATTTCTTTCGCGTCAGATTTCTTTCGCACTAGATTTCTTTCACATCAGCTGAATACTATCTGGCTTAACGAGTCTGTTCATTTCTGAGCCCAATCCCGAAGATAATGCAAGATATCTGTTCTCTGAGGACCTCTTAAGCGGTTTCATCTGCACTTAGCGACGAATATCGAGAGCTTGACACCTTACACGAGACCTGTGTGCTTTTGAACCGTTGGAAGCTTTGGATCTCGATGTGTACATCGTCCCGTTGATGATCCTGGCAGAAGCTCCACTCTTCACCTCCACTATCATCCTCAATTGTCAGAATTGAAATCCAAGCTACGAATTTGAGAGAAGCCGGCTGTCACCTTAGACCATCACACTCCCCGGATTTCCCCCGCCTCTGATCACCGCATTGGTATGCACAGGAATTGTCAGAATATGGCGAAAAACTCAGCCTCTACAGGCAGGGAGATTTGGTTGGATGGCGTTCGAGGTGTTGCCGCAGTTATCGTTGTTTGGTTCCATGCAACTGCTGGAAGGCTTGTCACACCTTATCGATCCTTTTGGGACTCTCCAGCATCTGAAAATCGATACCTATATCAACTCGCACCCTTTCGGATTTTCTTCTCAGGGCCAGGCATGGTTGACATCTTCTTTGTCGTATCCGGATACTCCGTCTCAATCGGTCTCATCAAACTCCGTCATGAAGGTTCACTCGCCAGATTTTACCAGAGACTGACGAGCAGTGTGGTCAGGAGGATGTTTCGGCTGTGCTTTCCAGTCGCAATAATGATGCTAGCGACCCATGTGGTGTATTACGCTGGGCTTTATACCATGAGTAACCCAAAAGGTACAGGATGTCCAGGCGCAGAACCGCGGAAGTCCCCGATCCCACACATAAAATGCCTAATTCGGTCTTTTATCAGCATTATCAATGTACAAAGTGGCCAGAACTTGACACTCAACGACCGTAAGTGAATTGGGAGATACACAGCCACGTACCCTAACCATCATGTTAGACTTTTGGACGATCCCTGCGGAAATTCGTGGCTCTATGAAAGTATACTTGACACTCCTTGGGTTGTCGAATACTCGAGATATGGCACGAATGATCATCCTAGGACTCCTCTGTGTGAGGTCATGGTGGAATGGAACACCCGTATACATGGCTTTCTTCGCAGGAGTCTTGTTTGCAGAACTTGACGCTTCTGAATCACTTAAACAGCAAGAAACACAGGCACATCTATCCTATTCCTATCGCGACCACCGGGATTTGAGTTCATATACGACCCGACTGGGTCGACTATCAACCCTGTTGAAGCCCTTAGTTTTCATTACGGGCATCTACCTTCTATGTCTACCCACACCAACTATGTCTAAAGGCACCACTGAAGCAAAATTCCCGGCGGATTGGTTCTTCCTCGACTTATTTCCTCCGCTTCCGTGGTGGGGCACGGAAACAACGTGGAGCACATGGCATACATTCGGCGCCATTTTGGTCATTGGTAGTATGCGTAAATTACCTCGATTCCGAGCACCGTTCGAATCTAGGGCAGCACAATTCCTAGGCCGCATCTCGTTTAGCTTGTACCTTTGTCACCAAACTGTTCTTCGGGTCCTATTAAACCCCGTAATGCATTGGACAACACAATTTGCTGCTGGTGTGGTGAGTCACGACGATGTTGATTCACGGGAAAAGTGGGGAGTAGTATTTCTAAGTTGGATTTTAGCAATACCTTTGATAGGAGGAATACTTCTGCTGATAAGTGTTCGCATGGCAGACGCAGTCGACCAAAAAAGTATTGCTCTAGGATTTAATATAGAGAGAAAGCTACGTAGGTAATAACATACAGTAATTACGCTGTTGAATTAGCATTATAAGACTACACTGTACATATGAATAGAGAGCAGAGGTTACAAGTTATTGAAACTGGGGTTTAAAGTGTTATAAGAAGATATTGCAGGCAGGAATGAGATAACAGTAATTCGATATAATAAAAAAGGCAATTGCACACAATTCAGAACTCGGAAAGGCAATTTTCCGAGCGGCATCATTCACCCACCGGCGAATCCCCGCTGTTGTATGTTTCTAACATTCTATTTGCCAAATTCTAGCCTCTGAAATATAATCTGACAGCATGCTGCCTGACCATCGGGTTACTATATTGTGCCTTCCTACCAGTTTTGCTAGATTGTGCAACTTTAAGATCCATTCAGAATTTAGCTACTGATTTTATATCGGTGTTAGAGCTTGTGGGTTGGGTGAACATTTCCCATGCCTCGCCAAGCATCTGCCGTATGAAGCGATCCTTACGTTTGGCAGCTAGTCGAAGCTTTGGGTAAAATATTAGTGCAAATACAAGATGTTAAGCACCAAAGGGAGAGTTCAGTACGATCTCCGGGATACCCAAGACAGTGCCAACGTCGTCGTACACGGCAGAACGTTTGGCAATTGGGAAGACAATAACTTCGTGGTCGCGTACGATAGCCTTTACTGACAGGTAGGATAGCACCACGCCAGACACCATACGCAACGGCAAAACTACCGTGGAGGTAAATTTGTGGGCATGATAGATCATCTGTGTCGTGCGAGAATGATCAGAAGGTTTTCTGGTAGCAATGATGCCGCCGATTGGACTGTTGCTGACCTCGAGGCGATGGGAACGCCCGAATATATGGCTAGGACGTATCCTGGCCATTCAGCAAGAATCCTCTAAACTGTATGAAAAGTCGGAATTGACTGTCCTACGATCAGCTTCTGGGATGACTGCAGCTTGAAGAAGTCTGGATGGTAATCAATAATCATCCGCGCTGAGTCAGCCGAACATTAACTGCTCCGTACGTATGCGATAAGCTGCTCTTTGTGGTAAATTGCTCTACCTGGTAAGTAACTCTACACGGCGAGGTGCTCTACGCGATAAGGTGCTGCATACGATAAGGTAGGGACTGCATTGATACACTAGCGACCGTATTGATGCATGGCCAAGAAGACCGATTAGTAGTGCTTACTGAATCAGAAAATCGCACAAATAATCTGCCTCCGTGGCTCTCAAGCTCATTTAGTAGCCTTGGTATGCAGACGATATTGGCCCACCTCATCTGTAGCTCCAGCGACATATCAGACACTTTTCAGCCACAAGGCTTACCGCAGCAGTAAGGCTCCTTCGCGAAGCGCTAGCTCTATGCACAAAGTACATCTGGGCTTTAGTGGCGATTGTCATTATGCTGTTTCTACGAAGCTGAGTTTTACTAACCACAAGGCAATGGGGAGAGCATCGACTAGAGCGGCGTGCTAGATGTATAAATGCCTGCGCATCTGCTCCATTGAGCCTTGTTCGGCTCGTGAACCTTTTATCAAACGATATAGGAATCTTCAGTCATGGCGCATAGTCCTCATACCAGCGCCCGAGAGATCATTGCTGAAATAAAAGGCCAATCGCTTGTGCTACCTGACTTGTGGCATTACATGCCCGCAGAAGACTGGCCAGTGAGTCTGAACCCAGACATCACGCGCCTCCGCGAGCATGTTCGGGAACGACTTCAGTGGTATATTTGACCGAAGATAGTCGTCACAACCGAGGCTGATCGCATGATAGGATGATTGGCCGCATCCCGAGCAAGCAGCAAGGACTTCGTAAAGTCGAAGCGCAAGATCTGGGTCGCTTCGGCGCAGGATGGTGGCCGTATGCAGACTATGAGCGTATGGAGACCTGTACAGATCTATGCACTTGGGTACGAATCCGATTGTATTGCTTGTATAACGTCAACTGACAGTCTGCAGCTATTCATCTGGGACGATGGTGAGCTACATGTCAAAGCTATACATGTGGTCCAGCATGAACTGATGGAAAGCAGAGATTGATGAAGCAGGAGGAGAGTTCAACTCTGATTACGAGCACGCCCAGAGATGCCGTGAGGACATCATGCATTTCGTACGTGCAATGTTAGATCTGCCACCATATAGGATAGTCAAAACGTCCTTTCGACCGATCTTAGAGACATCTCGGGATGTCTGGCAAAGACTTTGTATGGATATGACGCTACGTAAGTAATCTCTTCGGAACGCTGAGCGGACCGTTAGCTGAATTATAAAAATGCATAGACGAACGACGCAATCTTGCCAAAGAGGTTCGCATCTACCTGGAAATGGTCGGATATGAGCAAGGCCTGCGTGTTGATCAGTCTTTGCCGACTCTCGAAGAGTATTGGCGTTTAAGGATGGCTACAAGTGCTGTAAAGGTTGTCACTGCGACGTTGCTGTTGGTCTACAACTGAAGATTTGCTACTGCCAAAGTACCGATCGCTAATTATTGGCAGTTACGCATGCAAAGTACAGCTACCTGCAGAAGTGCAGGATTCGAAGCTACTGGATGATGTATACGAGGCTGGAAACGGTGTGACCTCAATGTCAGTTGTCGGATTGTCTTGATGGTCAAGTGGAGCGAGTGCTGATAAAGACCCAGTATGAATGATCTGCTCTCGGTGCAGAAGGAGTTGGTGAGGTCCACATGTGCAGCCAGTGTACTTGTCTGCACAGTACTTACAAGTGTTTCAGGTTGCGGGCGCGTCGTCCTCGAATATCTTATTCGTGCTATACGCCGAGACTGGTAGCCTCCAAGGAGCACTTGAGCGAGCACTGGGTCTGCTTGCACAATGCTCGGCAGAGTACGACGTCTGCACCGCGAGACTCTATCGTGCCTATCAAGATCGTCCTGAAATCGTAGAGGCTTTGGGGAAGCTGGTAACAGGATGCAGATATATGTGCACCGGTAATCTGGCCTGGAGGTATGTGACATTACAACTTACTTGGGCTGACTGGCTCTAATCAGGCCATAGCCTCGCCACTACACGATACGGAGTCATTGCTGAGCATGATGGGACCGTTGAAATATCTTTGTAGTCTAAGATAGAATCTCACCCGTAACGTATTTATTACTTTAATCATAAGCTAGCCCATATGGAAGCTGCGCAGCGTTAGAAGACCGCCCTTTTTTCAACATCACACTACATTGATTATGACATGGCTGACTACGAACTCGGGAAGGCAATTTTCCGAGCGGTGACATTAGCCCTAGTCCAAAATTTGAACAATCTGCCTTGCCGCATGCAGGTTGAGCGTGATATCTGTGGACAGTTCAGTTCCTAGCCCAAGAACCCCGGTTTTCGTCACGCTCCACAAGAAGATACGGCATTACCCTAGGTAATTACTAGCTGAGATTAATAAGGATGCGCTGTCAGGTTTGCCTACGCGAAGTACCGACCAAAAAGATAAACCTTCGCGTCTTTGCACAGGCGTTATTGCGGCCTTAGCGCTAGCGGCTCGTCTCGCTGTCAAACCTTGTTCATGCACAGATTCATGACCCTGGCTCGAAAAATAAAAATGATGATGATCGATCTCAGCATGCATGTCGTCCAAGCAAAATGGATGTTCAGCTGCGTAGGTGAGGTAGGAGCGAGCGACATACCGCAAGTGGAAGACAGTCCGGGCCTTGCAGCTCAAGATCGACACTGCAGTTGACACGAGTCGGCAGAAAGCTCGATCCATTGCATCGTGGGTAACTAGTGGCCAACCACCACAGGGGGTGTTGACTCTAGTACCAGTGGCAGTGCTAGTATGCCGCTTCCGGTCCGACCCTTTGAAGTCCCTTTTGATGAATGGCGAGATCTTCAACCAATGAACAACCTCAGCGCAGATAATGCATAGGATGGTTAAGAGATCCCAATGTCAGGGCTCACACAAGCGTATGATCACCGCCCAAAAATTCATGTCGATTGACGTATGCATGTTTCCCGATGTAGTTTGGGCGAATGCGCGGGGACTCAGACCATTGCTTGTCAGCAAGTCGCCTGCGCATTGGAGACATGGCTCATCTCAAACACAGTTGTATTTCGACCGCTAATTGAACCGGCACTCACTGTGCCCGCACTTGAGCAGACCTTTAGTGAACGACGCAAGCTATTGAGACACGAAGACAGAGCGAGAGACATGGACTGTGAACCCGCGATTCTGACGTACTACCAGTGTCCAATCTCACGGTACATAGATCTGCGATTTATGATCCACTCACTGGTACTAGATATGGCCTATGTGTTTCTTGGCTCTGGATGTCGGCGAGGTGAAGTCGTGTCCGGAGGCTTGCAGCATCTCAAGTGGACCTAAGGCAATCGCTACTGTACGCTTATCACTCACCCCGATACCAGAACAGATGAGGAACGCCTTGTTGTAGTTAGGATCACAATATTAGAGATGTACTGATCACCAAAAGTTGACTGCAAGCGGAATATCGTCAGTAGAGGCTCACTTTTGAGGTTCTTTTCCTCGCCCGGAGACGAAGATCACCGAAGAGTATCGCCATAGTATCGCCATTGGAGTGCACATATAAAGCTCACCCTCTCATCGACTCTTCAGAATCATCATCCAGCATCATCCTCTCATCTCTTCAAGCACCATTTCACTTCCTTATCACAAACCCAAGCTTCAGAAGTGACAGCAAACATGGTCTCTTTCCGTAACCTCATCGTCTCGGCTCTGGCTCTTGCCGCTCCCATTGCTGCTCAAGCGTCTCCTGCTGATGTCGTCAAGAACATACAGGCCATCACGCAGAAGAGTCAGGCTCTTCAGGCGCCTGCGCAGAGCATCAATCTTATCAACGGTCCTTTGATCCTCATTGGTACGTATGCACGAGTCCTTCATAGCAAGATACCGCGAAGCTAACTACCGGAATAGGTCAGGGCCCATTCCCCCAGATGTAGGCGGCAAGCAGCAACTTCTCTTATTCTTCCAGTCAATCTAACAATTTTCGTTGCGTAGTATTGTAGGATTCACCGACATCGTCTCTTCCGCCACCACGTACATTACCCAGATGCAAGGCATGGCACCCGTCCCCGCCGGCGCTCCCGCCGACGCCATATTCGATGCGTTCCGCGAGTTCGTGCGCGTCCACCAAGCCCTCCTGAACATCCTGATCGGCAAGGCTGGGCTTTTCGAGACCGTCCCGTTCATCGGCCAGCCCATCGCTTCTGTGCTTCGTCAGATTGAGAATGTCGTTGATGTAAGTCATCATTTTACACTTTTTATGTGGGCATCAGTTGCTAATGTTTGTGAAGACCATCGCCTTTGCGCTCATTGACACCGTCGAGTCCAGGGCGAAGGACCTCCAGGGCCAGGCAAGCGCGCTCGGCAACACCCTGGATCTTGCTGTCAATAGGTACCAGGGCATCGCCAACGTGAAGCGTTCCCTCAGGTTCGCACCTCGCGAAATTGCTGCTGAGGCTTAGAGGGCGATGTAGATGACGATCTAGGGGAGGGGCTTCAGCAGTGAAGGGGTATGAGAAGTATACCAGGGGTAATGTGATTCGAAGATGTCGGAGGAGGTAATAGTATAGTGTTGAAGTAGCTCGATACAATTGCAGCTATTTCTTAGAAAGATGCATCCAGCACTTTCAATCAACCCTTCAGTGTCTCTCAAAAGGCCCACATACAACGCTTTATTCGCAATACATTTGCGCTCCAGAATCGCCAATCTGTCGAACTACAGTCCCCCAAAGATCTGCAGCTACTCAATGCTCCGTACTACACAATCTTCATTTGGGTTAACTTTCCTAACTGAACTACGACTTTCCATCGGGTTTCGCTCAAGATTTGACCTCAACTACTTCGGGAAATGGACTTGTTGTGCTTCATCAACTTGGAAATTATGGCCTCGACAGGGACCCTGTATTATGTTCAAATTCAAACGCTATGGGTCAAAAATGCATTTCTTCGCCTCAAGTGAGTATCCAGGACATCAAAAATTGGTAAGGATCGCATGTTATGTCTTTCGCTCCCCGCTCATCTTTCTGTCGAAAACCTCTGTTTCCCACACTAATGTGTTCCTGCTGTAAATGGTTCGCGAAGAACACTCGACGAATTTTGCCACGGAAGCTACATGCGTTCCTTTCACTTCTTCCGAGAGAACAAAGCTCCAAGAAAACACGCCTAGGCTATATCCCAAGACGGCGACGGCCATGAACGACATAGCTGTGCGGGCTTGTTTGAAGTAGGATAACAAAAAGATATGCCTTATCGTACAGCAACGTTTTGTCAGGACGCTACATCAGTAAAAGGGCCAGAGATTGGACCAATAAAGAGTAAATGTAGCGGTCGGGTCGCCATGTTCCACAATCTTCACTGACTTTGCATATAATCATAATCCATAGTCGATCACCTTATGTTGTTCTACCTTTGCCGCAACAAGACGTCGCAACGAGGCTGACGTACGTCTCGCTATATTCATAAAATAACCGAAAAGCGATATAGTTGGTTGAGCTTGTTCAAAGGCGACAACGATGATCATTATGTGTTTTGTCTCCTGGCGATCCTCTGTCATCACATGGCATGCATCATGAGACTCATGACACGATAACATGCGAGCCGAAAGTCAGTGCGTCGAAATGGGATATGTAAACCCGCTCTCGTCTGCGTCGTTACCCCTCCTCTTCACACCAGATCTGGCAGATTTTGTGCTTTCTGTAAAGGCTAACATGAACATGGACGATGTTCTGTGAGCTTCTGTTTTTCGATAAGGTCATTTTGAAACCACTATCATGTCGTTTTATGGCCAAGAACAGAGACGCAGCCTAGTTCTGTGTGTAATTCGCTAAGAAATTGCACATCTACGCTATAACGAGAGCCGAAGTAGTGTGTCGGGCTGGGGTATGCAAGTCCGCTCTCTGCACCTACCTTCCCTCTTCTCTGCGCGTTATATCGAGCAGTATCCACTATTTTTCTAAAGGCGCAAAGATGTATGTACATATGCATCTATGCGGCATTTCTTGCAAGTTCGCGTATTAATCGTATATGTCTTCCTCTCCTGGATTGAAGGAGATGCAGCTGGTTTCAACGCGGGATTTGCTGAAAAGGCGTGTCGCACATCATAGCAAGACTAGCGCGTATGAATGAGATAGATAAATAAGTACTTTTCACTCTCTTTGTCTCTCCTCTCTACATTACACTTTGAAAAGTTTCTATCCTTTTTCACTAGAAGCCTGGCCGGCAACATTCATGTTGCCTGCGTGGCTTTCTGTCTAAAAACCTTCGTTGAGCATGTGTGTGTTTCCTCCGCGCGGCTGAAGAAGACGCAGCCGATTTCTATGCGATCCTTAATTGGAATGTCGCACATTCACACCATAGCGAAATCAGACGTATTCAATCGCGATGCAGTACATGTATTACATCCTCGTCTGCCTTTATTGTATTGCCATTCCAAAGCTTGCAGCCCTTTCTCTCAAAAGAAAAACTTGATGTCGCCATATCTCGGCGCAGTCAGAATCGATATTTCGCAAGCGCATGTGTTCCTCTTCTGAGCTGGAAGATACGAGCTATTATTTCCATATGAGATTTTACTCTCGAAGCGTGCTGTATACGTTACCAAAAGCAGAAGTAGTGCATCGGATTTGCGTATGTAAACCGAATCTCTTCTCCTAACCTCCCCTATCTACATCCAGCAGTGGTTTCCTTTTCTTACTGAAAAAGATAATGGAGAAGCCCAAATGTTGTCTGGACTGCCCTTTTCTCTCAGAAACCCGAAGAAGAACCACAACAACTGCATGCCTCGGTCTCTTGGACCAAAGAGACATCGTCACATCGCTATATGAGATTCCTTTTAAATGAGCATTACCGCGAACTTTTGTCGTTTTCGTGTGCGCAGAAATCGTACCGTCAGGAACAGAAGGAGCAGGAGGGGTGCGGGTATATAGATCCGCCCTATGTCTTCTAGCTTCTCTTCTTTTTACCGTGTTCAGAAGATCATTCCTATACAAAAGCGTTTTGCGTCGACAAATGGTAACTGCGCCGCCCTTTGCAGGCTTTGCTCAAAAAGGAAATCTACGGGACGATGTGTTCTTTTTCTGGCCTGAAACTCATGAACCTTGTCGCGTTGAGAGTGAGATGTAGCTCACAAGCACTTATGGCAAGCCTATGTCTTTTTCGAGCCGGTGGATAGATTGCGTGGGCAGAGGAAGCAGAGGCAATTGAGGCATATAAATCGGTGTTCTTGTACATGTTCTCTTCCTCTATCTACGTAGGGATAACTCCTATACTTGTTCCAAAGAATGGGAAATTGTGACCTCATGTTTTCTACGCTGTTTTTTGTCTCAAAGAATAATCCAGCCGCCTCATATCTTTGTCTCCTGAGTCAAAATCGACGCATCCGCTTTCTATGTAAGATTTCGCCAAAATTCGCATATCACGAAGTGATGTTCAAGCACATGTTCGAGGCGGATGAGCAAAAACAACTTGAAAGATATGCGGGGGTCGAGGTGCCAACTTAAAACCCCGCTCCCTCCCTCCTCCTTTCACATTCAACAGTTTCTACTCTTTCCTCCAAAACAGACGAAAAACACGTCAATAATTTTTGCTCCGCCTTTTTCCAGGACACACCGCCTGCATGGCCCATGCAGTCATTTTCTGGGTATCGAAAAAGGACGCAAACAACATCTATGTGAGGACCTGCTGAAAATTCTACTGCAGCACATGTCGTTTTCAAGCGGGTATAACAACCAGGCTACAGCGGGGGCAGAAGTAGTGCGTTGGAGCAGGGTATTTAAACTAGATGTCTTGCGTGAGCACGCAGATAAATGAGACCACAACTAGCGCCGAAGCAGCACGCACGTGGAAAAGGGATACATAAACCCGCCCTCTCCTCCTCCTTTCCCTCCTCTCCTACAACATGTTCAAAAGCATCTACATTTCCCCCAAAATCGCGAACAACGCGTACATGTCGCCCACGCCACTTCTGTCCAGAGCTGAATACTACCATCGCGCAAACCACGTCCTCACCTTCTTTGCCCCAAAAAAAGCCTTTGCTGAAATCATGCCTGCTGTCCGCTTTTTGCCGCAAATGAAGTACGGTATCAATTCATGTACCGATCGAGCGTGCGGCGAAACTAGATCATGACAACCGTCAAAGAAACAGAGGAGACAGTTGATACATGGAAAAAACGCGCTCTTGTATCCCCCCTCCTGCTTCTATCCTCTTTCATACACTATATTCCAAAGCTTTGCGCTCTTTTCTAAAAGAGGACAGGGATTGATCACATGTGGTCTGCGCTGCTTCTGTCAAAGACCAGTTCTTCAGAAAGCATATCTCCCGTCTTCTATGCCCAAAAGCGCCGTCTTCCAGCTCATGCGTGCTGTCTGTTCGCCGTAAACGACGCACAGTATCAATCCATGTCTCGATCAAACACGTAGCGAGATTCAGAAGAAGCAGGTATGGATTTGGGGTACATAAACCAACCCTTTGCGACATATCTCCTCGGCTTTTTCTTTTAATAAAAAGGATACTCGCCTGAGCGCATGTGTGCTATTCGCCCGCAGAAATTCGTAGAGTACCAATTTATGTCGTCAGTCCACCGAGCCGAGAGCCGTAAAATAGACGCCAAATTATAGTGAGAGAAGAAAAGGGCAGGGAGTGGGTCGGGCTTGGGAGTGTATATAACCCCCATGCCCTCCGCATTTTTCCTTTCTTCTCTACACCGAAAAAAGTGTGCCTGTGCTGTTCTTCAAGAAAAAAAAGACAAAGGGACGCCAATGTTGTCTGGGCGGCTTTTTCCAAAAAAAACGCAATTTCCAAGATTTCATGTGTTGCTCTTCTCTGCAAAAGGAGATGGTTAAACATACTACGGGTGCTGGTTGGTGTGGAACATGTACGGAATAAGGGCATGTTTTGGTTGAGAGGGGGGGGGGGGGGGGAATGGGATGGCAGATGGGCGAATGGGTGAGGGCAAGGGCGTCTGGTATGTATGTGTTTGAATGGAGTCGGTATAAACAAAGATGATGATGAGCCATTGCGCACGCAACATTACACATTGATCATGATGAATATATATATATAAACGCTTAAACCGCATATTCACTAAACACGCCCAACGCTATCAACTCAAGATCCGCATCACAACTTCGACTTAACCCACCCCTCCACAACCCCCTGACTCCCAGTCCCCGAGTCGCCCTTATACCCCAGTATCCGCTCCACAATCATCTCCTCGTGAGCCGCCTTGGGCGTAACAACAACATCCACCAGGCCGCCAGCCCCGCCAAACCCGCGGCTGAACTTCTGCGCAAACGCGACAATGCCGTCTTTTAGGATTTCATTATCGCCCGCCCAAATCAATACCTCGCCAACCACATCCGCAACGGGAGCCCACCACTCCGCGCTCGCGAGCACAGGCTCGCTGTAATAGTCCCCGGCAAACGCGGATGTGGAGCCGAGGAACGCTGTGGACCAGCGCGTAAGCGTGCGCGCATCGAACATATCCCTCTCCCTGTTCTCCGTAAACGCCGGCGTATGCGTCTGCGTGAGACTCGCCCAGGGAGAAATCAGCATCGCCGCGCCAATCCTGCCTGGGAGCCTCAACGGCTGGATCTGCGGATGCGGGTGCACGAGATGCGACAACAAACCGAGCGCGAGATTGCCTCCTGCGCTGTCGCCGCCCAGGATCATGTCGGCGGGATCGCGGCCTTCGGTTTCGACGAGGTGGCGGAGGAGCTCGACGGCTTGGGTGAGTTGGGTGGGGTAGGGGTGTTCGGGGGCGAGGTCGTAGGCGAGGAGCAGGGCGGAGACGTCAGGGCCGAGAGAGGTTTGGAGGTCGTTGAGCCAGGTTTGGTGGCCGGGGCCGCAGGGCATTACGTAGCCGCCGCCTGTATAGAATTAGCGGGTAGCAATACATCCAGTGGAAGGGACATGTACCGTGGAAGTAGATGATGAGCTTCTTGGCGGTGCTGCTGCCAAACCAGTGCGCCTGGGTGCCACTGGGCAATGTGATGCTCTCGGGCTTGAACTTGTTGTCTTTGGCGAATTTGAGGTAGATTGGCGTTGTGGTGCCGTTCAGGTACCGGTCCTGGGCGAGGTCGAGGTTGCCCAGTTGGGTGCGGAACATGGCGAACATGACATCTTTGAAGTAGGTGTTGGAGCCATTGTCCCCTTTGAAGGGCGAGGTGACGAGACGGCCAGATGCTGAGCCGACTGGGACATGTTAGTAAGTCGAGACGAGAATCAACAATGCATGTCTACCAGCTTTGAAGACGGCCGAGGCGATGCCTAGCTTGCTGACGTCCTGGTCTGCCATGGTGTTGAATAGGAACGAGCTCGGAGGCACTCAGCGGCCCAGGAGCACATCAGACCAAATCATGGCATGGCGACAAGCGCCCAGAGCTTACTCGACGTCGTCTGCACATGCAGCGCCGGGCGGAGGTGATTACCCGAGGCTGGGGGAGTTGTGGGGCCGGCGATCGGGCGCAGGCAGGCGCGACTGGCAAAGAACCCATGTCGTGCGCTCCCGGAATGACTCGCGAATTTTCGAGTAGGCGACTTCAGGCACTCCTTACGAGTAAGGCCTCTTCCTTCTGCGCATAATAACCACTATGGCGTCCCCGGCCGACGCGGGCACGCCCTCGTCCCAGCGCAGAGACAGCGAGCAGCCCGAGGATGGCTCCAACAAGAAGCGCCGCACCGGGCCCAATTCGCGTGGTGTCGCCAACCTCACGCCCGAACAGCTGGCCAGGAAGCGCGCGAATGATCGCGAGGCCCAGCGCGCTATTCGCGAGCGCACGAAAAACCAGATCGACCGCCTCAATCAGCGCATAAGGGACCTGGAGAACCAGCAGCCGTACCATGACCTGCAGGTGGTGCTCAGAGAGAAGGAGGCGGTCCAGGCCGAGAATGCGGACATCAGGAAGAGGCTGCATGGTGTCATGACGCTCATCCAGCCCATTCTGAGGGACGCAGGCCCCGTCGCTGGTCTCAATGGTGTGTCTGGTCTGTCTTCAGCACACTCCCATGCTGATGTGTAGTAGAACTCGCTGCAGCCGCAGAGCGCTCGCCTCTGACCGTCCTCCCACCGCACCGCGACGCGCCCATACAACCCCCCTCGGACCCTCGCCAGTTCCACGCGACCCTCCAAGACATGGCCGCCGGGGGAACGCCTACGAACGGCGTCCACTCGCCCTCCGTAACAGACCCAGGCCGGCCGTGGATGTACCCCGGCGAAGGCCCCACGAGCCACATGCGCCGCTACTCCAACGACAACAGCCCACGCTTCGACGCCGCGCGCCCGCAGATAACCGCGCCCGACATGCCATTCGACGAGCGGCTGGGCGTCGACTTCCTGCTCGACAACAACCAGGCTCGAGTCGTCGACCCAAACCTGCCTCCCCCGCAACTCCCCCAGCCGTATAATGTCAGCAGCGACAGCCAGGCCCAATACGCCCCGAACCTCGTAGCCCACCTGACTCTCCCGCGCAACTCCTCCCCCACCTGTCCCCTCGACGCCATCCTGCTCACCTTTCTGCAAGACCGGCAGACGCGCGCGGCCGAAGGCGTTCCCATCAAGACGCTCGTCGGGCCGCTGTATCCCAACTTCACATCTCTCGTGTATCCCGAGCGACAGGTCGAGTCCCACCCGCTGTCCCAGCTCTTCACCGAGATACTGCGCACGTTCCCAGATATATGCGGGAAGCCCGAGCAGGTTGCCATCGTCTTCATCATGTACCTCGTCATGCGCTGGCAGATCGACCCCAGCCAGGAGAATTACGATAGGCTGCCGCACTGGGTGACGCCGCGACCGACGCAGCTGTTCGTCGGGCATCCGTGCTGGTTTGATCATTTGCCGTGGTGCGTGAATTCCCTCCCCTCCTTCCTTGAACAGTTTTTGGCGAGGATAATTACTGACTTTGATCCTCAGGCCCCGCCTCCGCGACCGCCTCTGCCTCACAAAACCCTTCGTCTCTTTCCAAAACTTCTTCATCCCCTTCACCACCACCGTCTCCCTCAACTGGCCCTACGAACCCCAAGACGTCCTGCTCCCCGCATCAAAAGTCAACACCTCAGCCCTCTCCGTCACTTCCTCGTCCTTCTCCGCGCCCTCGACCCACGTGCACCCCGGCTCGCCGCAAGACCCCGCCACCCCGCAACCTCCCCTCGGCCCGTTACCCAAGGAAGAGGACCAGTGGCTTATTAACCCGGCGTTTGAGAGCCACCTGAGGGATTTGGGGAACTGGACGCTTGGACCGAGTTTTAGGGGGACTTTCCCGCAGTTTGCGGATTGTGTCAAAATTAAGGAGGGCAGATGAAACTGATTGTAGATGTTTTGATCGGGAGGGACGGGGGCGGGCGTTTTTCTTTGGTGTGAATTTGCGAAAATGGATATGTTTCGGAAAGGGGATATGACGGGGCGAAATATGAGTATGGTTTGTATTGATAAAGAAAGTATCGGGTATGTGTGGACATCTATGGGAAGTGTATGCTTAGGAGATTGATATGTGTTTTGGTGGCTAAAACCTCGAATATCTTATGAAATGATTGGGTCGATGACGATGAGTTTGCAGCTTGAACGATGATTGAGTACGTGTTTGGGTTTGGAGAATTGATGGCAGAAAAAAAGAAAGCATGGTGCCACCGCGTCAGAGAAAAAGGCTGGACTCAAGAACGATATATATGTTCCGACGAGGTGAGAAGAACACCGACCGCCGAGTCGTCAAATGTATCACGTGCTGTCAAGAAGACGAGTCGTATGTTCAGAATGTTTTGTAATTCTCCAGTGAGAATAGGCACGATCAGGATTCCCAAGGTTGTTTAGTGTTTGCTATTTCGCTGCTTGTGTGTCAGGGCCGCTGGTTTCCTGCACTGGCACGTGGGTGGAGAAGGAGAGTGAAGGTGAACACGCGCTAGCGTCCCGTGACTGCGCGCGAAGTCGAAATTTTTTCTACAGCTCTCACGTCCATAATACCACACGCTCTCTCGATTCTACTCACAATTTCAGCCCGATTGGTTCCTCGCAATGGCTACGTTCGACACCACCACACTCAAGGGCAAGATCGCTGCTGGTCTTGATCCGCACCGCGGTGACGAGCCCCAGAGCGTCGTGGAGCAGTTGGCCAGTAAGTTTAGCTTTGAAATATCTCGCCATAATACACAGATGGCTAATAGATTTTGCGAAAGGGAATATCGCCTTCATCATCCGCTACAAGCTCCGCCCAGACGTCGCCGCCCACGAAGTCTCTGTACTGGCTCTCACACCTCCGTCATATCTGAACAGCTTCATGCCTATCCGAACTCTTCTTGATATTGTGGTTCTCGTTCACTTGGGTTTCGAAACCGTCAGGAAGGTCGTTGCGGTCAGGGTGCAAGACACAGAGAATGCTATCACTCAGTTAACGACCGTCGTGGACGCCACGGTTCGAAAGATATTGTCAGCTGCTGCTATATGGACTCCGAGGAACAAAGGGATTGTGGGGGAAAACTAAGAGCTAGCTAGTCGTTCGCCTGGTAGCCGGCCGATCAGTTGAAGGAGACGGAGTGAGGAGTAGTATTCACAAATTGCTCGATGGCTTATGAATACTGGGTCGAATGTTCGAGCTACGCATTTACCCTTCCCAACGCTGGAAATCATAGTGCAGTGCGGTTAGAGATCGTAGATAGCTAAGACAGGAGTGTCCCCTCCCACCTCTCTTCTAAAACTTAAATGAGCTTATTCCACATGTCACTTCCTAAACCAAATTATAAACAGTTGACCTTTGTGTCTTCCAGCAACGCTTCTTTCAAAGCTGAGCTTGCGACAGGGCTGGGCCCGTACCGTTTGCATGACGTAGAAGCACTCCTGTAGCCTAGCGTAGTGAAAGCAAACAGCGCGCGCTAGTCGCGTGAGTGCGCACAAAACTCAAATTCTCTCGTGCCGCAACTTGGTTTCTTTCTCTCACAAAACCTCGAATGAGTACTAACGCTCAAACTGCAGTTATCATGGCCGCCAGCCGAACCACCATGGCCTTCAATGATGGCATCACTGACACCGACAAGAGCTCTATCGAGTTTCGCATCGCCGACTCACTCACCCGCGAACTCGGAACTATGTCTGTGGGCGACCTCGAACGCATCACGAGTAAGTGCTGTATGCCATCTGAGAACCTCGCGTTAACATAGTCACGACAGGCAAGATCGCCTTTGTTATACGCTTCAAACTCGGCGCACAAATCACTGCTCCCTACATCACCACTCTGGTCAAAACCATGGACACAGGTGGCCGCAGCATCACAATCTGGGCTCACCTCGGTGCTATGTGCCTTCAAGAGTTGTTCTCCGTGGGGGGTGGATCTGGCGAAGAAGCCATCATATACTTGGGGTACGCCGCAGATTGGGCTGTGGAGCAGGTCATGAAGCTGAAGGACGCACCAAGCCTGAGGAAGAAGCCGTTGCTGCAGGAGCTTGGAGAGGACGTTGAGCTCCTCACGGCTGCGAATGGCAGGGATTGAGAAAATGTCTGGCCCGAGAAGGTATATGCAGAAGGAGTTGAAAAATGAACACGTGCGTCTACATAGGTACATTCGCTACAGAATCAGATCATATAAGCAGCATGATTCGTGTCCGTTCTGCACATGCGTGAAGCTATCTAATAGTCTTTCACTCTGGAGCTTACTAAGATGCTTATAAGACTCTCACAGGTACACTACAGGTAGAATACGAGTCTTACAGCACTCAATCATGATGTTCTAAGAATAGTTGCGTTTCTGGGAGACAATTACGATACCCTACCGTAGGTACTTCCTATAGCCTTGGCAGTGAAGCTGAGAATAAGAACGAGTCTGCATGCGAAAAGTTGTATCTAGTCGAGTACACCGCTCAGCGTCTATAGCGCCTCACGTGAGCATAGCTACTGCCTTGGCCGATCATTTGGGACGCTAGGTCAGTTTGCGTACCATACTTTTTCCCTATCTTTACTCGTCCACATGGAGCCGACTTGCAATTTTTGTGCTTGCTAGAACAACCGTAGTGCAAAGACACCAGCGTTCAAAGAAAGGAGTGAACCGTGGTTGAGGATTTGCGCGGACTTTCATCACGTGCATATCGCTGCTGCCTTTTCAAGGTGTGCTAATATGTAAAGAAGCCACTACCGAGCCCATACAATCATATCGAATAACCTACCCTCATTTTTCTGCTTCGCAAAAGCACCATATACCAACAACCGCCCATCACGCAAATTATGTTCACATTTCAAGTTATTTCCTATATTCAACGCCGTCCCAGAAGCCTCAACGCGATGCAGTAGCAATCTCCAATCTTCCGACTTCCACGGGAACTGAGAGAGATGATACACGGCTATTGCCTGACGACTAAAGACGGGCTTCGATTCAATCCGGACACCAGAAAATTAACTTTTGCGGAAGGTTGGCGCCACAGTTTCGCCTGGTTGCATACCTGCAAACTGGCTGCAGTTGAGACACGTGAGTTCCCGGTGCTCCAATTCAACGTAGTACATTTTTCGACACACTGCACCACCAAGGGCGACCCGAGGCTCTATGGACAGCAGACGGACCGAGGGGGGGAACTGCAATATTTTTCCGCTGCACAAGTGGCATTGAGCTTCATGACTGCACTGCCGAGCCAAACTCGGACACATTTGCGCAATCTCGTGCTCCACGAAGACCGCAAAGTAACCCACCATCCAGAACGAGATGGGAAAAGGCTTATTTCCTTCTGCCAAGAGAACGTAAGCCTTCGCATTGAGCGGCGAGTTTCTCTATGGGGCAATATATGGCTGGCAAGCTCAGATTGGCATAACGAGGGCGACGACTTCATCTTGCCCACTCTCTCAGTCACCAAACGAGAGCTTGCGCCATGGATCATGGAAGCTGTTTGTCTCCCATCACTTGGTATGCCGCAGGATGCGTTTACCTTGGTTCTCGATGGCAACCCACGGCCTGATCTCGCATCTGAAATCTTTGCAGTCGCGCAGCAGGACGCGTCATGGCAAATGGCATTTGAACGCAGTAATGCTTGGCTATCATCCTCTCATGAGGAGGCACGGCGGAGTGCGAGCTATATCATGGACGGTTTTCCAAAAGCGATTCATAATATCGTAGATGGGACTTCACTGGCCAAGTGCAACTTACGCCCGCTCCCCAATTATGGTCCAGATGGTTCGCCGAATCCAGAGATTGATCAGTCGCTGTATACCAATCCGCAGTGGCCGCTGTTCCAGTACACTACGCACTGGTACTTTCACAGTGTGAAAGAGTTTGAAGTGCGAACGCGGAAGCCAGATTGGCTCGACATGCGCCGTATCGCTTGGGAGTGACACCAAGCTTACTCACTCGAGGAAGTGGAGGTGGCTTAGTATAAGTTGGTCGTCCTGCGTAACCCACTTCCTTAGCAAAGACGGCGGCGAATAGCTTCAACAGCGCTCACAAGCTGAAGTCCTATGGTAACACTCACGATCTCATCAACTGGTCCCACGACGCTTACTAACTGGCCCTGCACGGCCTCATTCATTGACCCGCCGCTTACACCACCGGACTCTTCTTGTCAGCCATAATCTAAAGAAGCTTAATTGGACGAGCACCTCGTTGGTGCTGATGCGGCCGACGGCGAGTTTCGCTTTGCTCAAGCTCGACAGCGAGGAGCGCCATACCTTCAGAATTTTGGCCGCTTGCGCACCTCCAATAATGCTTGTTTTCCCGGTGCCATGAAGGGCTCCTCCTCCGGTGGTGTCGTCGTTCCTACATTTAAAGGAAGTGAGTGTTTGTGTCATGTCACGCAACTCTTCCAGGTTAATCGACATATTGTCAGATTTGTACATAAAGAGCACTACAATACCAATTATTTTCCCGCTATCCAACCATCCAACACCACACCCTCCCTACCCTTTGTATCCCTCCACCAACCCCCTACACCACACGCCCACCGCATACGCCCCCGGATCCGGAATCCGACTCCTCTCACTCCCATCCTCACTAATGTACGTCGCGCGCCCAAACTTGGCCTTCATCTCCGCCGTCTTCTGCGCACTCTGTTCCGCGACACTCACACTCTTCTCCAGATCCCTGCTTTCATTCAAAGTGTTGATAAATGGGATAAGCACGTCCATAACAGTCCTATCGCCCTCGCGCGCAGACGTGTAGTTTTTCAAATTCTCCAGACCAAGCGCGGCGGCGCGCGCGATTGTGCTGATGTCAAGCGCTGCAGACTGGGTGCTGGTGAGTGTGGCGAGTGCGTTGGTGAAAGGCCGTGACGAGGATAGATAAGATGGCGCCGAGGGACACCGCCTACGTCTTCGACGTTCTCGCCGATGCTTTCGAGCAGGGCGAGGAGAGCGGGCGGATTCGCTTCCACGGCGTCGATGTTAGTGAGTATGGATTTACACACGCCGGCGACGGCTTCGCCGCAGTCACCGTCGCCCATTTGCAGGTCGTATTGCGTGATGGTGGGTTCGGCGGCGAGGGCGGCTTTGCAGGCTGTGCGGAGGGCGGGGATGAGTGAGGCGGGTGTTGCGGGGCCTTTGTGGGTTGTGGAGGAGTTTGCGTGGGCGGCGTTGGCGGCGTTGCGGAGGGTTTCGGTTTCTTTGCTTATGTTTACAGGTCTGTAGCCGTTCTTGGGCCAGGCGGGTGCGTTGGTTGGGGCGTCAAGTAATTCGAATACTTCCTCGTCGCTCAGATCCATGGCCTTGGCCATGCCTGTCATGTTGCCGAGGGTGATGCTGAAACCCTGGCCGTTCAGGCTGGTTTCGAGGACGCCGGCGTAGATGCGCTTGGGCACAATGGACCAGTCTGACTTTAGTTTTTCGAGGGCAATGTTGACCATGGCGTCGAATTCGAGGTTAGAGAGACCACCGAAGTTGTTACACAGCATGACAACGTTGTCGGTAGGCGAGAAGGGAACGAAAGCGCGGTCTTTGTCCTTGGGGTCCAGGAGATAGCGCAGCATTTCCTTGATGATATCTTGCGGACTAGGCATTGGAGAGATTGTGCGAAGGCCCTATTAGATCAGTATCAGACTTGTGAGGTTCGGAGACGAAGACTTACAGGCTCATTGTGAATCCCCATTCCCAGCACACACGCATCATCCTTAACTGACTCGAAAGCTTCTCGTCCAGGAACATGGCAATGATCCAAACTTGTACCAATCGTCACAAGTTGCGAATTGCCCAACTCTCCAATCTTGCGACACCGCTCGAACGCCCATCCCTTCTGTGACGCCGCGCCGGCGAGCTTGATAACAAGCAAGTTACCAGCCAATCCTCTCCTTCCAACTTTCTCGCTCTTCTCTCTGCCCAACGCTGCGTCTTCCGCCATGCACACGACATCGACCTTGTACCCAAGTGCCTGACCCTTTTCCCTCGCGAGTCCAAAATGTAGCATATCTCCCGTGTAATTGGTGATGCAAAGAATCACACCCTCATTTGACGGTACGTTTCGGATTCCCGCCATGATTTGCTTCGTGCTCGGTGATGCAAAAATGTCTCCACAAACAGCAGCGGAAAGCATGCCATCGCCGACGAATCCAGACCAGGCAGGCTCGTGACCAGATCCTCCTCCAGAAATAATGGTAACCTGGTTTGGTGGATGTGCCAGGTTGTAAACGACGCGGTTCTCGGTGTCGAGACCCATGTGCTGATTCCGAGTTATGAGCGAGTTGAGCATGTGCACCACAACCCCTTCTGGGTTGGGAAAGAAGTGTTTCCGCGACATTTTGGGTGAATGTAGAAATGTGTGTTTGATTGGTCGAATTATACGAATTGATCAATTCTGGTTCTCTTGTTCTTGTTATTCTCCAATTGAGCTGTCAAGCATTAGCCAAAGCATAGGAGAGAACGTGAAGCATGGAATCTCCCACATCTGCACTGCGAGACAAGTATCCAAACGTACGATTATTTCTCCGGTCCTAAGATATTACAAAGTCAATATCGAACGAGGAAGCAATACGTGCTTTCAATCATAGGGGCATCGTCGTCTTTAAAGCATCCCCGCGCTCGCCCCGCCGACCCCGCTCATTGCTATCGCCCACAAATCCCGATCATTAGCCACGAGTCTTGCCATCACAAGCCCGTACCGTCACAGTGATGAGCCGCAAGCTACGATATACTGCATGTAGCATGGTACGGGGCCTGAAAATGGGAGCAGTTGGGATTTTGCGCCGGAGTTGCCTGTTTGGGCAGGCCGGTTGAGCTTGGCTATCATGTGACTTCATATGCTCGCGTCGAAATCGCGGTTCTCGTTACGAGGCGTGCGGGCCACCTTTCAAAACCCATCGGGAGAAATTATGGTGCTTGGATGCGTGGTATAATATTACTATACTAGTTGTACTACGAATGTCGTGAGGGTTTTGGTGTCCGTGGAACGCAAGAACATGTTGCGCCGAACAATGCTCCGATTAAGCCAATGCCTAAAGTCGAGTCATCTGGATCAAAGGCCAGATGCAACAGGCCTTGGTCGAACGCCATCGTCGATATACGCCGCAACTCCATATCATGCCGTCAGATCAAGTTACAAACAACAAAGCATGCAAAAACAGAATGTGATGTCCAACGTAGCTCTAGTGACCGAGGTTGGAGTAGTGTGAATGGCGTCCGTTGTACTGTTGCTGGTATAGCGAAGGCGTGTAGTCAGAGTCTTGGTAGACGGTGCCACGCTTATCCTCGTCTGGCAAAAGTTCCTTGACTTCCCAGTTGTGCTGCTTGACACCGACTGAAAACTCGAGATCTTCGCGGGTGATTGAATCCCAGTACTATTTATAGCTGTGTTAGCGCAATGCAAACCATCGACTTTTAGCGGCGAACTAACCTTGTAGACCATCATGACTGCCAGCAAATTGCAGATGGTAGCAAAGAAGAGACCATCAATGTAGTGCTGGACGTTATCACAGATGGTATCGCTGAAGACATAGAGGATGACCTGGCCGATGACGAAGAAGAAGACACCGAACGAGATGTCGCCAAGCGGCCAGCGGTCCTCGAGTGTGCCGACAACCAGAATGATCTGGCTGACAACGTAGACGAAGAGGAAGATGGCGTTTACGATATAGGTGACGATCATGATGCCGATGGGGTTCTTGGAGCTCAGTCCTGCCCAGTTCTTGAAGGTCAAAAGCGAGACAGCACCGCTGACTACGAACATGGCGAGGGAGCAGAGTCGCAGTAGCCAGACCGAGAGCGTTGTTCCATCCTCATACAGCTGGAAACCGACGAAGCCGTTGATCAGCAAGCAGGTGCAGAGAGCGGAGACGAGGCCATTCTGTACGGCGGCAAAGTACGGGTACGGAGCGGAGCCGGGTGCAGTGACACCGGCGTCGAGGATGAGCGATATGATGGTCAGGAGGAGGTAGATGTAGAAGACGGATGTGATCTCTTTGCGGCCTGGGTCGTGTTAATGCCTCATCTTCGTCCATTGCCTAGCCAGCACAACATACCGACAGCAGTGAACTTTGAGCGCACGTGGATAATCATAATCACAGTCATGACCATGGCCAGAATGTGCATGAAGTCGTTCGCGCACTGGAAGATGAGCGTGTTCGCGATCTCAATCGTCCTCGAGTAGCAGTTTGTTTGTATGCCCGCGCCACCGTTGATCTGCTGCTCGCCCACCAGCGCGCACAGAGGAATCGCCGCCTTGGTGCATATCGTCGAAAAGTCGCCGAAGCCCATCTTTGCGGGCAGTCTGGGGGTTTGTGGTGTTGTCTGTGGTTGAGGCTGTGTACGACCGGGACGCCCCTAACAATGGGAATCGGAGACGATGTGCGACGTAACACCCGATGTGCGGGAGGTAGGAGCGAGTGCGATATTGAGTGAATGTCCTGTCCTACAGTAAACAGAGAAGCGAGAGTAGGCGCGGCGGGGGTGCTGGGGGTGCTGCAGCGAGGACTGGGATGCTGTGGAGGCGGTTGTCAAGCGTGAATTGTGGTTTCAGGAGCAACCAGGAGCCAAGCCCGCTAAGGAAAACCCCTGCTGAGCCGTCCTCCTATTCTTAGACATCGTGACATCGCCATCCCAGGGCCAACTTCACGTCGTCAACGTCGCTTCGCATCATGTGACGATTTTTGCCATAAAGACGCGAAAAGAGTGCAGTTTTTCGTAAATTTCGTGGTCTGCACATGCACACGTCTAACGCACCAAATGCCGGCACGTGCAGCTACATTCTGTAACTGCAAGCTTTCACTCATCAAACTGTATCCCATTTTCTAAAATCTGCTCGAGTGTACGATCGTGGCGAGGCGCCGCATGAGCCTAACAGAACAATACGGCATCAATTCCAGGGTGTGCTATTGTGGGTTTTAACATACCCGCGAACTTCACACAAGATCGTGCTGCCTTGACGCTCTGCGGCTGGTGACTATGTTCAGCAATATGTATTGTCCGTTTGCTATTGTCACAAGCCACAATAGCTTGCTATAGGCAGCAATCACGAAGGCATCCTAGAGGCATGTCACTTCTTCCTGAGCACTCTTTTCTTATCACTTTTGTCATCATCACCCATAACTCACTTGACTGCCAGACCCAACTTAACATGGCCGACCGAAGCGACTATCCATTGACACACAGTCCTCCTGACAACACTGAACTCGCGCTCTTGAATGCATACATCGATCAGCGTGCGCCTGGGCCCAAGCTTCGTCACAAGAACCGTATGTTCACTCTCCTGCAGGCAAACGGAATGATATCGCGCTCCATTGTCGAACAGCGATTCCTTTCCCGTAAGCTTTTTCCTCGAGATCGGGATTTCCTGTTAAGTTGCTCCAGGTGTGCTGTCTATCTACGCTGAAGAAAAGGCCAACCGAGGCGAATTTGGCGCGGACCACCAAATCGACACTGCCAGCCTCGATATCCGCTGCGGTCATGTCGATGACAAGCCATACTACGCCATTGCTACTGTTCCCGCCAATGCCCTGATACTTCGTGGAGCCACTCGCAACACTAAGGCTCAGGCAATGGAGTGCTTCATTGATACTGTCCTGCTCTTGAGCGCGAGTGCAAAGAAGGATTTTGAAGCGCTGCGCGATGCAGAGAACGCGAGAAATGCCAACAATGCCGAAAGATCGATTCACTGACCTCACATCACTAGGAACCCACTCTTACGACCGTTTCGATTTGTGGGCCAACTGTACGGGTAGGAAACATTACGGGGCAAGCACGTGGCAGGTTGCTTTCACCATATAAGCTCACCATATCAGCTCTATTACACAATCGAATCAGATCAAGATGACAAAGACTTTGTACCTGCCTGAGAGCAATATTGTGATCTTACCATGCGACAGTGGTTCGTCGCTCTTTCCGGATCACCTACTAGTATCAACAGAATCGCAACCTCACATTTGTCTCACATGAACATCTGGAAGACGACTGAATGATATACGCAGCACAGCAGCGATGTCACCTAGCTAATGCTTGCGGAAACCTTGTATTCAAAGTGAATGGTTGGTTCCAATGGCCTTTCACCTGCCGTGGGCGTTTACTCCCGCCCTCGCGTTCATTATCTCCTTTCTTGATACTTTATGCTTTCCCACAATCAGAAAACTTCTGCCTCTCACATCCTCTCCTCAAGCCACCCTCGCCTCAACTCATATATAATCGCCTCCACCATGTCGCAGCCCCCGAACTCTCCCGGAGAACAACAGGCGAATGCCTCAGCTTTTGCGCAGTGGCAATCTTTGAAGGATTCAGGGCATTTCAAGCCGGCCACGTCTATCAGTCTCCATTCGCTTTCGCCTGCGTCTGTACCGCTTCTGGGTTCGCCCATAGACCTAGGCCCTCCCATCAGTGCCAATACTACGCCCCACGCGACTCCAACACCGCCAGCCTATTCTCCCACCAGTGCCTATGCGCCACGACCAGATGCGCCCACAGCACCAGTTCATCCCATCGCTACGTACGTGCCACGATCAGAGAGACCTACAACACCAGACTATCCTGCCAGTACGTATGCCCCGCCCCGCGCGGCACCCATACCACCAGCACACGCTCCCTCGCCGTACACGGCCCACCCTACAGCACCACAGCTCGCGCCCACATCTCAAAACAACATACCGCAAAGCACCTACGGCCCCTTCCCCGGCGCGCATGGCTACGCCCCGCAACCGCAAATCCTCCTCACACCCGACAGCATCACACGCGATATGCTCGCCTCCCGCGTGCAAACACTCCTTCGTCTCGCCCTCCCCGAATTTAACATATCGCAAAACGTCATGCTGTCCATGTCACTCGTCTCGCGGATCATCCACCTGGGCCAAAATGGCGCTCTCGGACCCCATGGCATTCAAAAGCTCGACGAGATCTTCATAGTGATTGGGCACGACGGGTTGAAGAAGTATATGGCGCTTGCTGTTATGGCTCCGGTAAGTCTGTGTGTTTTGCTGAAGGGCACGAGCGAGGATTTGGAGGGGAAGGAGCCGTTGGTGGACAGGAAGAGTATGGAATGGTTGAGGCAGGGGTTTCATAATGTGGCTGTGGATGAGTATAATAGATTGCAGAGGAGTATGCAAGTTCCGGCTAGGCGCTGAGGGGAGGAGGTGGGGTAGTAGGAGAGAGGGATGGGAATAGGTGGAGTTGGGAGGTGCTGTGGACTCCTCTTCGGGTCCTTCTGTGGCATCTTCGGAGTCATATGTCATACAAATGGGGTAGTGGTGGACACCTGTGGATGCCGATGTATGAACATGAGCACGAGTGGACAGTGGACGGGACGCACGCAATCGAATCGCTAGTTGGTGGGTGGGTATTGGATTTGGATCTGGATGAGCTCGACAGGATGAGTCGGGACATGAGAGGCGAATCACGAGGAGAGCAAGCGATGAGATGAGACTGGATGGTAATTCGCTGATAGGGGACGCACGCAAGTAACACGCAAATTGGGAAAAGTCCGAGCAAAATTCTTGGATTCTTTGGTGATCATGGTTGGATCCAATCAATATTTCACATGGAAGGAACGTCGTCGAAACTACCTTGGCACTTTTGTCGATATATGTGGACTACCACTCTGTGATTCGTCTGTTCGTAAATGCACGTGAATGCCGCAGACGCTAAATTATGCGCCAACCTAGATCGGACGGCACGCCTTATGCATCTGTACGACATCTCCTTGCCGTACCCTGTAGCAGCGTTACGAGAATACAACATGGTGGGCTTCTCTGACTTGCACATAACTTCGGCTCGCGGGCTCATGCGTACTCGAACACTATGGAAAGACGATCGCGAAGAAGCGCAGCTAAAGTGAAGACCGGATGCAAGACTTGCAAGTATGTCCTCCTCTTCACTACCAGTCACATCCTCTCAGAATAGGACGTGAACACTACTGACACCACGTAGATTCCGACGTGTCAAGTGCGATGAGCAAAGACCCAATTGTTTGAAGTGCGCACCATCCAAGCCCCATATGCAAATTTGCACCTGACATGTCCTATCAGATGCACCAGCACAGGTCGTCAGTGCGATGGCTACGCCAGTCTCAAACAAGGCTTCGAAGTCCATATCTGGAACCCTGGCCAAGGTCCTGCTTTCCAGAAGACCGTATCCCTGCTTCCGGGCCTAGATGACAGCGTGCGCTACCTTGAGTTTTACCATCGCTGCGCACGGCCAGTACTCTCTGGCAACTTCGACAATAGTTTCTGGTCTCGCACAACGCTTCAAATGGCCTTCTCCGAACCAGCCGTTCGTCACGCTTTGATAGCTCTCGGGTATCTCCATAGCACCGAGAGCGGGTCCTTGAAGCATGCTCGCTCAAGATTCACTGCCATTACCGAGAGCAAGACCTTTTTACACCATTACAATATGTCCGTCAAAAGTCTGGTCGATCGTATGGGGCAGTCCAACTACAAAACCGAGGTCGGTTTGGTCACTTGTCTTCTCTTCGTTTGCATGGAGTTTCTACGTGGTAACCATCAGACGGCGTTCACACATCTCATAAATGGGTTGAACATCATTACCGAACGTGAAAAGAAAGTACGACATGACAGCGTCAACTCGCCGCTCTCTTCATGTTCGGTCGACACGTCTACTACATTGACAACTTTCAACATAAGCACACTCATCGAGGACGAGCTCAAACCAATATTCATTCGGGCCTTGACAAGCGCTATGTTGTACGGTGCGGTCTTGGATATCCGTCCTTATGTCACTGATCTGGACCTAAGACACTTCGAAGACCTTCGATTCAGCAATATCCGGGAGATGGAGCTGTCCGCGTATGAAGTGCGCAATCATTCCATATTACAAAGTCGCTACCTCGGTTTGAAGCGCCATTTCTATCAGGTCAAAGTGTTCACGGCCAAAGAACTTGGTCAAAAGCAACTGGTTCTCGACTGTCAACAGGCCTGGTACGCGGCTACCGAGCACTACAGAAACACACACGCACTTACGAAAAGTGATGAGCTCGTCATTCAGGCACTGTTAATCGGCCACTATATCACCTATATCTGGTTACTGTGCCAACTGGACCCCACAGCGATGGCCATAGACGCCTACCTAGACGAATTCCAAACCGTCCTGCTCTATTGTGAGCGCATACTCGACTCGATGGATCTCGATACACCACAGCACGCCGCGCGGTTCACTTTTGAGATCTCACTCATCCCAGCTCTCTATTCTGTCGCACTACGGTGCCGATGCCCTGTGACTAGGCGAAAGGCGGTGGCTTTGCTTCAGCGCAATCCGCCTCGTGAGGGCTTGTGGGATGTGGCAACTCATCTACTTGTTGCGAAACGCGTCATTGAGATGGAAGAGGTGGAGGTTGATGAGCGAGGATGGCCAGTAGAACGCACGCGCCTTTGGAACGTTGGTGTTAATGCTGATATGGATCGCAAGGGAGGCTTCTGGGCATATTTCACGCCAAACGAGGAACTGAAGAAGACTGTGGAGGAAGGAAGACCGCTGTCGAAAGCGGAATTTTTGCATGTCTAGAGGGAGGTATGATTGATGATATGAAATTAAAGCTCGACGGAAATGATAAGCCTAGAGATACTACCAATTTCAACCCGATATCTAGACGTCTACTATCAGCCTGCTCTAGCTACGCCGCATATACTTGCTTTATCTGCGAGTGCTTTCGATTTGTGACCGAGCTGTGTTGAGTTTTTGGGTAACGCAGACAACTGGAGAGATCGCCATTGTCTCTCTCACTGCAACAGACTCACTTGTCTCTCTTAAGCGAGCAAACGGACCTTCGTTCATTTCACGAAAGAAAGACATAATCTAAGTCACCCCTTCGACTAGACCTGCATCCTCGCAACACTTCTTCCCCAGCCCCGTCCGTCTCTCCGCCCACAATCAAAATGTCTTCAATATCTCCACCCATGCCCGACAAAGCTCTCCTCAACGATGTCTTCTTCCCTCTCCTTGAAACCATCGGCGCCACTCTCTCCAAGAACTTCGAAGTCCGCGCCGCATCAACAGAAGATCTCCTCACCGCAACCTCCACTCTCACCGAGTACATCACTGCCTACTGTGCTCGCAACATGCGCGGCTCCCGCAACCCTCTCGACCCCGCCGAACTCGCCATCCACGTCTTGCGCACGCGTAACCCTGCTGAAACAACCACCAACGATGCGGGCAAGAAGATCAAGGGCGAAAAGAAATGGTACTATCTAATTCTTGCTGAGACGGAGAAGACAGGTGATGTACATATTTTGGCAGAAGGTAACTTGAGGAAGGATAAGATTGATTTGGTGGAGGGATTCATGGAGGCTGTAATGAACGAGATTGAGAAGTGGAATGATCAGGACGATGGATAGCCACAGGCTTGTGAGTAGAGAAGAGGTTTAAGTGAATAGTTATGAGATGGAGGCCTTCAGGTGTAGTGCTAACCTCAACGTTGCGCCCCTCCGTGCTGTAAACTCTGTTTAAATTCATTCATCCGCAACTATGTAGGTCGTAACGTTGCATATATCAACCTGGAGGATTTTGCGGAATCTACGAGCTGGTAACGGGAATTTAAAGGGGCTTCAAGTTGATCTTGTAATAATGTATTGTGTCATATTCACTCAGCTATTCCTAAAGTGTTGATGGGCTCTAGGCTACTGCGAAAGACCCATTCTTCACTCGCTTCTAAACATGTACTTCGTGAATTTAAATATCTAGTTCACCACTGTTAGCGGGCTGCGGGCCGGGCTCGTCGTCCAGCGTCGTCGCTGTTCCTGGCCTTTCTCTTCATGACCTATTTCGTCGGTCGTAGGATGGGCGTGTCAGCCCAGTCGCTGTGCTGCGGCTTGGTAAATTCCAAGTCGAAGTGCATGATGCGGATGAGCTCGTAGGCCTCTGAGGACCTGACGCGCCACGCTGTTGCCGCAGCTGACCGTAAGCTTGGATCGACCAACAAAAACTCTCGTCGAATAGACTCTTGCGGTCCAAGGACGAGTCAGCTCAATATATCACAGCTCTGAGCGAAGTGATTCGCCTTCATAGTGACGAAAGGGGGAATGACTTCTTGGCCCGATGCTGGCGGTATCTGCACAGGCTCGGTTATTGCCAAACGTCTGGAGCAAAAGTGTTAGTATATGTAAATCTAAGAGCTCCCAAACCATTAACTTACCGTATATCCACGACCGATCGCGAAGCCTCAAGGTGTGAAGCGAGGATGTCCTTGGTGCAGAAACTTCGGAACACTGCTAGTCTTTGGTCCTTCGGTCGGTAATAGAACGGTACGACCTTTGCACCGTCGCATTGCGCGCGACTTCGAAGGATATTGATGTCCACATCGGCCGCTGGCGGCGCATCTTTGATCCCACGATACATTTCCCGTGCGCGCTCCCAACGGATCCGTTCCTGTCCATTTGTCATGATCACCCGCTCGACTGCCATCTCAAAGGCTTCGCTGTATGTGTTGCGCCAGAGGACGTGCAAGTCGTTGAGAGCGGTCTGATATATGTCTCGGTTCGCAATCCGAACTTCTTGTTCTTGGGCCGTCTCGGCCGCAGGCAGGATGCTGAGGGCGCTCACCTCGATTGCCCAATTTGTATTCCATAACTTGAAGGAAAGTGTCGCAAGATTTCCACGTAGCCACCGCTGCAGGAACGACCCAGAACCATACCGCTCGGTACAGATGTTTGCTTGGATCTTTTTATAGTGGTCCTTTACCCACCGTCGGTCCGCCTCTGTGCCCACCGCCCCAGCCAACACATCCTCAAAGCCTTCTGGGAGTACACCGAAATATGTCGCGATCACTCTGCCCCTCAAGGTACCCTGTGGTAGGGTTGATAGTGTCGCTGGTGGATCAACGTCATGTCCGCTGTTTACTTGTATTGTCGAGAGCCAGGTCCGCCTTCTCTCACACGTTAGCCGGCTTTGCGCTATCGCCTTCACTCACCTCAATTTCTTGCGGCGTTGTAGGGCTGAGACTAGGTGAAAGCGGCTTTAGCATCGAGCCCCACTGCGCTACGTTTTGAGCTTAGCAACGTGTTGCTGTAGGTCCCACGTGGGCGGCACCTGACCGAACTTATATTGGGCCTGGGTATGACCTGATGATTAGGTATGGTTCAGGTGCCGTTCAGGTGTTTGCTCAGTTGATAAACAGTTTGAAGGTAGATGCTCGCAAACAATACGAAAGCAAATAGGCTGGACGTGAGTTCTTTGAGCATCAGCATAGACCTGGTGTCTTGCATGCTCAGTGAGCTTCTCATGATCGACAATAGTAGTTCTGCGTTAAGGTATGATTTCAGGGAAAAGTAGAATCATGCTACAAGCAGCAGAAGAATACAACGCAGTAGAGTAATAACAGAAGGAGACCACAGAATAGGCCGTATACCCAAGACCCTGCGTGAAGATACATATATATATATATATACCTATGTGGTGGTGTTATGGATGTTTCGGGTATCAAAGTTACTTGCTCCCGAAGTCAGGACCGACTCCAGCTTGGGTTTCTTCCGTGGTGAACAGTGCAGGCCTCAGCTTTGCGCTCCTCTGCGGCCGTCTCGGCTATAGCTATGCTTCCTGCTTCAGCAGTCTTCCTAGCTGGTTCGGCTTTCCCCGTTCTCTGCAGCCGCCTTGGTCTTCCCCAACTCGGCTGTGACCTTGTCCTGTGCCTTTCGAACCCCGGCAGCTCTCTTTCCAGCAGTTTCTGCCTTCTTAGTATGTCTTGTTATGCTATGATCTGGAGGTACATCTTCCGGGTAACAAACCAGCTTCTTTAGTCCTGGAATGCAGTTGGCTCCTTCCGGAAAATTGCACGGCTCTTGGCCATCTTGGTGCCCTTTTCGCGGAACATTTCGTGCAGCTGTCTCTCATAAGGAAAGCTTGTTATTCACGCAAGCGCCTGAGTTTGCGAGGTGCAGCTCTCAAAAGTGAATTGTTGCTGCTGAAGTTACAGCCTGAAGCTATACAAGGTATTGTTGGGTTTCAATCGCCATGTTTACATCCCGTCTATAGCTTTAGATTATTAGATAAGTTGCTGCGCCGTGCTTGTTCGCGTTGACGATTGTCAGCTGTGCGGGGCACGCTCGCTGAGACTTTGGACATTGCCGGGCTTGGAAATCGGTGCAGAACTCCAATTGAGGTACCTGGGTGAGGTAATGGATACGGGGGCGTGGATTCGGTGCGATTGGCCGCAACGCCTTCAATAGTGAGGGCATGAGAGTGAGAGATGGTCGTGAGATGATGGAGTGAAGAATTGAGAGAAGCCTTAATGTTTGTGGCAGGTAAGAAGCAGTACTAATAATCTCGCTCATCTCGATATCAAGTCTACATACAACACTTCCTCCCTTTTCGACGCTACTTTTGACCAAGAGCCCAGGAGACGATTGCAAAGATGGCTATCAAGATCATGCCCACGATATTCGAAGAAGTCGAGCTCCGGAACCACCTCCAAGAGACTCTCGAAGACTTGCCGAACAATCTACCTCAATATGACGAAATGCGATTGCTTGGTGAGCAGCCTGAAGGCTCCGCTATCAACTTACACCTAACACCAATAGACGACCTCTGCTTCCTCCTCCGCAGCCCACTCTTCCTCTACGCCGTAACCTCCCGCCTCACACCCCCAAAACCATCCGGCCCCTTCCCCTCAACTCCCAAATCTGTGGCATCCGAGTCCAACAAGCCCACCACCATCTTCGACATCGCCCACCTGGAAATCCGCATAAAATGGGCCAACAACAGCTGGGCCGCGCAACTCTCCTACGGCGACAACGTGCTGCTCGAAGGCCGACATCTCAGTGTGGATCAGGAAACGGGTTTTGTGCAGAGCTTCTTCTGGTTCTGCGAGGAGGCGAGCTTCTTGGCATATGAGTATAAGGCGCGGGAGGGGGCTTGGACGGCGCGGAAGGGTGGGGAGGGGAGGACGAAGGACGGAAAGAGAGCGTTGAAGTTGAGGATTAGGATGAGGGATGGGGAGAGAGGAAGGGCAGGGGTCTGGAGGATTTATTGAGATTTGTCTAAGGGATGGGGGTAGGTGCAAGTGGGTGGTCGACTGACGAAATCTTGGGAGGGACATTTGGGATTTTATGCACATTCATGGTATTTGCTTTATGGACAGTGCAAACAAGAAAAATATCGGCTTACAGCTATACTCTCAAACTTACTATTAAAATCCTGTCCAACCCGTCTGCGTTGCTACAGGCGAGAACGCGTAGTGAAGTCAACGTGGTCACGTGTCTATGCCCCCGAAAACCCGAAGTCAGCTTGTCATCGGCATACCCAACCTGCCTATTCCCAGCTTCAAGTTTCTTCAGTACTTACAAAGATTACACTCTCATCGATTTTCGTGATCCGCTCGCCAATCACTGATCTGCCTCCACCAAACTCCACCTTCACCCCAGATCGAACACCCCCGGCACCACGCCGGGCCCACCTCTCTCGCCTACGGTCACCCAACGCTCGGATACGGTCACTCACCTTGCTGCTCAGCAGCGCTAGAGCTAGCGCTTTCCCGGGCATATATAATCCCCCCTCGGGGCTCCCCCTCCTCTTCTTTTTCTTTAGCTCTCGTACGTTTTCCCCAACAACCCCCACTATCTGGTCACTTGCTAATCTCCTTCTCAGTTTGCCTTTTGGCTTAGATCAAGTGTAGTATCTGTTCTTTCTAGTTTAATCGCTAGAACTTTCCTACGGGAATTCACGATTATTCTTATTTTTGCAACTGGTCAATGGCTCACTGGGCTTGCCCATAGTCACTGGCACTGTGTCGTTCCTCTCACACTACCTGGAATGTACGCGACCCTTTTTCATTGAGTTGGCTAGCTTTTGCTGGTCACTTGAGGAAGAAGTTTCTTTTCCTCCATCATTTCCCCTCTTGTTTGTGGTTCTTCGTTTGCGCTATCGCTCGCATACACCCTCTAACTCTGACGATAGCAGACACGCGCTCAGCTTGGCCGAACTCCCGTTCAATTTGCCATCCTTCGTCTTTCAGACCGAAGAGGACTCTTTCAGAGCGTCTTGAGGACCCCATGAACTAGGGAGAGTAACACGCGGGTCGAAGTGTTCCTGTAAGATTCTGCAAAAGCATTAGGGTAAACAACAGTTCAGTTGTTGTAATATACTGATATCAAAAGCAGCGCATAGTATGTATTGTGGGCAGAATAGATTGATTGATAGCTTCTGTCCTAGTTTTACGGTGTCATTTAGAGATTGTGACCCTCGGTACGCGCGGTAATACAACCTCTAGTCCCAGCCCTGACTATGATTCTCGTGATACCCGTGTGGATGCCCCCTGACCATGATCCTCACGATATCCGTGTGGATGCCGTGTATCTAATAAGTAGATATCAGGAGTGGTAGCTTAACCCTCCTTGGGGCACCCGCGTCCTTTCTTAGTCTGGATGTCGCAGCAGTCGGCGTCCTTTGAAAGTACATAGTAGCATAGTATGCACAGTTTAGGGGATGAATGTTACGTACGCAGTCTTTGCGAGTGACGTTAACTTGTTCGCAGAGAGTCAACTTGTCCTGGTCGTGACCATCGAAGGAGCACCCTCCAATGAAGGCATAGGCTAGTCCAAGCTGGCGCCTGCAAGCTCCCTCAGAAGAGTAGCAACAGTTTTCACGCGCGTGGCATTCCTTAGCGGCGACGTTGCCCGCAAAAAGGAAAGCTGAAAGAGCGGCGACGGTGAAGTTGGTGAACTGCATTTTCGAAGTTGTACAAAAAGAGTGCGTGGTTCGGTTGAAGTCGAAAGGACTGTGAAGTAGACGTAGACGAGATGGAAGGGGATGTAGAAGTGAACGAATGTAGATGATATGGAAGGAGAGCGGTGCTTACCTTGGTTTATCATAACTTGGTAGAAGCCACAAGTCACACAGCATTTGCACCGACAGATACTCTGTAGATAGCAGCATGAAGACTGTTTCGACTAACTGCATCTGTGCGAACAAATAAAGTTTAGTAGAGATAGGCAAACACAGTACGATTACTAGAACGAACGCCTTCTGGTTTTAGAGCATGAACTTCAGTAGCAGCGCTAATACAAAAATATGTCTAACTCAATGTGTAAAATCTCCGTGTTACTGGAAAATAAAGCCGTTTCTATCACTAGTTCTAACTAGTGCCTTAACAGACTAAAACGAAGCAAGAATACGGTACCTTCATAGGCTGAAACGAAGCTAAATCACAGTGTCTAAGAGCCTATTCAGTTGCTTCGTTTTCGACAGTTATTTTAGGGCTTACTATTAGTAGTAAGATAAGTAAGTTAGCGCTTATCTAAGATGAGAGAAACCAAGCAAAATAAATAGAGACAAGATTTTTAAGATAACTGCATAGCACTAGATGAGTTAGAAGGCCTGAAGAAGTAGAATATAGTTAGTAGTAGATTAGAGGTACGTAAGAGTCAAAATTTTAGTAACAGTACTGACAAAACAGTACCTCTAACAGAACCAAACAAATTTCAGCTTTACGAGATGTAAGCGCTATTTTTGCTTCGTATTTTAAAACAGAGCCTTAAAACAACGAAACAGCTAGTCAAAAGAGACAACTTAATAGGCCCTGAGTTGGCTGGATTCCGCTGAAACGAAGCTGAAACACAAAGCAACTAAATGGCTCTCCTAGTAGCATTTCTTCGCTATGAACAAAATAATACGAAGGTTATAGTAGATTATTAAATTTTAGCAGTACCGGAGAATTTTTTAATGTATAGAGATTTGCAGGAGTAGTCTAAGAAGAGACTGGTCTAATTTGCTTCGCGAAGACTGTTGCACAGCAAATTAGGAATGCTTATTCTTTTGTCACGTAACTTTGCAACTTTCTGTCAATAAACTTACGTGCGTTATTGTTCTCGTCCAACGCTAATTACGCACGTAAGCAGGTTCAACGTAAGCAGGTTCAACGTAAGCAGGTTCAATGTAAGCAGGTTCAATGTAAGCAGGTTCAATGTAAGCAGGTTCATAGGTTTCTCATCTGCAATCAGGGGTAAAAAATCGCTGTGACAATGCACAGTTAGCTTGCATTGATAGACAAAGTTTTGCCAAGAACTAACAGCGTGAAGTAATATCTCTTGGCACAATAGTCGTTCGCAAGAACTCTGATTGTATGTACAGCTAGGTAACAAGGTGCATATATATATATATATATGTCAAGTTGCTGCTGTACAGATAAACTATCAACTTCAGCGACCTTCTTTACTCAGTCAAACACACATTCGTTTCCAATCACCGCTCTTTAAACTTCACTACTACTCCCAAGTCAAGATGCAGTTTTCCGTCTTCTCCACCAGCTTCCTCGTCGCCATCCTAGCTGGCACTGCCCTCGCAGCCCCCTCTAACCTCAAGGAAAGGTCCAGCGTAAGTAGTCAAGTTCAGACGGAAAACTCTTGCAGCTAAGATTCCTATAGACCAACCCATGCGGTAAAGGCAGGGACTGCTGTTATAGCAGCAAGCCCGCGTGTGAGAGACAAGTGGGCTCTCTCGCTTACTATCTCACCTGCTTTGACCCCGACGTCGTGACCTACTGCTCTGACGAAGGCATTACAATGGCTCAATGCGTAAGTTACAATGGTCGTTCACTTGTTAGACATCACTAACCCAGACATAGGATGCCGATTGCTGCTCCATCAAGACAACGTTTGGTCGTAGCTGCTCTTAAGAAACTCTCAATCGAGGGGGTTTTTCTGCACTGCAGAGAGTTTGTCTGTATACATGAGTCCTATCACAGTCCACTCTTGTATAAGAACTACGACGCGTTCAAACTTTAGTTTCGTGTAGCTTAACCATCAATCAAACTTTTTACCCCGTCGGTTCTCGCCGTGCTCATTCGCTTGCTTCTACTGTACTATATCATGATTTTCAATAACCGTGGGACACTGGTGAAAGTGCCGGCCCTGTGATTTTGTGTCCTTTGTACGATCTCAGCACAGCGACGACTCATGCTACTGACGACTGACGGCGGTGGGAGACACGGGGCATACGTCGAGGTATCGCGTGGGTTGGCTGGCATTTGGACGGCACTATTTGACAGTCTTGCAAGCAAATGAAACTGTAGTCCGGGCCAGACGCAGTCATGACGGGTGGAGGACGAAGATGCAGGTCGCAAACCTCTGAATTATGTGCGTAATCTCAATAGTATGCGATGTATACAATTACACCGACTCGACTCCAACCCCCCAACATCCCCATGCTACGCAAACATAATCTTCTTCCCCTTAAACACCGTCCCGCCCAACACCTTCCCAAGCGCATACCCCAAATACGCCCCCGTAACAATCGTAACCGGCCACTTCTGCCACTCGCGATCCCTATAGCCTGATTAGTCCAACCTTGAGAATCCCACACATGATCTTGAACTCACCAATCCAAGGGAATCGGCACCGCGCCCAACCACGCACCCAAAACCGTACCAATCAAACCACCGTATACTTCGTCCATCGGCACCAACAGCGCGACGATTTGCCGCCACGTCTCGCCATTCACGCCGTGCACGTAGACCAGTGGGAGTGTGCTGAGCAGCGCGACGTGCGCGCCACACAGGAGCGTATGGAAATGATGCGTTGTCACCGGTGCGCCGAAGAGGATGAGGGTGGCGGTGAGGAGGGGGGTTGCGGCGAGTGCGGTGAGGAGGAGAGAGAGGAATGCTGGCTATCAGAAAATGTTAGCATAAATCCCATACAACTCAATCTTACATTCAAGTGTATCCGGAAAAAGAGAAGATGGAAACATTGACACGTACAACAACACTCCCCCTCGCCCCGCCCACCTCCTTTGCCGCTTTCTTCTCCCCCGGCTTGACCTTCTTAACCTTCGGCGTCTCGCCCGTCGGCGGCAGGCAGATGGCTACATACGCGACTTGCAGGACTGCAAGCGGCGCGAGGATATTCAGCAGCGCGGGGACGGGGTCCGCGACGATCGACTTGAATTGGAATGCGTAGAGGGAGAGGATGATAGCGGGGTGTGCGTAGGTATAGAGGCGCGCGATGTCGGTGGGCAGAGGGGAGATGGGCGCGGAGGTGCTGGGTTTGGGCTTGGAGAGGGCCGAGGCGTCGATGGTGGTCTTTGAGGCCATTGCTGAGATGTGTGATGGAAAAGAGGCAATTGGATGTAGTGTGACAAGGTGGAAAGATTGAAGGAGTGTAGATGGCACCGGGCCGTGGTGAGGGGTTTGGTGATGGCTTTGGATGGAAGTGTTGCGCGGTGGATGTCGCGCGGTCGAGAAGTTTGAAGATGGCGTCCGTGCGCGAGCACCGTCATGAGCATGAGCATGAGCAGGACAGAAGACGGAGTATCTGACATTCTTGATTTAGATCATGGGAAAAGCTCGATGAACTGCTTTTAGTACTCTAGGGCCTGGCTTAATGTAGATCCGGAAGACACGCTCTCAGTGAAGTCGAAACATTGCTGAAGCCCACACCAAACGCCCACCATACACTCTGCATCTACTCCTTCTTCGGCAGCAAGTTCCTCAGCGAAAGATCGTACACGACATCCTCCACATCCTTGACCCTGTACTTGAGCCCATCGCTCCTGCGGCGCAGACTGTCGTTCTTGAGGTTGAGAATCTGGAAGCCCGCATGCAAGTCCTTGACGAACTGGTTAATCAGAAGCGGGCGCTCGTAGTCGCCGAGCGTGACGGCGTTGCGAGCGAGACGAGTCTGTAAAGATCTCAGTATTTGTGATTAGTGATGCGCTGAGGGCGACATACCAGCTCTTCCACGAGCGAGATGAGAGATTGCAGATACTCTTCGATGGTGAGGTGGAACTCATCGCGGTCTTTGAGGTTGACGGGGACTGTCAAATGTTAGCCTTGATTTGTCTGTGTATCGTTGGAGACATACTGTGCAGGATTTCGCCCAAATCTTCAATAGTGAGAAGCTGTCCGCACTTGATCTCGCCGCCCTCGTACTTGTAGCCTCCAAGCCAGCCCCAGAACAGCAGACCTTCGACCTGTGATGCTGTCAGTCCGACGTTACATGTGGTGACAGTGCCACAACATACGGCACCCTGCATCTGACGGCTCCACATATTGTTGAACTTATAGTACGGCATCTTGGACGCAGCTTGCGAGAGCTTGCCGACCGTCTCTACAACATTGTCGATGGGCTCTTTGGCTGCGCCGAGGACGTCGGAGACTGGTGCGCGTCAATGTAAGTCATGGGTAAGGTGAAAGTAGTACTGACGGCTTCCAACAGGCGTGGAATGCGCTCTCGACAGCACGAACGAGACATTGCGGTCTGGAAAGCATCAGCTGTATTCACTGATGTCACGTTCAATTTCATACTCTGCTTCTCGAGCGCTTGGATGATGTCTTTCAGTTCCTGTCGCGTGGTGAGTGCGTGCTCACGTGCTCCGCCGCGGCCAATCACCACTCACATCGCGCACCGCAGTATCCTCGTCGACACGGGCCTGCAGGTCCTGGAAGATGGCTGGATTGACGCCGGTCATCGTGAAAGTTGTTCGGAAGTGTTGAGAGGGATGTGATGGTGATGCGGACTCTGGGCAGTGGAGGAAATTGTTTGTTGGCGCGCGAACAGCGGCGAAAAACCATCGTGCTCCGCGACCATCTTTTCGTCACTCACGTCCTCACTCACGTCCTCATCTGCATACTGTGTGTACCAGTATTGTTCGCGATCGCCATACAGTCGTCACGTGCAAAATCTCTAGTACTCATTTCCCCGCTAAAATATCCGAACTCATTTTCTCGTTAGACTGCCCGAGGCTGACCGTTAGGGTTCCCATCATTTCCTCAAGTGAAGCTTGGGGTCGGTCCGCAGAACATGACAGCTGCGGGCACCCATGGATGTCAGCTTACACTACATGGTGTTCCTGATTGCAACGCAAGGCGTCGCACGCGCATACGACGACATGCATGTCTACCAAGGAATCGTCAGCATGGCCAAGTCGAAAGATGCTTCGCCTCCATCAGGCCCTCCATCGTACTTGGCAAGCCTGTTGGGAGTCTGGCTCATAGGCGCCAATACCGTGTGTCAAAAATACGGTTCGCTAAGCAACTGCAGGATTCTCGACACAACTCAGGTCCACGGCTACTACATGGCAAACACCAACGTGTCGTTGCCCGACGTATTCTTCTTCCAACGTTCACGTCTTCCGTATCTACGTGAGACGAATGCCATGGGAGTCGCTGCTTGCAAACGGAGTTGGTGAGATTGGAACTCCGCCGCAAATTAGTGTGTAGAGATTAGATTATCCCAAGCCCTGACGTGCCAAGGCCCCAAAATCCTGACAAGGCTCTTTTCGGCCAACGAAACACGCAGCATCTCCCAATTATAAGCTCCTACGGCAGTCAGCAGGGGCCTCTTGGTGAACCTTGTGCAACGAATTGTTGCAAATCCGTCCAAGCAACCTATCGTCCACCACCGCCACCCGCCGATATGCCATTTCCCTGCCCCTATCCGTAATTCCGGACCCGCTACGCCGCTGCGCAGTGAGACGCCTTGTCAATCCTTCGCAAGGCTGCAAATTGGCTTAACATGAGGGTCTGCCGCCGACTTAGTCTCAGTCCAGGTTTGCTGCATTTACCTTCTACGCTGCGACTGCGCTGGTGATTTGTGACCATGCTGGCCGTCTTCGCTCAGAAGCGCGTCGTCGCCGTCGCCGCCGCCTTTTTCGCCATATGCCTGCTGCTGGCGTCGTCGGGACACTACTATTACCGCGGATCTAGCCTCAACGCCACGCCTGAGCCTGCCTTTGAGCACAAGCACGACGTCGTCGTGAAGCCACCACACTATACAGAACCCATCCCCAAGCAAAAGCCCGCCGACGAGAATCTGCTCGAGCACACGCCCGAGGGTGTCGACAAGGGCGACCCGCGTCCCGACGTGCCTGCCAGCCCCGACGTGCCTGCCAGCCCCGACGTGCCTGCCAGCCCCGACGCAGCCGCTGGCCACGTCGTCAGCGAACACCATGGAAACCCCAAAAACACCGGCCTCAAGCCGGACGGCACCGAGAGGCTGGCATACGTGACTTTCCTGTCTGGCACGCTCGACCAGGACGAGGACCTTGAAGCCGACAACTACTTCGTCGCCGTCCGAATCCTCATGTGGCAGTTGCTGCACAACCCCGAAACCCGCACAAAAGATATCGATGTAGTCGTCATGGTCACGCCTTCCGTGTCCCAGTCCCGTCGCGATCGCCTCAAAAAGGACGGCGCCATCGTCTACCCCGTCGAGTTCCTGCGCTCCTCGTCGCGCTGGGCCAAGGCAGGAGACGCGCGCTGGGACGATGTCATGACCAAGCTGCGGGTGTGGGAAATGACCCAATACAGCCGCATTCTCGTCATGGACGGTGACAGCATGCTGTTGAAACCTCTCGACGGCGTATTCGACGACCCGGGCGCACAGATTCGGTCCACCAAGCAAGTTGACGACTACAAGCCCATCGAAGGCGTAAAGCCGCTGCCTCCCACATATCTGCTCGGCAGCTTGTCAGAGGTTTGGGACTCGACCCACGATTTTCCGCCCACACACGGCACTGGTTTGAAGAAGCCCGGCTACATGAACGCCGGCTTCTTCATGCTCGCCCCGTCGATCGCCGCCTTCGAACTCTACAGCAGTTACCTCGAGATCCCAGATTCCTTCGACCCCCGGTACCCCGAGCAAAATCTCCTCAACCAAATACACAAGTGGGACGGCCCGATGCCGTGGACCGAGCTTGCATACACATGGAATATAAGATGTCCGAGCGATAACGACATTGACAAGGGGCTTGTCAGCCTGCACGAGAAGTGGTGGACGCAGCCGTTTCTGTACGAGAACCAGCGTACTAAGGACTGGCTAAAGAGCAGACGGTGGGAAATGAAGGGCTTTTTCGACGCGTACGATCGATTCCACCGTGATGGCGAGACGAGGTAGCACGCGCTGTACTATGTATAATGAACAATAGATTTCTTTTCTGACTGCGCGGACATGGGTGATCACAATCGATGTCCAGCCCAGATATCCAAGAAGCCGAGATTGCGGCGGAGTAAGGCCGCACTCATCCGACGACTCCGACACATATGACTGCAATTCGCAAAGACAGGATATATGCTCATCCTCCTTGGCTGATCTCGACAGGCTTTGTGCGAGCCGATAATAATCCCGGATTACGTCCAGCAGGCGCTAGTGCTGCTCCCCGCATTTGCCAATGATGTAGCTCCGGAGCTTGTGCACGGCATGTCGCGACATCTTACAGGTGTTTCTGCAGTTTAAAATTTCTTCCAAGGTTTAATCTATTTTCATGTAATATTTGGCAGTCTCATCGCCGAACTCACGAATCCTGAACTGCGCGCTCTGCACATGATGCCAAAGACGGATGTTCTCATTGCGGGCTCGGGGTCCGCAGGTGTTTTTGCTGCGACTTGGCTGGCAATATACAACATTCCCTTTACAATTCTCGAAAAACGCGCGGGCCCGTTGGACGTGGGACAGGCAGATGGCGTGCAAGTCCGGACTGTAGAGATTTACGAGTCATTTGGCCTGTCTGAAGACCTACTCAGAGAAGCGTATCACGTCCTCGAAGTGTGCTTCTGGGGCAACGACGAAGGCAAAGATGAAATCAAACGAAAGAGCAGGACCCTCGACACAGAAAAAGGATTAAGCCATCTCCCGCACGTCATCCTCAACCAAGCCCGCATGAACGGCCTGATGCTTGCCAAAATGTCCACCATCCTCAAATCCAAAAACGCGCTTGACAAAGGCAAGATTGAATACGGCTGGACCACCAAATCCGTCTCCGTTGACACCTCCAACTCCGATTACCCTTGCACCGTGACAGCAGTCAAAGACGGCGTAGAGCAAACCTGGCACGCAAAGTACGTCCTCGGCTGCGACGGTGCGCACTCGACCATCCGCCACTCCCTCTCTATCCCCATGCTCGGCGACACCACCGACACCGTCTGGGGCGTCATGGACATCTTCCCCCTCACGACTTTCCCCGACATACGCCGGAAATGCACCATCCACTCCCCGCACGGCAACATCGTCATCATACCGCGCGAGGGCGGCGAGATGGTGCGGTTTTACATACAACTTCCGCCTGGTACGAAGCCCAAGGAGGTCCGACTGGAGGACATTCAGACGCAGGCCAGGCGGATATTTACCCCCTATCAGATGGATTTCGCGCATGTATTTTGGTGGAGCGCGTACTCCATCGGCCAACGCCTCGCGCAATCCTTCCACGCCTCCCACCGCGTGTTCCTCACTGGCGACGCGGCGCATACACATTCGCCCAAAGCCGGACAGGGCATGAACGTCAGTCTCCAGGACGGGTATAACATCGGGTGGAAACTCGGCAGTGTCTTGTCCGGCCTTTCGCCACCTAGTTTGCTCGAAACATACGTCAGTGAGAGGAGTAAGACGGCGGCGGATCTTATTGCGTTTGATCGCGAGTTGACAGCGCTGTTTAATCGTAAAGAGGAGAGGGAGGGCGAGTTTGCGGAGTATTTTCGCAAGAGTGGGAGGTATATGGCGGGGTTTACGGCGCGGTATGCAGATTCTGTCATCACGGATGGGGAAGCGGGGAAGGAGGTGGCGGATGGGATTAAAGTGGGCATGAGGTTTCCCAGCGCCCAGGTTATCAGGTTTTGTGATTGCAAGGCGGTGCAGTTGCAAAGTGTGCTTAGGAGCGATGGAAGATGGAGGGCTGTGGTTTTCGCAGGCGATGTTAATGACCCGGGGCATCAGGGTCGATTGAGAAAGGTAGGTGTCATCTTCCACTTCTCTGATACGAGACTGACAAGATCCAGCTCTCAACCTCCCTCTCTTCCCTCGCTCGTCTTTACACATCCCCCAAGTCAGATATCGACAGCGTCATCGAACCCATCCTCGTCCTCAGCAGCAAATTCCTCAACGTAGAGCAGGAAAGCATACCAGATTACTTCTGGCCAAAGAGTGGGAAGTACGGGATTAGAGGTAAGTCTACACTAGCCGTGCTGAAATGAGTAGTTACTGACAATGGAGATCTGCATAAAACATACATCGACGACGAACACTATAATTCCGGGCACGGACATGCGTATGAGAAATACTGCGTTAACCCCGATGAAGGTGCCCTAGTGGTTGTGAGGCCGGATCAATGTAAGTCGAGATCAACTTTTGCACGCAATTCGCACGCTAATGTAGAATAGATGTGTCCAAAGTCACGACTTTAGATGATCATGAAGGCATACACGCATTTTTCGCAGGCTGTTTGATCGCGCAGAACACCAAGACCAACGGCGTGTCGGCGTGAGATGGGTGCGTTTGATATGGTAGTGTAGCTTGGCATGCTTCTGGTGTGTATAAAAGCCGGCTTCGCTGTGGACTTCGACTTCAATATCACAAACATCTATTCTCCCATCTCCAAAAACAACCTCTTTGCCTTACATGGAGTACTCCTTCTGCTTTGTCAAAAAAAAATGATGCGAATATCTGATGTTGGCTTTTTTCTTCGCCGTAACAAAATGGCGCTGATCAACATCCATGTCCTTCTTCCGCCCTTCCTTCCAAAACCAATGATACCCGACGCATGACCTTTGCGACGAAGCTGGATCCCTCAATCAAAAATCTCTAGACCAACGACCTATGTGCTCTGCGATGCCGCCAACTCCCTCAATCCAAAAACTCACATACACTTTTCTAAACCACGAACACTCAAAAGGATATTACGAGCAATCTATGGAGATCGAGAGCCCTCGTCTTTTCCAACACTCTCGACTTTCAAAATTGCTGGGGCAACGTTGAATGTCTTTTCTGGCATGGCTGCTGTTCGAAACGGCAAAGTTGGCACTCTTGACGCCAGCACTCTCAAAAAAATTTGGAGGGCCATATGATGTGGGGCTAAAACAAATCACAATTGCATTACACTATGTTGCCTGGCTTGCTTGTTCCGAAACTATGGCCACCGGCAGCCCACGGTGCTGAGACTGAGAGTCCCTGTCCAACTCTAGATTTCTCCACATACACTTGGAGACCTCTGCCTCTTCTTTTGCAGAAACACACAGGTTCTTGGCTTGTGAGTTTCGCGTTCTGATCAGAAGATGAAGGTACTGCGGGGACAGGTATATAAATCTGTGGCTTTCTACTGTTGGGGGAAGTATCACAGATATCCTCTCAAAGTATCAAAAACTCACACATGATCATAATATGTGTATCTTCTTTTTGGCCGAAAATTGGCTCAGCAGAATCCATGGAGAATTGTGTCTGCGCTGCTCCAAAACACTAGCAAAAGCGACACATGATTTCTGCCTCCCACGGTAGACACGGTGCATATAAAAGCTATCGCGTCCTACTGCGAGGAATGCATCACATTTCTCCTCTTCGAATGTCCAAGAATGGAATGGCCCATGCCTATGTCTTCCTACTCTGAGCTCAAGCATGCATGTTCACGCGTGTTCAAAGTTCGTCCAGCACGTCTTCATGTCTAAATTCCGTGTACCTGAGAACGAAACTCAAATGTGAACCAGAGAGCGCTGACGTCTCGTGGAGCTTGGGTTATGAATAAAATATAAAGTCTTGACACTGGTTTACGAAGTTGTACATGATAATGGTGATGACATGGAAACCCCCACAAGATCTGTACAGCGTGTATCTGAATGTTCCCAGGGCATTCGCAATTCCACACACGTGAGAAGGGCTTTTCAGCGTTGACTGGCGGGGCCGCACCGCTTTCCGCAATCTAACCAATGGCTGCTCAAATATGTCCCCGAAACTGGTCTCTCTCAGGACGCTGGTCATAATCGCTCAGATCCTCGCCATCCTCATCCGCCTGTTCACCCTCACCACCAGCGTGGTCGTAATCGTGTCCATTTTCATACCCGTCATATGGCTCGCCCTTCCATGATTTCCACGTCGCGTGCATCCTAACATCATCCTCAAGATCCCCACACCTTTTCGCTTCCCAGCTCTCCTGGCCCAAAAGCACTGCCCAATGCTTCTTCGCCCGGCCAGCCCAGTACTTTGCGCGGTGCGCAATTCCGAAGCTAGAAAATGTGAGCGCGAGGATTTCTTCGTACATGGGCGTTTCCGTGTGTAGATCCTCGTCGTCGTAGAGCTTGATCAGGTTGGGAAGTAGGCCGAGGAGTTGCGGGGAGTCCGCTGTGTCGCTAGGCAGCACGGACTTCAAGGCCTTGATCTCAGAGAGGCGGTCATTGGATGCTTCAATTTCGGCCTCGCTGGCAGTGCAGAGCGAGCACATGCATTGGAAGTTGTGGTTTGCCTCGAGAGATTTCATGCGTCGTCTGTGCGCGCGCATTTCATAACCGTCTGCTCGAGTTAGCGGTGTTCATGGATTTGTGGAAATAGTGACATACAGCTTATTGTGATCTCCTCGCCTGGCTTGATCTCTTTAAGAGCGAACAGATCGAAAGCAAGTGTGTAGTCGTTGAAGCGCCATGCCGCATTTGGTCTGCATGCGTGGTTGATGCGCTGCGTATCGTCAATAATTGCTCAGGACCAATTCTTCTCCATATATAAGCTTACAGCAATTTCGGGCGTGAGTGAGAGTAACACTGGCATGTCATTAACCCATGGCCATTTCACTTCAATAGCGTTGGTCTTGGTGATATCGAAAGCTTCCAGGGCCACCCCAGCTTTTCGCCAAGTTTTGAATCATCTGCTTAGTCGGCCCAGGGAGTTGCACCATCGCACCACTCCAGACAATCTCACTCTGCTCCGAAAAGTCTGTTTCGAGCAATTGCCGTGCAACGAACAGAACTGGCGTTTTGACAATGATGCTCTCGCCAGCAAAAATGGCGCCAATGTCTTTCTTGGCAAATAACCCTTTGCCCATGTTTTTCGTCTCGTTGACCTCCCACATTCCCATCTCTTCGCCAATCTGACCTTCAAGACCGCCGATCGCCATTCCATAGGTATCGAAGGTAATACTTGCAGCAGTTTCTGGTGTTACAACAAAGCTGACACCGCGCCCATTGTTGTAGTTCACGTTCGTGTAGGCGCAAAATGTTTGTTTTAAGCTGGGACCTTCGCTACTGGAAATAACTGCATCCACGCATACGGGCTCATGCGTCCAGGGAAAGGTATTGTATGTGTAGCCATCTTGTGCGACTGGACATGTTGTTGGTGCTCTGTTCACAAGTCCATCTTCTATCACAGGGCTGACTGCCATTGGGTATGACTCGGCGGTGGTTGATGATGAGAAAAGCAGGGCCGATAGGATGATGTCGAAGGGCAGCAGCCCTCGCCGTGTCCATTTGTTCATCATTGAGATTAGTTAGAGATGTCGAGCGATGCGCACCAAAAAAAGGGACCTGGAGAAGACGTGTTCTTAGACTCGACGTCGAGAGAAGTTTCGCCTGTGCTCGGGAGCCACGGTTCATCATGCCGAAATATGGGGACCCATGGCTGAAACATGCTTGTCGTAGTAGGGCTCCACTGATTAATTAATCTTGTCGCATATGTCGATAGCTCAAGAGGGTAATTCGAGATGGGAAAGCGTTCTCGGATGAAATGATGTGCATGCATCTCGGCTGTGGCGAAGCTTATCCGGCTAAAATAAACACGTGATGACTTCGGGAGGTTCCGAGGGTGACATTGGAAGCATCGCAACACCATTTCCATCGCAATTGCAAGTTCGAATGGCCTTCTTATTACAATATTTGCAATACGTAACATATGCGATACCCTCATGCTCCTTACATTGCACAGCGCGTAGTGGCCCGAATAAAGCCCTACCATTACATCATACCATAGTTTGCTGCAGAGTCTACTGTCTAGAAATCACGACAATTCGTCGTATCTTGATATGACCAAGACGATTTCATGAGCAAAGTACAAAGAATAGCCCTTTCTGCTGGAGGGTACCGCTCAGATGTAGCCAGTCCGTCGTGATCCAGAGCAGCACAACGAACATCAATGCCCAAGCCTGCTCATGCTCGTGCATTTCTAGAGAAAGATCTTTAGGGAAAGATGCCAACATGCTTGGGCCTTTGATACCTTCCCTTACGCACGGGTGGCCGGAAAACTTCTTTTGTCCAGATCTCGTCGGCCTTCGGGAGAACACAGCCCGAGGGTGACGCACCTATAAAACACTCCTCCTCGGTGTTCTTCAGAGCTGCAATAGACATGGCTATCGACAAGTATCTAGGAGCTGAAGAGGCGTTTCCTCTGTGGGATGAGGGTCCCATTGATGACGCTTTTGATCTCACCACGCCGAAGAATGACGACGACGTCGCCCAAGCCGTTGTTTCCAGCGTCAATCGTCCGTGGCTGTTCAGATATGATGCTAAAAATTCTCAGAGGAATCTCAGCAAAGCTGTCTTGATCTTAGGTGGTGGAGGATATGTGGAATTGATGGCGGGAAGAGAAGGCTACCAAGTCGCGGAATGGCTCAGGTCTCTCGGCTACCATGCCTTTGTGCTGATTCATCGCTTTCCAAATGAGCGTACGGGAGCGCAAGCACCACTGGATGACGCACGACGCGCTCTACGTATGATCAGGAACTCAGGGTTTGCCAGCGAAGGCTTGGGAATCTGCGGTCTGAGCTCAGGAGGTCACCTGGCAGCTTCACTTCTCTCCGAGTACCCGTCAGTATGGACAGAACGGCACGCCCCTGACGAGGAGAACTCAGACTTATCCCTGCCTAAGCTCGACTTTGCAATCATCGGCTACGGACCAATCTCAACGAATGCGAAAGGACGCCAGATCATTGCCGACAAAAAGCCGCTGGAGCCGCCTGAGAAGCAACAACTCTACGATATTGTCCAACCTGATTTTCAACTGAGGTCAGCGGTACCGCCTACGTTTATTGTGTATTCGGGGAATGACCCTGTGGTTCCGGTGGTGAACGCGTATCGGCTTGCGGAGGGGATTACGAAGACGGGAGCGTCGGTGGAGCTGCATGTGTTTGCAGATGCACCGCATGGCTTTGCATTGGACACGATAGGGATGCCCGTGAGCAAATGGACAAGTATGTGCGAGGAGTGGCTGAAGCAGGGTGGCCATCTTGGGTGATCGGATGTCGGGAGCAGCGGTAGGAGAGCGTTGTGATATGTGTGGCCGATTAGGAGGCAAACAACACAGCTTCATGGGCGAGCGTGCAGTCAACGTGCTTCACTGCAAGTTGTCAGTGCAGAGTGATATACGTTCGCAATCCTACCGCAATCGAAACTCATCTGTACCGCGCATCGCTTCCGGCTACACCATCACACGGAAGGGCCTCTGTTGTATCTTGAGTAGGTGACTTCTTGTCCGGCAATAAGCAGGCAGTTCATGCAAGCTCCAAAGCCTATGAATGAAAACAGTGATTCTACAATGTCATAGGGTATCGGGCGCCATCGTCGCGACAAAAGTATAGCTTTGCTGTTGGTTGAGAGTGTACTCGAATAGGTCGACGCGCCGATGTCTGGTCCCGATTATAGGGTAATGGACGCGCCGTGTAGAACGTACGGGTGTGCTGAAACAGTGAATGCGAATCGTCCAACACTGGTTCGTGATGCAAAACTTGGCATTGAGGATATTCACCCTGCAGTTTTTGAACAACAATATTGTTGTCGGAGAAGAAAGGGGCAGATGAGCATGCAGTCAGGGAGTGATGGAGGACAAGCAAAGCTACGCCGCAGGGCTGCATGGGGCTGGCTCAGCCTCGCGAAAGCCTGCCTCGTCCACCCACATCAAATAGGCGCCAGGCAGCAGTAATTTCTGAAACCCGATGATGCAATTATTTCGTGCAACATGTTCGATGGGCCCTTGTCGTATCGCTTTCGACCTGACATAGGAAACGCGCGAAGAAATGGTTGTTCTGCCGCAAAGTCGTATGGCCTAGCAATGCTCTTTGAGGGAAAGGTGATTACAAGTTATTGATAACGAATTAAGAATTTACTAGCTGATTTGATCCCCGTAAGCGCCCTTGCACGCATCGAAACACAACAGCTTGATGTTTCCGCACGTAGTCGACTTTCAGCAACATAGCCGATTGAATAGCGTAGCCTTCAAGTAACCGCGACACGCCTTGGAATCCTTCCATGCTCTGATCGGATTTCCTGTGACTGAAAATAATCCTACCATCTGTTAGCCAGAAAGTCAATAAATGCAGCGCGATACCATACACTTTTCCAATTCTTTTGGACGATCTAGACTGTCGGCACCTGAAGCCCAGCTGCCGACGGAATGGAGGTCTATGTCCTGATTCTGAGCTTTCGACGAGCCGGGTCTTTGTTGTTCTGACTGCAGGTGGTTGGGTGTACCCGAGCCAGAAGGCTGATCTGGTGGAAGAGCGGTCGGACATGGCGCAGAGCCGCATCGATCCGCAGAATCAGACTGCTCCACGCGCCGACTGTTCGGGCTGGAGGGACGGTTCGAGGCGCTCATATCTAGGCAAACAAGGTGTAGACTTCGAAAGAGTGAGATGCCGATTAAGACTGCGAGATGAAATGCATTTATACTTCCGCCCACTTCACTGCGTTGAACAATGACCTATGGATCTTTCTGCGCAAAGGCCATACGCAATGGATTCCATATTGAGATATGTCGAGTCAGTCCCACCATGCATGCTTTTCTCAATGTCGTGTCCTGGCCAACTCGTCCGCTATGATGCACTATGATCATCGAGGAAAGGGCCGAACGGAAAACGGGAGAAGGGCATGCACACAAGACGCGAACTGAAATGTCGCGGCATTACTAGTGTCCACACAAGCCAGTGAGTGGCTTAGGCACTGCAAGGCTCGGGGTCAGAGTGAATCTTCACAGGCGTCGCTTCGACTTCGTGGGGACGCGGGTCACACCGGGAATCAGGGGATACGGCAGGGATACCAGCGCTATGGTTCTCCCCCAGTCGTGACATATGAGGCCCAGCCGGACGTTATCCAGCTGATCCGCTGGGACCTCTCAGTGACGCGGAGATGGGCACTTCCAAGGTATGCTCTAGCCCACGGCATGGTGCTGAACATCACTAGGTCCAAAAAAGTTCCGAAACGACCGGAAGTAATGCGCGACTGCTTGTGATAGGCGTTTTTATCGACAATCCTTTTAATATGCCTCCCAAGTGCGGCTCGCTTGGATGCCGGTAAGTGATCACAACACCAGCTGGGGTCAGTGTGCTAATGATACAGATGGTACCTACTGCACTAGAGATATTGCGCTTATTGCGCATTCGCCCATAGATGAAAGACCTGCTGGAAGCACCGAATGTGGGCCTTGTTATCACGCATAGGCCCAGCGCCAAATGTTAGTGACCCGGCTGAGAATTTGCCTGAACATGAGGAATCGGTTAACCTTACTAGTGCAGATACTGTAGAAGCATGGACTCCCGTAGGATCGACCGGATGAAAGCATTCGCGATGTCAGGTGGCGATAAGTACTGGGAGGGCAGAATAATGGAGGACCAGGGGCCCGTAATCCTTGCCGCGAAGAGAGCCAGGAATGGAAGGAGTGGGAAGTGGTCCGCTTCCCCGACTCTTGCCCTAGGCTGTGCCAGGTATGCGGTGCAACATGTGCGCGCACGAAGAGGGTTAGTCAGGCAAAGTTGCTGATGTTGGTCTCCTCGCTCTAGCTCTGTAGAAATAGCGCGTGAAATATAAACGGTGAATGTTAGAGACGGAAAATCTTCTGGGCCACAGCATCGACCAGTGACCATAGACACTGTTGTTCTCCCATGGTAGGACCGAACGGAGAAAACTGCTACATGCCAAAGTATTGACTATGTCGATCCTAAAGAGCTGGATTCGAATGTGCATGATGAAGCTTAGGAGTTAGCTCGCAGAGGCTCATCTCGGTTGGAAACCTCCCTCATGGACATCATTCCAAGACCACGCCAGACACCGGTGAAGAGCACGGCCACCTTGAGAAACGAGGCGCACCGGTTAAATCCCCAGGCGATCCTACGAGGCTGCAGCTGCATGCAATTACCAATGCAGGAACGTTGGGTGGAGAAATGACAGTTAGACTGCATGGAATCTACGTCCGAACGTCAGGTAGCCGGGAGACGGGGCTCGGATTAGCGAAGACCTACCGAGCCGAACCTTTGGTGGCATTCTAGAGCGCCTCGCCGAAGTTTAAAGTAAGGGCAGTGCGCTTTGAGGAGCTCAATGAGTGCAAACTACGACGTTGCACATACATGTAGCGGACCGAGAGCGATGCAGCCGAGGCAGGTTGGTATGACTAATTACGCATTGCTTCCCGAAGAAGCGGCTGTCGTGAATGTGCTTGTGCTGTTCTTTGGCACGATTCACCGTTGCTAAAAGTCCTTCATGTTAGCGCTCCTGTCAGATCCCCTTAGTCGGTATCGCCCAGCATGCTTGGTTTGGTTGCAATGCCACCTTGTCGATGCAAGTATGAACTGTTTCCAGCTATGGTTTGCGTTGGCCTAACTTGACGAAACAGAAGCAGTGACAAAGTCGGTGAAGAGTTTGTGCGTGTGGTGTGTGGGCGAAACCGGCAGGGATTCTTCGACGTGTCTAGATATGTCTCGAACTTCCCGTTTCGACCCTGGAAGTTTGGTTCTGGTGGTGTAGAACAGTAAAGAAGTATTGGTTCCGGACGCCAAGCGACACACATTCAGCCCTCGGCGACCTCGTGGCCAGCGCTTACGTTGCTGACAAGCTACACCGCTGTTTTGGACACTAAAACATTGAAATCTCAGACTTGCAACTTCTGAGACAGCCTTCAAGATCGTGCTGACGTATCGCGAATACCTTGCTAGTGGCCTTGGTAATGGCGCAGCCTTGTAAGTGGAGCATGAAGATCAAAGAGCCCACCGTCAGGCTAGGGAGGTTACGCGATCGAGGTAATTGGATCAAAAACGTGAGGACCAGATTCTGAACATGGCGAGGTGATGGGAATCGTCTAAACGAGGTATTAGCGTCTTGGTCAAAACGTAATCCCTTTTGCATGCATATGCGCAATGCCCTCTTGGTGTCGCATCGGCCAGCGAAGATCTATCTCTATCAAGCGCACACTTGCCTCAGAAAATTCGTAGAAGCTGCACCAGTCCACGGGTGACCGATCTCCATATCAGACCGCCTATATGCACGGGTTTGTGTAGGAACCGTGAAGTAGCTCTTGGTGGCAGTGTGAGGACGTGCGCTGCTTCTCCTTCATGAAATAGGTAAACCAGAGAAGTCAATTCTTATAACGGTTCCGATAGTCTTGGATTTTAGACTGTACGCTCAGGCTATCCTCAGCCTTGTCCTCGATGATCTTAACTTGATGGCGTAGTTGCACACGCATCCCCCGTCTAATCGAAGCGTAATAGGTAGGGAACGATGTTGGTGGCTTTCAGTTTGAAGTCACACGCAACGCTCGACTGGGTTGTTGTGCGTCAACGGGTCCCTGCATCGAACGTGCTTGCGACTAGTCCATGAAGGTGGTGTGTTGAACGCATTTCAGCTGAGCGAGCGCCACCGGGTGCGTCCTTTGTGCAATTCTGGAAGTTTGTAAAGCATGGGAGGATCATGCTACGAAGTAGAACTCAAAATCAGCCCTTAGCCACAGTCTTTGGTAGTGAGTTGAACCTGTCGGTGATGCAAGCCTTGCCCGTACTGCCACGTGGTCGTTGATGCAGGGGCAGAGGATCCCTGCTCCCATCCTGCGACTCGACTAGTAGGGGCGATTTCACTGATTCGTTGCTAGATCTCCTGGCATTCTGAGTAATCGATCGCATCTCACCGGTGGGAAGCACCACGGATTATCTCACATTGACCGCATGCTGCCTGAGGTCCGCTTTGGAATTTGGCTAGCCTGCAGACGTGGCGTGGAGATCCCTAAAATGGCGCCTGATCCTAGCCTTGCCTATATACCGTAAGTTGAAGATTTATAGACTAAGCCCAGAGGTAGTTACCTGTCAGGTATTCGAGTGATAGCGAAACCTGAAACGTTGACGAGGATGTCTTTAGGGTCTGAGGAGCTGATGTGACAGGATCGCTCATGCTAGCCTATAAGTCCTCAGCGTCAGATAATGCGGTATTGCGTCTTCTTCAATCAATCTTTCACTGTCGATCGGCAGCAACCGTGCGGAATAGTCCTTAGTCCTGTCCCAAGAACGGTCGCTACGGACGACTGAGTAAAAACCAAGCGGGGATTGTGCTCATTCCGAGCACTCGCGCATGGCAGTGGCCCCGAGTGGCTCATGAGTCGCAGTTCGAAAGTTATATGCTTGAGACCGAGACGACCAAGTACCTGAAAAGTGCGACCTCTGCGGCGGCATTACGTGGTCATTCCTAGGTCTTGCAGGCCAAACTGGGCCTCAGTTTCGTAGCTCTGAGTCGAAGGTGATGGAGTCAAACACATAAGGTCATGAGCTGCAATAGCAGATGGCTGGCTAGTAGGGGCTTGTGAGTGGATCTTTGTGATGCCGCCGTGGATGACATTGATGTGATGCTGTCCGGGGAGCCGTTGGCGCCACCCACAAAAACCGTGGGGTTGACGTTAGCGGGACGTGGGGGTCGCGGGACCGAGGCACGCGAGAAAACCTCAGAGTTTAGAATAGCTGGTCACCACCACCACAACAACAGCAGACTTTATTCACATAGATCGGAACTCACTTGAGTTTTCGCAGAAGATATGGCGCATACATCCAATGGTTCTGCTGAGAGCCATGGCGCGCACACGAGTCCAAAGCTTCTCTGGAAGCACTCCGATCCGGAGTCCACTGCTATGCACAAATATTTGCAAGAAGTGAACCGAGCACATAATCTGCAGCTCACTTCCTACCAGGAGCTGCATAAGTGGAGTATATCCAACATCGACGCATTCTGGCAGAGTGTGTGGAAGTTTGTCGGCGTAAGGGCTGAGGGAGACGCGTCACAAGTCAGTTATGGCGGACCCGTGGAGATGTCGAGATATTGATGACAACAGGCAGTGGATCCTGACGCTTCCATGTTTCCTCGACCTACCTTCTTCAAGAATACGCGCTTGAACTTTGCCGAGAACCTCTTGTTCCCCACCCAAGACGTCGACCCTCAGGCCCCCGCCATCATTGCCGTGACCGAAACTACACGCGAGACGGTGACATGGGAAGAACTTCGGGAGAGAGTCAGACTTTGCCAAGCGGGCATGATCGCTCTAGGCCTAGAAGAGGGCGATCGAGTCGCAGGCTATGTGGCCAACCACACAAACGCCTTGGTTGCGATGCTCGCTGCAACATCTCTAGGTTGTGTTTGGACAGCAGTAAGCCCCGATACTGGTGTCCATGCCGTGCTGGAGAGACTAAGGCAAATTGAGCCTACGCTGCTCTTTGCCGACAATGCGGCTTTCTACAATGGTAGAAGTCATCCCGTTCTTCCGAAGGTCGATGAGATCGCTCGTGGTCTACCGTCTCTCCAAGGAGTCGTCATTTTCACTACAGTGGCTTCTGTTGACGTTGAAGTCAAGTCGATACATGTACCAAACGGCAGGGCTTACGACTACAAGACATTCACCTCCCCGCCCACTGCGCCCGAGCTAACATTCAAGCGGCTGCCCGCCGATCATCCAGTATACATCCTCTATTCCAGCGGCACAACTGGCGCGCCAAAGTGCATAGTTCATGGCGCAATCGGTACGCTTCTGCAGCACAAGAAGGAGCACATCATACACTGCTCGATTACTCTTCGGTCGCGTCTCTTCTACTTCACGACATGCACCTGGATGATGTGGCACTGGCTCGTCTCGGGACTGGCATCCGGCGCAACGCTTGTCTTGTACGATGGCTCGCCGTTTCGATATTTAGATCCAAACAATCCTAGCACCTCCGTGCCTGATGATCTTGCGATGCACCGTGTAATCAACGAGTATGGAATCACACACTTCGGTACCTCTGCCAAGTACCTTTCCGTACTGGAGCAGAAGTCAGTCGATCCGGCGGCTTCTGGCCTAGACCTACAGACTTTGGAGGCGATATACTCGACAGGATCACCCTTGGCACCATCCACGTTCTCATACGTCTACTCCGCCTTCCCTTCGACGATAAACCTAGGAAGTATTACAGGAGGTACTGACATTATCTCCCTGTTCGGAGCACCGAATCCTCTGCTGCCAGTATGTGAAGGCGAGATTCAGGGGCCTGGACTTGGCATGGCTATCGCGGCCTACGACTACACTGGTGTCGATGTTTCGGCTACCGGCGAGCCGGGTGACCTGGTCTGTACGAAGCCATTCATCTGCCAACCTGTGGCGTTCTGGGGTACTGAGGGAGAGACTAAGTACCAGCATTCCTACTTCGATAAATTCCAGAACGAAAAGAAACAACCGATCTGGCACCATGGTGACTTTGTCAGATTCAGCAAGGAGACTGGCGGCCTGTGGATGCTCGGTCGAAGCGATGGCATCCTGAAGCCTGCAGGTGTGCGATTTGGCTCCGCCGAGATTTATAACGTCGTTCTTGAACACTTCGCAAAGGAGGTTGCAGACGCTCTGTGCATCGGCCGGCGGAGGGAGAGCGATACCGACGAAACTGTTGTGCTGTTCTTGAAGATGAACAATGGTCAAGAGCTGACCACTGAACTCGTCAGCAAGATTAAATCAACTATCAAGCAGGGTCTTAGCGCTAGACATGTTCCGGCTGTGATTGATGAGTGCCCTGAGATCCCTGTCACTACCAATGGAAAGAAGTAAGTCAATCAAGGCGGATGGATGGTACGAATTTTGCTAATCGAAACAGGGTCGAAGGGGCAGTTAAACAAATTCTGTGCGGCTTGAATGTCAAGACGTCCGCTAGTGTCGCTAATGCGGAATGTTTGGACTGGTACCGCGAATGGTCGAGCACTCACTGAACGACATAGTGAAGGCTTGTCACAACATCGACCACACGTGCGCTTTGGTATTGTGAAAATCAGCACGAAGTTTGCTTACAGGGGCGCAAATGATTCACCTTCTGCAAACCACTGTTGATTCACAGGGTTTGCTGGACGCATACATGTCAAGTGCCAAAAACCTCATATCGATCGCATCGTCGCATTTCCTCCCCCTACCAACTCCTTCCTACCAGAAGATCTGAGCAACTTATTGTCACGCGATGTCGAACTTAGATGACACGTCCATACCGCAAATGACAATACCTGTATCTCGCCCGTTACCGCCAGGTAATAGAATATTTTTCAAAGAGCCAGTAAAGCTTACGCACATCGATCAGCTCTTGGTCAGGCGGGACCCGTCGCGCATTTCCTCTTTCACAGGAAAGCATGATCGATTACATGCTCGTATCTACGATCTACTTTGGAACGATCCCTTCACGGACATGCCCAATTTTTCGCGCCGCGCCCTTGCCAGCAACATACACTTTCTCGTCATGAAGAAAATATACGCTGTCGTGGCCGCCGAGCAGATTCTCGCAGACAACATCGAGTTAATATACCAGCACGATACGTTGGAAACGTGCCATCGTGCTCTCTTGACTATTGTTCCGACTTCTGTGAAGGACGAAAACGTGGAGAAGGCGGACACGACTGTCTCGATGACTGGCAACTGGGTAGCAGATCAGGCGCAAGCTCTTGAGGGCTTACGTCAGACTGTTGATTTGGCGATATATGGGGCAATATAGCCTTCTATAGAAAGACATCTTTATTGACTTTCCGTCGCACTACTGTCAAGTCTTCCAATTATCAAGTCTGCCTCCACATGCCGAAGTCTCTCTACACGGGTCGCTAAGTCTGTCTACTATAATCACAGTTCTCGTTCTTTCTTTTCTCGCCAATTTTTGCTTTTGATCGGCTGGCTACGAGTCAGCTGTTTCGCTCACCGCATGACGGCTGCAGCTAGCCGTCAACGTCTCATAAACCATGTCTGAGCTGAACCTTAATCCGACAACACCATTTTGATTCATTTTGTAACTGCATTGGATAGTATATTGACGATGGTATAGTAGCCAAGGTTCTACGAAAAAGCCGGATGAAGCGATGTGATGGCAATGTGCGCACTCAAATCCCAAAAGCTCAACGACAGCTCGGCCCCACCAGATACGATCCCTCGGGTGAGACAGCCTTACATCATGCTTTCCAGTGCCATCTTCACTTTCACGTCGACCACGTCAGTCAGCAGACCGATCCAGTCATCATCACCATGCTTCAGGACCACGGCAATTTTGTGCGTTTTCTCGCGTCCACGATATAGCACCGCAAGCATATCCCTCGGCGCAAGGCCTCGCTTAGTGTCAATGCGAGTCGCGCTGACGATCGAGACGTTATCTGGACTGGCGTTCGCTTCGCGCTCGCGGATGAGGTAAGCGATGTTCTCTGTCTTGATTTCAGCGGTGAGGGAGAGTTATGTTGTACACAGGTACGTACGGGTCAACTTGGCAAAGTTCTTGTCGTACGTTTGGCCGTGGTTGTGAGCTCGGTATGCGGTGAGCAAGTCGGAGATGCGGCTCTCCAGAGTTTGTGGGGGTTTCACGGACATGGTTGTAGCGAGTTTAGTGATGTGGCAGGAATAGTCGCTTAAGTCGTCGTGGATGCAAGTTATGATCACGGAGAAGAATCAATGTTCCAATAGCGCTAGCGTTTGCCTTTCACTCGAATTGCGCTGATGAAGACGACATGCGGAGCAACGATATGTAGAGCCTGAAGATGCTGCCTACGCTATGAGATTATGAGCTTAATTTATCTGGTATCCTGAAGCAGTACACTACGTTATTAAGCTTGAGGGGACCTGATACGACATCATGTGCAGGTTCAGGCTATATCACAGATCGTAGGGTCCAGACTATGGTATGAGCTGCGTGCCCAGATGCTCCCTTTAAACAAGCAACATGGCCTTGAGAAGCATCTTGTCCACCTCCTTGACCATTTCTCCAACACCTTCTCCTTCGGTTCCACACGCACTTGAAGTACCTTCGTCGTCTTGGCCGTGCGCACTAGAACTGCCAACGTTCCGTCGTCCATGCCCTTGAGATATCTATCCCAGCTCAACATGGTAACGAAGATGTCCTCTGGATGGATGGCCCGGCCGTAAGCGTCGTCTTTGTTGCGGATGAGGAATGCTAGGTTTTCTGTAGAGACGAATCAGGGTGATAGTTGTGGAAAGGATGGAGTGAGGATGAACTTACGAGCTAGAATTTCGACAGCTTGAGATGTGCGCCCGTCACAGTCGCCTTCTTCGCACTCGTCGTGGTCGTGACCGTCAGTGGGATCTTCTTGGAAGACGAGTAAGAGTGCGACGAGACGGTCTTCGAGTGGCCTGGGATTGATTTGACCCGGCATGTTGGGAGTGGATATCCGAATTTGGATATTGAATATTGGATTCGATTGTTTGGAAATGGAAGTGTTGTGCAGCAATTTCCTTATTAATGTAATCTGCGCCACCGAGCAAACGGGCAATGCCGACTCCGCTCCGCGACAGTCACTACTGATCTTAGCCACCAACTCAGAAAAAGTGAGCCTTAAGATAATAGGATTATGTAAAGAGACGTTGTGATTAATTTCGAAGCTCAGCAATGCCTAAAATCTTAGTCAACGTGCCTCGCACGGCTAAGTGTCACAAAGGCAAACGTGTATGCACTAGCAGCTTTTCTAAGAGCTTGAAGCTATACATAGGGTTTCAATATAGCAATTAAAACCCGATGTTACCCGTATAGCTTCGGGCGATCAGTTTAGCAGCAACAACCCACTGTGATCCTCAAATGCCGGGGAAGAACTCCTCCAAGCACATATTGACTTGCGCTTCAAAACACTGCACCACGCTCTCGCCAAACTTGACGTTCGCCCTAATGACCGTGTGCGTGAAACCCGTACCACCGTTGACGAAGATGCTAACTCCCGCCATCCTGCCGGCTCCCTGCTTCATGATCGTCCAGTTGCGCGACGCTAGATTGACGTCGCTGGCCTCGATATATTTGCCATAGGTCGTCTGGTGGTGGCGGATGAGGAAGGCGATGTTTTCTGCATCAGTGTTAGTGGGGCGAGAGATAGCGAAGCTACTGTGAAACATACCGCAGAGAATCAGCGCAGCGCGCTCTTTGAGTTCAGTAGTGGAGTCTTCATCGCCGAAGCATTCGTCGCGGTAGGGAAAGAGAAGGTCCAGGATACGCTGCTCGAGTGGGTCTGCTTGGACCGGGGTGGGTACTTTTGCTGATAGGACGTTAGGTGCGGCAGGGGTTGGCGCCATGGGTGCGTAGGGTGAGGACCAGGGTGTTGATCTTGTAGTGGAAATCTTGGAGACTCGGATACGAAGTGGGGATTACCAATTGACTTAGCGTTGCGGGTGTGGAGTCGGGCGTGAATGAGTCCGAGGCCGCTATAAACCGCGCTAGAGTGTTTGCTCGAGCAAATTGAGCTATTTAGGTAAAGGCAGTGAAAATGCAATTCACGGTTCCTATAATTTCTGGGTCATGGAGCATCATGGGAAAGTATACTGCGGCAGTGTTCGTGAAAAGACGCTGTGGAAATTGCTGAAGGTATCACGAATCGGAAAGTGTTCTGGGCTTCAGACGCACAACACGATTCTACTATGAAAGCTAAGGTTAGGCACAATCGAAGCCTCTCTCTCTACGTCCTTGTCAATCAGAACAGCCGTAGTAGGCAAGTATTGACCTTTTCTTCCAGCGACCCAATGACGCCTGCTCGTGTAGCACTTGTCTTTGTGACCAGTAGCCGTTTATTTCGCAGTGTCCGAAAACTGCAGCATTGCATCCGATGTTCTGGATCAAGGCAGATCCATAGGTAACCATTCGCACTGGTACAGAGATTTCGAGATGAGTTTGCTCGGTGCTGCCAGAGAGAGTTGAAGATGGATTGTTGGACAGGCTCTAGAGCAGTCTGTGTCAGAGTCATGACGGGAAGGGGATGCAAGTGTAGATCGGTAAGGGTATGAGGAATGATATCAGAAGGAGAGAAGCTCTGAGATTACTTTATGTACTGTACCTAAATATTTCTACCTGATTTCCCAGCATTCGCGAGCATGTAGCAAGCCATCGTAATTGCTATATAGTTCATTCTTCCAGCTTCCATAGCCCCCATAGTGCCTCAGGCGCTCAGTAACACATCTCAATACATCTCCTGGGCAAACATAAACCTTTTATCATGCCCACTTCTTCCCACTCATCAACGGCTCCACGAGTTCCATCAAATACTTCTCTGCCTTTCCTTTTTTCACTATGAAAGAGGGTAAACTCCAACCAAACGCTTGACCGACGCCACCATTCGGACCTATCGGCACAACAATCATGTTGTTAGGCTTGTACTCTGTCTGTCGAGGTGCAGGCGTCTTGATGAATGAAGTCAACCAGCCGACAAGTCCATCTTTGCCACCAGATGAGCCACTAACGTCGACTGCAATACTCGAAGCGACAACGGGTACCATTGCATCGAGTGCAATTGCGGAGCCGTTGCTTCCCATGGCGGCATCTCCAATCACGTAGACGCCCTGAGAGTCTTTGACGCGGAAGTAGGAGTCGCGCGTTGCGACTTTGCCGTCTTCAGCGACCCAGTCTGACGGCAGCCAATCCGTGTTCATTTTTCGGGCACCAGTCGCGTTGATGAAGACGTCTGGAGAGTCGGATGAGCCATCTGCGAACTTGACAGGTCGCGTCTTGTCATCTACCATTGGATCCGAAAGTGATGTACCCGTTTTCACGATCACACCAAGGCCATCGAGAATGGATTTTGCCTTGGCACCTAAAGCAGCTGACTCTCTGGGAAGCACACGATCTGATGATGTCGCGAGCGTTACTTTGGCATTAGGGAATGCTGTCGCGATCTCGCCTGCGGTCTCAACGCCAACTGCACCAGCGCCAGCGATCAGGACAGTCGAGGCTTTGGGAAGATCTTGGTGTAACGCCTGGAGAGCTGCGCGAGTGTTCTCGTGCGTGTCGTTGAGGGTCCATAGTGGCGAGCTTGTGGTACCACTCGCAATGACAAGTGAGTCGTACTTAATCTGCTGTGTGGACCCAGAGCCAAGATCAACTGAGACGGTGCGATTCTGCGAATCGAGGCTGGTTGCCTTGCCTTGCACGTGCTCGAATGCTGACGCGTCATATTGCTTGAAAGCCTCAGCAATGGACTTGAAGTATTGCTCTTCAGGAATCAGACTGGGGTTGATGAGGGCTCGAGGCGCGGCGATCTTGAAGTAGAAGTGTGTGTTGGGGCTGATCAGCTTGATTTGGAATGTGGTCTGGGGTTGCAGCGCTTTGAGTGTCTTGAAGGTCTTGCGGAGAAGGTAGTGCGCGAGATTAATGCCGCCAAAGTTACCGCCAACGATGACAATTTGATGGGTTGGTTGTGAAGACATAGTGACGATGGCGCATGGTATTGAAGGGAAGGTAAGAAGAGGAACACGCGCTGCTGAAGCACAATAAGCTCTATCATGTGATCAATGCGCCATCCGGCTGTGCCGCATAGACAAGATAGACAGATCGACGGAGGATCGGGGCTTTTGTGATTGGCTACGCTTGTGCTGTTCAGTTGCACCTCCGGAAAACGAGATTCAGGTCAGCGACACCCCACGTGAACCAGTCCTTCGACTCTTCCATCAAAGCCCGACCATCTTCACCCGGTGAGAATGACACGTCAAACTTTGAGACCAATTCCACGAGCGCTAGTCTTAGCTCCATGAGAGCAAGTTGCTTCCCGATACATGCGTAGGCGCCACTGCCGAAGGGTATGTAAGCATCCTTTTGCAGCACAAGCTCAGGACGGGAACTTCATCTCTCGGGAATAAAGTCGAGTGGCTGCGCGAGGCACTTTGGGGCTTGTTGCGAATGTCTTAGTATGCTGATAGAAGGTCAGGGTACGTGAGAGGTCTTACATCTGTGGAGCACCCGGGATGGCGTGCATACGGTAATATCGCCAGGTATGGACCTGTCGTTGATCTTCAGACCTTCCTTTCGTGTTTGCCTTAGCACCCCAGACGGGTTCGGAGGCCATAACCGGAGCACTTCTACAATGAAGGCGTTTAGGTATGGTGCTTGCGTTTGTAGCGCTGAAGCATCCCAGCCACTTCCATCATTCAGATCCTCCAGTTCACTTCGTATCGTAATTTGATGGCGATGATCTTGGGCAAAATAGAGAAATGCGAAAACAAGAGATGACGCGACCGCGTCGCTACCGGCAACAATGAGAATCCGGCTGTCGCCAGTAAGCCATTGTTGTGATACTTCGGGGTTGGCTGCTGATTTCTCGTCTTCGATGAGCGCAGCAGCAATATCTGGTACCATAACTTTACGCTGTTCTTATCAGTCAAAGATCAGTGCCTCACCTGAATCACTTACCCCTTGTCGACCCATGATTTGCTTTTTACACCCCTGGACAAAGGCATCATGTTGTTTTCGAATCACTGGTATCCTGGTTAATATCATAAATAGCCACGGCACAACTCCAAATACACCTAGTCCTCTTTGGCCATCCTCGAGCTTCTTCAAGACCTCAAGCTTTTCACCACTTTCGAGCATCCCGAAAGGTCGTGCGAATCCGACATCCGACATCCCCCATAATGTCGAATGAGAGGTAGTTAAACCATCGGCTCACATTCATACTCTGGTGTTGAGTGCGATTCCTCTCGATCTGATGCACTAAGCTCGCGATGTTTGACTTAATTCGTGGTTGATATGCCTTCAAAGCTTTCGAAGATAGTCCGGAGCTCCAAACCTGCCGTCTCTTTTCATGCTCCGCTTTTGACCGTGTATGAAAAATGGCGCGGACCGGGTAAGCCATCTCGTACCAAGCTGCGCGCGTACATTTAGACTTGGGACCGAGAACTGCTGCAACAACATCGGGGTCGATAGTCGAGAGCTCTGAAGGTCCAGTCCTGACGTAGTCTCCATACTTCTCGTGCGCTGCGTACAAGTTTCGAAAATTCTCAAGCTTGCGATTGCTCCAGGTATGGGCTAGTTTGCTGATGCGCCAGCTCAATGGTCCCGAGTATGCGTGCAGTCGATGAATCGGCGCGAGCCGGTAGGTTACTATGCTTGAGAAGAGGCCAATAAAAAAACTGGATCTCGATTTTGGCGGAATTGTAGAGGCTGGATACGAAAATTTGTCCTTGAAGCTGCCACAACACCAAGGCGATGGCAAAATGAACCCTTGCAAGTATACGAAGGTAAATTATTCCATGCATGTGATGCTCGCCGTGAGAAAAATATACGACGTGCGAGAAGGCACCAAGGCCGAGTACAAAGACCATCAGCATTTTCGGTAGATGATGAAGGAGAGGCAGGTATGTGGGCAGTCCGTTCAACTTATACATTTTCGGCCGCTGCACTAGACCATCTGATTACTGACTCAGACATTCGCCCGCCCAAAGCAGTGCACAAGCAACTTCACCCTTGGCCGGGGTTAGTTTGAGCTTTTGCTTAGAAAACTGGCTCATAAGCTTTATGAATTATTGTATCTAAGCTACCACCGGTAACATGTCCAACTTGACAGCATCAATACCATCGGTCTAAATTCCACCACTTTGACTGCTAAGTGTGTCGAATGGACGCCATTCTGCTTCTATGAACGAAGCCTTACTTCCTGGTGGCGTCCTCACGCCCAGGAATTTGAAGCGAGTATCAGCCATCGCAAACAGCGCAGCCCATTCCTCAAAGTCACGCTCCTTTGCATTCGCGAAGCACTTCATGACAAGATCAAGACCTCTGCTATCCGTTAGTAACTGCTTATGGTGGATGTCCGATAGAAGCGAAAAAGTTTACCTCATCCACTGCTCTTTGTATAAGCTCACCGCCCCTCTGGGCGGAATGCATATATCCGCAATAATGATCCTTGCGCCATCTTTCAAGGCTAGTATCAGTGCGCGCAATGTCTTTACCGAATACGTGTCGCTCCAATCGTGGAAAATCGTCTTGAAGAAGTAGACGTCGGCGCCTCGCACTGGCTGCTCCGTCCATAAATCGTGCACCTGGAAAGAGAGTTGGTCTTTGACATCTTCTGGTACTTGTGACTTGGCTAAAGTAACGGTTTCGGACGAGTCCTGTACGATGAACTTCCACTTTGGGTTCGAACGCGCAATTTGGATAGACACGTGCCCGGTCGAGCCACCGACGTCGACGAAAACAGAAGTGTTTGATCCTGATACTGAAAGAGACGAAAGCACCTCAGAAGGTTGAAAGCCGGAGCCGGCAATCTGCGTGGTGAAATTCAAGACTGGACTTTGGATGTATTGAAAATCTCCGAGAGCCTTTAAGGCATTCGCGCTACTTTATTAAGTCCTGAAAAGAGCGTAAGCTTCGGAGGTCGTACCTCAGGCCTGCACAGCTCGAGGACACTGTTTGGTTGATTTTTCGACACAAAGAAGGAAAAAGATCAACAACCTCGTCATACAAGCGGCTGGCCACATGATTGAATCCCGGGACCCACACTTTTCGGATCGCGAATATGCAGGTCACTAAGTGCAGATCCTGTGATGTTTCAGGGTTGAACATGATGCTCAGCGATCAGTCGAAGCATTGTTCTTTATTTGTCTATCGATTCACAGTCTTCAGTATTGCTGCAACCCAGAGCAAGATGTCGACAATAATGCGCTCTGAGTTAGAGACTTCACCCTTTCTCGAAGATAACCGTGTGGAGGAAGCCAGCGAGCAACAGCAACGCCCCAATATACAAGACCAATGGCAGGATTCTTCAACTCGAACGAAGTTTCTGCTTAGTTTCGCGTCTCTCTTAGCATACACTCTGCTTGTAGCATTGACTGCCGATATGATGCGAATTCCACCAGCTCATCTAAACAATGGTAATGGAACAACCCTTATTATGAGAATTAAGATTGATCAAATCACAGCTCTGAGCAATCCTAACGTTCGATATCACGTCAACAAGACCATCACAGCAGGCATGTCTCCGTTTGCTGGCGGACCCTCTGAACAGGTTGATAACGCCTGGCGCGGACTCATGTCAAGGATTAGTGTACGAGTCTCACAAGAAGAACTGGACAGGAACGGGAATTACCAAGAGTCTGTTTCTTTACCACGGAATGGGGGCAACCTGGTTTGGCTGAACGTCTTCCATCAACTGCATTGCTTAGTACGAACTCTCCGCCACCATAACTGTCCATTTAGATTGCTGATGCCTGGCAGAAGATGCTTCGTAAACTGAACTACCATGATCATTATTATTCAAACCAAACTGAACATGACGCAAGGGGTATGGAAGTGCATATCAGTATGTTAACCAGGGTTTGAATTTCTGGTCTAGATTTTAATGCCATGCGTAGATCACTGTATTGAACAGTTACGGCAAGCTTTGATGTGCAACCCAGACACTTCTTTCACGACATTTGTGTGGACTCATTCTGACCCCAAGCCGGTACTGGATGTACGAAGTTTCGAAAGACAGTGTCTTGATTGGGTCTACTTCATGGAAGGTGTGAGACCACGGGTCGTGAGTTACGAAGAGGTTGATGAATTGATCAACCCATGCTTGAATGAGACGGCTGAGAGATAGACATATGTGGAACTTGATCAATATTCAGATAAAACTTTATGCTACACACCGCTTACAATGGTCAAAGGTGTATAAAGTGCCACGGCAACATTGAGCTGTCACAAGCCGCAGAGTTCCAAGTTTAATTTCAAGAGTACTTAGATTATAGACCATTGAGTTTGATTTTCAAGATTCCGCAAATGCCACTAGGTGGAAGAACGTCTTAATACATTTAGTTTCATGTCAGAATATATGATAATGTTGATCATATCTGCTGCGCAATGCTCCATTCCCTAACATCGTCCCAAACAAGACACTGATGCTCTCTTCCATCTCCAAATCCTGTAATGCCACCCAATTTCGAATCAACAGGTTCAATATGCAGATCCGCAATATGGTGACCTTGTAGCCGCCTTGTACTGCGTCGAACAGAACATAGTACGCGTTTCGGATGGCGTCCTTTTAACTTCCATTAGCGTTTGGGAGATATAGTGGCTAGACGATATTACCAAGCAATGTAGTTGATGGTATACAGCGAGACTTGCGCCAGTTGGTGCGATCTCGCTGTCTTTGAAGAAGCCACCATGAGGTGGAAATATGGCTTCCCACGCTGCATCTGTGGCGGGAGAAGGTCTCTCGGCGTATGCTTCATTCAACTCCAAAAACTTTGGTTGTGTGCGGACTGGTTCGTGTTAGCGAGATACTGTTTTGTGGTGACTATCTGCGGACGCACCTTGAGGTCCACTAAAACTGTTAGAATTGGACATGCGTGGGGCTGATGCCAAGATTTCCACTAATCGTGTTATCCCCCAGGTATACGCTGCGAAATTGGTGCTGGCTAAGACCAAAATTTGAGTGATGAGGATGAACGCGATCAAGGCGCGGCGACTGACACCATGCCTCTCTAATCGTAACATCGTAACGTGGGCCTTCTTCTCCATTGCTATTAACAGCCTCGTAACTTGAAGGTTTGTCGCTTCAGAAAATCATGGTCACCAGGCGCCGGCAAAATTCCTGCCCGCCCTTTTCCAAACAGAAAGAGGCGATGAGGTAGCCTGTATATATTCAAATAGTTCTGATAGAGTTACATAGGGCATCTTGGAGCTGCGTATACATCAGGCCCCCCTAAGGTTATAATAAGTATGTCTCTAAATACTTTTAGCTTATATCATGTAGGTGCAGAGCCGGGCACGAATTTTACCGCTGCCTGGTGTGGTCGCAGTCCTTCGTAAACAGAGAAAGTCACAGAAATTCGATGCAAGTCGACTCGCTGCAAACTCAGGAAGCATAGTACACCCGTGACAAACCCGTTCAAAGCTAAGCTCTCTAATAAAAAACTTGTCGCGTATGTTCACAAAATAGGCGCATCGTCGATCACTGCCACCGTCAAGCTAAGAAATAAACCCCGCGCCACACCACGCTATGTAGCTCCACGGTTCACCGACACTAACGTCAGTGGAACTCCGGCACCATCTCATAGCTAAAGTCCGATCTCCAAGTGTACATGTATTCGGATACCGAAATGGTGTCTCACGTGTGCATTGTGTAGGTCATTCGTCATGTGACCATTGCTCGTTCATTTCTGTCGTGTTGCCAGAAGAATTCGTGCATACCACTTGCAAAAATCGTTGCGATTCAAACTCTACCCCCGCAAAAATGAAGCTTCCTATCTTACCTCAAACGACAAGATACTCTCTGATAGATCGCGATGGCGCGCAGCGTCCCTCATCTCCGTATCGGTCTGCAGTCCGCGCCATCTTGTTGACATGCACCTTTGCTCTCACTCTTTGCATTGGAGTGTTTGTGGGCCGATGGAGTTCGACGTCAACCTCGTTCACCCCAGCCTCTTTCATCACGACAAAATTTGTTTATGATCGAGACTTCTCGTATCCTCCAAGCAACAGCACGAATGCTGCATGGCAGACTCTTTTTCGTGCGCGTGGAGGCTTCTTTACGCATGCGCCTGAGATCTCGCAGCGAAGCACTTTGTCTGTATTTCATATTTAGCGCCCTTCCATGTGAGGTTATTGATCAACCTGCCACTAAACCATTCTCAGAACGACATCATTGCGGCGTGGTAACCACAACACTTTACCCCGCATGACCTTTAATAAAATATCTCGAAAGCAGTCATTATTTTTTTAATTTAAAACATAGTTCGCAGCGACAGAAAAGTGTACCTATTCGTACAGTAAGCCAGCATGTCTTCAACGAGCAGAATTGTCACATTGTCCTCTTCAATTGAACAAAACGCGCGCATTGTCGACAGATATTTCACAGAGAATGGCCTACCTTCTCCATCGCTCGACGCTTCTACTCCGCCTGATATACCGCTCCCGCCCGAGATTATAGCTGCGAAGGAAGCCGCCCTTGAGGCCATGGACGAGCTGCAAGTTCTGCTCCTTGGACCCATGCCTAAGATCATTCACGAGCTCATTCACACGGTAAAACATATTATTGATGGTAGATATCCATTAGCTGACTTCAAAAGCCGACAAGCCTGACCAGCTTACACGCAATGGCCAAGTTCAAGATGGCCAATGCATTTCCGGTATCAGAAACAACCACAATCCCCAAACTAGCAGAAACATCTGGTCTCAATGACGAAGACTGCACACGTCTTGTTCGCCACGCCGTTGCAAGTCGTCTGTTTCTTGAGCCCGAGCCCGGCGTCATCTCACATTCCGGCATGAGCAACGCAATCGCAAACGTCCCTTTGCTGCGCGAATGGGTTGAAGAGACCTGCGAAAACATGTGGTCGTCAAGCTCCTTCCTCGTCTCCGCAATGAGCGCGTATCCCGGCTCCGAAGAGCCCCAGGAATCCGCGTACAGCCTGTCCAGGAAAACTAATCTCTCGTTTTTCGAGGACCTTGGGACTGATGCGACGGGGGCAAAGGCTAAGCGATTCGCTGATGCAATGAGTTTCTTCCAAGCTTCGCCTGCAATGCACACAGCTCTTCTCGTCGATAACTACGATTGGAAAGCATACAATACGATCGTCGATGTTGGCGGTTCCCACGGCGCCGTCATGCTCGAATTAGCCAGACAAAACCCAGAAGTAAAGTGTGTCGTGCAAGACCTCCCAGAAGTGGTCGCGGGTGCACCCCAAGGCGTTGACCGCGTGGAATTCCAGCCCTACAACTTCTTCACCGAGCAGCCAGTCAAGAACGCCGATGTGTACTTGTTCCGTATGATATTCCACAACTGGGGCGACAAGTATTGCATCCGGATTTTGGAGAACTTGGTCCCTGCACTCAAGAAGGGATCGAGGGTCGTCATCAATGACCACGTAGTCCCGCCAGGCGGAGTGCTGAGCCCGTACAAGGATCGCACAGTAAGGGCTTTCGACTTGGTGATGAAGGCCTGCTTCAATGCGAAGGAGCGCAGCGTCGAGGACTGGACGAACCTGTTGAAGGCGGCGGATGAACGCTTCGCCATTCGAAATGTCACTCAGCCAAAAGGGTCGCAATTACAGATCATCGAAGTGCAATGGGATGTGTAAATACTGTGAAGAGGGGAGAATCTGGCGCTGTTGGCAGCGGTCGTGGGGAGGTTTGAGGTGAAGTTGGCGGAGGGGCGTGAGAGGGGGATTGGAGGAGATGGGGTTGATATGGGGGATTACGGTTAAGCCGACGAAGCTTAGGTTCAGGAAGCGGGTGGTGGGTGTGTGGGGGATGTAGCTACATTGCTGAATCTAGAACGGAACGTCAGTAATGATTGATGCAAGAATAACCACGCGAGTGAGAAAAGAGGTGTACAAAGTACTTTTGTCCATTAGACCAGCATCTGGAAGATAGACAATTGAGACACCAAAATTGTCCCAAACCAACGTGAAGGATATCCTGCCTTGTTATTGCTAGAATACACATGCATGTACACAAAAGCCTGCCGAACCTCAGGCCGCGCATATAAAACATATCAAGAAAGAAAAAGGGGGGTATTACGTAGCGAATGTACGAAAGCGAGGAATACCGACAAAAAAAGAACGCCAGCATATGCCGACAAAACCAAATAATTCGAAGAAAACCTCCACCCAAACCCAAGCACTATCATGCCACGTGATGCATGAAGAATGAAAATAAACGCCAGAGGGAAAAAAAAAAGAACCCTAGGGTATATGCAACAAGAAAATAACCTCTCCATGGGCTTCATCATCATCTCAATCCACTCCCGCTTCTGCCGGTGCTGGCTTTACTGCTGGCCGCGCTCCCGTTCCTCTTCATTCGTTTCTCCATGAGTCCGCTGAGCAAGCGGTCGAGCTCAGTGCTCATGCCTTGTACTCTCTTACTCTCCTCGACGAATAGTGTGCTCATGATGGGATGATCGCGGCCGACGGGTACGACGCCGGTGGTGTCACTGACAACGAGCAGCATGTCGCGCACATCGCTGCCGTCGTCGAGGTAGGCGCGAAGTGCGGCGTCTGACCAGGCGGGAAGTTGGCTGCTTTCGGATGAGGTGGGAGGAGAGGGTTGCACGTCGCGATCGGCTTTTGTCGGCATGGGTGCAGGGCGTGAAGGTGGTGGACCTGGAGTGGCAGTCGTGGGTGAGAGGAGTGTGGGAGAGCCGGTGCGCTCGGAGCGAGGAATGATCAGGGTCGTGTTTTCTGGTATGGTCCTCATGGGGCTGTCGTCAGGGGTAGGTGTTGATACAGGCGAGCTTGTCTCCTGGCTCGAGCTGTCATGGGCGAGTCCTGGTGGTTGATGCGAGTCGGCCTCTCTCTCTTTCTCCCGAGCTTGCGCCTTGCTTGCGGGTTGTGCGTCTGCTGCTGAGATTTGGACTGGAGACTCAGACAATCGTCCTGTAGGCTCTGCTGCTTCTGACTGTGCTGATTTGGTCTGCGCATCTGGGTCCGCAAATGGGTCGTCATCCTCGTCGCTCGTGTCGAAGTCATCCAGTTGCATGCGTTGCTTGGCCTTTGTAACACGCTCTGGCTTCGGTTCCGCTTCCGTTTTGGGTTGTGACCGGAAAGGATTCTTGGAAGCTGTGGCTTTGACCTCAGCAGCAGGTGCTTCTTCTTGCTCAGATGGAACCATACGCATGGTAGGTGGCTGTTGCCCTGTCGGCTTGCTATCAAGCGCGTCTGGCGAAGCCGTCGGCTGTGACGAAGCCTCTGTAGGACTGTCAGTTTTCAAGATTCCCTTTGTTTTCTGTGGTGAATCATCGCGACTGCGGGCTTTCTGCAGCTTGCCTTTGCTGGTAGATCTCTGTGGTCCGAGCTGCTCAGCGGATGAGCGCTCAGCAGATTCCTCTGAAGGCTTAGGCTGTGGTGAGCCTCGGTCCAGCTCTTCCTTGCTGTCGATGTCGCTATCAATAGAGTCTTGCTTGACCTTCTTATTCCTTGCGCTTGAAGAGCCCACTGAGCATGCCCGCCTTCTTCTCCTTCTTCTTTTTGTCGTCTTTAACCTTGTCCGCGAAGCCGTTCTTCTCCAAGCTTTCAAGGCTGGGTCCTCGTTCGCGCGATCCTGTTGTGGAAGTGCTTGAATCGTCGCGGAGTAGATTGGGAGTAAGAGTGATCTTCCGGGTTTCTGTGTTTTCGTCCTTGAAGAATGAGTCTGTGTTTCGCAGTGTACCATTCCGGGAGACTTTGGGATCCAATGGCCGGTCAACGTCATCGCTTCCTCGTTGCTTGTCGTCTCCGTTTCCGGCCTCCTCTCCTGAGACACGGACATCTCCCTCGCTCTTTCCGTCCTTCTTCGCCCCTCCAACCTTGAGTGGCTGCACCTGGAGGTCTTCTTGAGTTTCTGTCTCGGCCTTCTCAGTGTCCTGCTGCTGCTGCTGTTGCTGTTGCGCTTGCTTCGGGTCCGGTCCACCGAAAAGCTCGCCACCATCTTCGTCTGACGAGTAATCGTAGTCCGATGCTTCGACATATGTAGGTGGTGCGAATTGAACGGTCTTAGCATTTCGTCTTCGCATGGCCTTTTTGAGTGGATTCTTTGACTTCTCTGCCGTGTCGCCAAGCATAGTCGCGGACAAGTCGATGTTTCTGTGTTTGTTCAACCTTGCCAGGCGCTCTGTGGGGGTTTCAATGTGTTCGGCGGGCAGATATCCTATATCTCATTAGCATAGAGCAAACATGACATGGAAACAAACACTCACCAATACTGCTGTCTTTGACAACACGCACGAGCCACCAGTAGCTGTTGCTGTCGTCCAACAAAACCATGGTGTCGCCCTTTGTCGCATTTGCCTGACCTTCTACGGTGGCAACGAATGTGTGGAGTGCGTAAACGAATTCGAAATCAATGTCCTCTGTTTCTCGTAAGCATTCGCCTCCCCAGCCGGAATCGATGAATCGTGAGTCGTCTGAGAAGGAAACGTCTTTGGATGCATCATCATCTTTGTCCATGTCCTCGTCCCAGGAATCGGCATTGCTGTCGGTGGTCCAGGAATCATCGTCCTCAGCCAGGCGCCCAATATTGGGCGGTGGCGTGCCGTTGGTAGTCCGGGGTGGGGATGCTGTGAGTGTCAGATAAGGGACCTCGGGCGCATCTGCTGGTTTGCTCAGATTTATCGGTAGGCTCAACGGTCGCAACATGTTATTAGCTTCGTCCTCGTCCAGATCCGATATCAGCGACATGTCTGAGTCTTCACGCATAATCCTAAGTCTGCGCTCGATCAACCTACGTTGTTTGGACCGCGGGCTCATGGGGTCCAGTTCCGAGTCGGAATCGCCGTCCAGTTCGGGGGCGGTCCTGGGCCAGGCATACTCACCGCGATGATGCTCCGTGGACTTGAAATTGTTTTGCTGAGAGAATCGTAAAGAAATAGGGATCGATGTTGAGGAAAAGGAGAATCGGGATACAGGCGTGTCGTCTTGCGCTGGGACGTCGAGTGGTCTTCGAGCGCTTGCGACTGAGATGGGGAAATGGATGGGAGTGGTGGTGAAGGGCGAGGAAGAGGCGACGGCCGAATGCATCGGCGAAGACTCTGGGGTCAGAGACTGCGTCCGCTTCGGCCATGCCGGGGGGAGAGGTAAAGAATACCCACCATCGTCAATTGAGGGCGAACTCGAGATCTTGTCCATCATGTCGTCGTCCATGTCCTCCTCGACATCGGCGTCCTGCATGTCAGAATCGTCGCCGTCGCCGTCGCCGGCCCCGCCATTCAGTCTGATAGCCTGCTCATCCTGCTGATTGTCCTTGTGGTTCACGACTGTGCGCTCGTCATCGGAACCGGGGTCGTCCCTGAGGTCGGTGCCAGCGTGGCTCCACGCATTCTGCAACTTTGCCTCCTCGGCGTCGCGCTCCTCTTCTACATGGCGTAGCGAGGCTTGCTGATGGGGTGCGGCGGGCCCGATTCCGAGCGGGGCGGGGTGCTCGGGCTGGGATGAGTGGTCTTGGGCAGTCGGCGATGATTTGTCCTGCAGGTCGAGCGTGTCTAGCATGTGTCAGCAACCTCGACTCTGGACGCGCAACATTCCCAGGCAATCGCACCTGCTCTGATAATGTGTGGTCGCGTCATCCTAGCTCATGTCCTGTGCAATTGGGGCTGCGTTCACAGTGTCCAGCTGTGCCAAGCCAGCCGAGGCGCAATCGATGCGAGGGACGGCGTGCACGTGAGGCTGGGGCGCAAAGGGAGTCGTCGCAAGGCAAAGAAATGTCGTGTGCGATAGGGAGTGTCGTCGGCCAGCGGAGCTATCGTGTGCGCAAGATGTTCGTTTCAAAGGGAAGGAGCGACTGGTGCTGCGGAGGTGGTGGTGCCGAGTGCGGGCGCGGCTGTTTCACGCACATGCAAACGCTATCAAGCCGATGCGGAAGGAGCGGACGTGTCTTTTCGTGGCGAGCAACACGGGGGCGCAGCGGAGAGGGACAAGAGGGCGTCAGCGTGTGTCGGCGGCAAGGCGAGTGGTGAGATGTGGTCGCAGTACAGGTCGCAGTGGTGAATTATTTTGGGGCTGGTTTCTTGGTCACATCGCGCTTCCGCCCCCTGCCACGCTCTGAAACAACTGACAAAACACGAGATTGGCCTAACCAACGCCGCACTAGCCTGTTCCTGGCCGACGACCGCCGATCCTTGCATGGGCCTAGAGAGCGAAAGGGGTCACGGACCGGCCCTTCCACCACCCCGTGAATGTCTCCAAATCCAGATCTGCAAAAGAAAACCCTCCATCGCAATTGCACGTGTTTCGCGTGCAGTTCGGCCATGACAGTCGTTCATGCGTGCGGGCGGATGTCTCCGCTTGTGGTCGTGAAACGAGAAAAGTCCCGAAACCTGATCCTTGCCGACGTTTGGACGTCATCACTACGAGTGCAGCCGAACGACCAAACTTACCAACAATTCTAGAACCACCACGTATCTCCGCTACACTAGCCTGGACGCATACGTAATGCTTTCCATGTCCAGATCAAGTTATTTTCACATCATGTAGTACAGTACACCTACCTTCCTTTAACTCCTGCGTCCGCAGCACAATGATTGTCTGACCATTGATCTGTGACTCTTGAGAAAACTCAACAGATATGCTGTCCGCACCGACTTCTGGACCCAATCTTTCCCGAATGAGAAAGGCGATGTTAGCGGCAAGTCCAGGTCGGAGATTGGACACATACCGGCTTAGGCTTGGACGAGATGTTCTGATGCGTCTCCGCGGTGCACGTCTAAAAGGGCGAAGATTTTGCCTTGGAATGAGGTAGGGTCGAAGGCGGACACGGCTGATTGATGTAAACTTGAACTCATATTTTTCTAACAGTCTTTGAGAAAAAGAATATATACATGTATTAAAGCGTAGGAAACCTATGTCAAGTCACTCCTCCAGTGATGTTCCCACCAGACACCAACCACCCGATCGCATGCCGCATATGTGCGAACCCTTGAATTTATTTAGACTTGCATGGAAGAGCAGTCAATGTCTCTCAAGTAGAAGCATGCACACCCTTCCAGTGGTGTCACATCAAACCGCACGCGCCATCGCCATTACATGCCCCTGTCCCAACACCACCAGCTCCGTCTTAGCCTCCTGGCACAAAATCTCATTCACCATTCGATCCACCTTCCCAGCCAACCCCATAAGCACATCCCCGCCCTATTCCACCTGCTCCGAGTGCAGGGTGTTGTGGATTTGGAGGTGGAGGTGGATTGGGTCCATGACGAACTGGTTGAGAGGATGTGGTGGGGTTGGCATGGATGCGGGAGAGGACGAGAGGTGTGGGATAGTTGACAGGTGCGCCAGCGCAGTTTGCTTTCATTTTAAACTAAGCGGATGTTAGTTGATGGAAATTCACGGCGAATGCCCATGACCGATCCTATCCCGACACTCTACATCCCTTAGACTTCACCCATACAGAATTAGCGTGCAGTAATGCTATGACTACAGTGGGTGCAAATGACGAAAGTTGCGATATCGTGTGTTGGGAGTGGCTGGAAAGCGGAAGTGATTCTGGCCGAGAGATGGAGAAGGCATGTATCTTTCTGAGGATTTTCGCTGCTGAATTTGACGCCGGATGGGAACATGGAAGATGACAGCGGATGTAGGGGTTTGCAGGGACTTTGGAGGCCAAGTATGAAAGTCCGAAGCATTATCATTGTGCTCTTCAAAATTTTTAATGGGTGCCACGTCCCGTAAAGAACACAAGGAGAAAGCGGCTCCCTATTTGCGTCCGCAGCATTCAGGTGTGAGGCAACGGAAATGTGATTGATGATGTTGTGTGAACAGGCTCATAGCGGACGCGGAAAGCCTGTATTTTGGTCTCATTGTTGAGTCCTAGTGGTGAAGGATCCGTTGAACATCAAGCGCGCCCCCCTCCAGCGTCCGGACCTCGTATGCATGCACGCTACGCGAATCCCAATGCATCCCCCACAACCCATGATGCCAATAAGCCCAAGACGCGTTAACTTCTATCAAACGCTCAATCTCAGATACACGGTTGCGATCCGCGTCCGAGTCAGAGCGGGTCGGAAAGTTGCACTTCACGATCGACAGGCCCTCAACGATGTCGCGGATGGCGCCCCGAAAGCCGTTCGTAATGTAAGTCCAATTTCCCCGGATCAGAGACCAGCGTTCCGATTGAGGTGGGGAGTTGTCCATGTTGTGATTTTCGAATAGCATTTGCCATAAAGCATCGCGCTGTGCGATGGCGAATATTTCCGTTGCGAGGTCGGGGCGAGGGTTGCCGTCTAGGGTTAACTTGAAGGCTTCTGGAGGCATTCCCAGTGAGGGAAGAGCGAGAGCCTCCGCGATCCATGGGGCGAATCCGCGTTTGGTAATTTGGGATGAGTCCACCTTGAACGACGTCAGGTCGTCGTTCGGCATGAAGTCCCCTGAGCTAGCTGGCAGCATGTTTCCCCACAGGCTCACCTGTCGCTCTATATGGAGATTTGGATTTTCCTGACAAAAGGGAATCAATCCTTGTGCGTGGCATTCTGGCCAGGCATCGGCCTTCTCGTCCTCATGCAGCACGATCATCCGCATCTCTTTCTTGGCCTTAGATGACAGTGAAGACAAGAACGATATTGCTATAGCAGCTGCTGAGAGGCGTTGTGATTTTCCATCCCGATAGTCGTCAAATAGCGGATTCTCAAGATACGCCTGCTTGCGGATCTGCCATGCTGGATGAGCTTCGGTCGTCAAGTTCTGAACATCTTGCGCACTCAGATCTTCATTATACATCAATTCCCCCAATCCAGCAGAATTCGGTCCATGCAACATGTATTGTAGAGTCCCATAAACGAAGTGGCGATGGAGGGAAGGAACTGCCCCCCAGATATCCAGCTGGAGGGTGTAATTTCTCCTAACCATTCGAAGCTGCTCAATATGCGGCAAGAAGGGAGGATGCGTTTCTCTGACGTATCGAACTACATCATCGTCGATAAATGCTCTTGCTTCTCTTAGAATCGCACAAAGTAGCACGAAATGATGGCGCAATCTGCTGTCTAAGGCTTCCGAGGTGATCCTGTCTTTCCCTTCACAACTCGTCCAGAAGTGCACAGCATTCACCCGTAAATGCAGCGCTTTCATCTCTATCGCAATGAGTTTGCAGGTATACATCAGGCCAAAATCGATGAAAGATCCGGCAGCAAGAGTGAGTCGCCGTGTCTCTGGGCTGAATCGATATCCATCCGCGGTGGTTGTATAGTAAGTATACACCATGTCTCGCAACTCTCTTGGAAGGGCAAGGAGACGTGACTGTACTTGAGGATGAGATTCAAGACCCATGGTCATATTCACCGGCGATGATGATAAAGTGATAGGGGGGAGAATTTTGTGGGCTTTCAAGGGCGATCTTCCGTGGTCTATGGTGGAGGGAAATCAATGGAGGGCTCGTGGGCTTACGGTTCAAAGACTAAAGGTCTTCTTTATACCAGATCGAACAAAAAAACGCACATCTAGGCAGAGGCTCCGCTTACCTAACGGTAGTTTCCGTGGGGTAGCCCGGAAAATAGGTCCCGGAGTTCGGATTCTGCAACACGGAACTATGGCACATTAGTGGCTCGGGTCCGTGGGTCCGATCTACAAGACACGTAGCATCGTGAGTCATGATAACAGTATACACGGTCTCACTATGGAAGAGTGCTGCTAAGTGGCGGGATATCGCGTTTTATTATTGCAGGAAAAAGTAGAATCATGCTAAAAGCAGCAGATGCATACAACGCAGTAGAGTAATAATAGAGAAAGACAACAGAATAGGCTATATACCTAAGACCTTGACACAGTAATAGGCAGTAGGTAGAATTTAATAGTACGATAGAGTGGACGATCACAACGTCCAGCAGCAGCAACTTTGACTGCAAATTGTCGCAACGGCGCTGTTCGTACGATATGTCCTCCTTGAAAAGCTAGCTACATCGCCTACATGTTGCCGGGGTGATCACTCTGACTGTTACACCGGTGGAGCCTGCGGAAAGCTTGTACGGGTGCGGTGCCGAACAATCAGATTTGATACACCAAGCTGCAGGACCTGCTGGTACGACGCAAAGTATCCACAGTGATGACTGACTGGAGGGTGGTAGCGGGAAGTGTACAGGCATATGTGTATTGTTATATGCGTAATGTTTGGAGGATGGTGGCTGGCCCGATCGCTGGTCGCTTATCGTAGTGAATGTTCTCCCATCGTGATAATAGTCAGGACCTCAGATCGGAAACGACTACGCTATCTGGACAGGCCCATATTTGCGAAGTGTACACTGCAGATTTACACATGTTTATTAGCTTTGAATTTCTAGGTCATGCTCCGAAGACTTGGAATTGTGAACTTCACGCCTTAGTTACGAATCTCTTCTCGCAGCTAATACCACCCACCAATCAACTCTTTCTCCCCATATCACTCTCTAATTCGCCGCCGTCCAAAGCGGCGGCCCTGGAAACACATAACTCGTCTTCCCAGCATACACATTAAACCTGATCCCCTCTTCATCCCGCTTATACAACTTCGTGCCCTCCACTCCACCCGTCGGCTTAACCGTGCCCGACCCACCAACCTTGAGGTTCAAGCACTGCGGATACAACTGCGCGCCATTATCGTTCTGCGCGCCGTGCAAGGCGATGATCTCGTGTCTGATGACGTAATTCCCCGCAGCCAGGTTCTTGGGCAGGACGGTGGAGGTGGTGAAGTTGTTCTTGATCAGCGCGTCGGTGACCCATGTTATGGGGGAGGGGGTGAGGATGGCAGATTGGGAGAATTTTGTCCAGCGGAGGGAGGAGGGGGGAAGGGTTGTGCAGTCGCCTGTGAGATGTATAGGTTAGCTTCTGCTGCCCTCTACTTTTCATCGTGGTTAGTCGACGTACCGTTGCAAGGTGCGATGTAGTTGATGATCGGTCCCTTGTGTGAGTCGGGCCAGGTGTTCCACAAGAAGTCAATGGTGTCGCCTGCGTTGACGTTGGCGTATAGACGGCCAGCGGTGGCACTCTTATGACAGTTCACGTCGGCGGTGCCCATGGCCGCGGGCTCGACGAAGCCGATGTCTTGGTTCAGGGCGTCCCAGCCGGCAGTCTGAGGGCGGCTGTTGGCCGGGGAATACCACCAGACGGGGTCAGAGCCCTTTGTCCATGCTCCGTTGGCTCTGATGCCAGTGACGAAGCCATGGGCGAAGACAGTGGGGAGGACAGCGGCGACGCTGAGAAGCAGGGAGGGTGTATGCATGGTGAAGATGGAAGTAGATGCTCTATGAACTGATGTAGTAGTTATATCTAATAAGATGGATAGCTGCCTTTATACACTTGATCTCAGGGTTTGGAATGGTTTGTGGTTGTAGTACTACATTGATGAATCAAGCACGGAGCTGATCTTCCGCACATGCCGAGGAAAACATGAGATGCCCAGGAGTTGCAAGATAGACGAGAACCAGTGAACTGTCTTTCATAGTAGTCATGAAGGCCAACCATCCACAATGCCAAGCCCATGGCCTGATCTGTAGACCACTCCAAGCTGAGTAGCGAATGCTGTGTACTGCAAGATGCCACGAGGTGCATCAACAAATTGCACCGATATTGAAGTGCACTAACGGCGTCTCAGAAGGAAGAAAGTGGTGAGTGAAGGCGCTGCCGTGCGGCTGGATGGACTCAGTTTTCCCGAGCATTTAATCTAGTTTCCCCGTTCAGTGGAGCTAACAAGTCTGCACAAGGCGGCTTGACAGACACCATCATCTCGATTGAAAAATAAACAGAAACAACGACAAGTGCTACAAGCTCTTGGGCTTGCACGTGGTTGTCCCTTAGCCGCTACCTTCTGTCACGTGCATGTCACAACTAAATATGAAAATGTATGTAGAGAAATATCTGATTTTGTCGTTTTTGCTGCTTTGTTGCCGTGTTGAGCACTATGATATGCGCCAGTGTGACATTCGGCAGGAAGAGTGGCCTCCGAGCCCAGAATGATGCATTTCGTGTCGAGATCACAGCCGCACTAGGCAGTGATCGTGTCCGCTCGCACATGCGCGAAGTAATCCGATAGTCTTTAGGGACGTCCTAAGAAATTTATAAAGAAGCTTGAATGTATCTAATGCTCTAAGACATCTTAATTACTCTTGCAAAAAGCTTTGAATACACCTAGGCTATCTCTTCAGCCTTGTCATTAGGTGAAGGCGGACAGGAATTTTGCCGGGGCCTGGTGAATTTGGTTACCCTTACCTCCGTTCGAAATCCTAGCTTGGATGCCGACTGAATCCGCTTAAGCCGATCCAGATCGACCCAATGTTCCGCTCAGTTTTGCGTTGCTCCTCCGCATCTTCTCGTTGTAATGCCACAGTGCCTGTTGCAACATCTCCTTCTTCTGAAACCTACTACCGCCACTCTCTAGTACCAAAAGATAGTCTTTTGGAACTTCTTGTAGCGTCATACCTTCATGTTTGCCATAGTCCATACGGTATTTCTCAGGGTTTCTCTCGTAGAAGAAGAATAGTGCTGCTCGTAGACCGGCGTGGGTCTCTAAACCAAAGTGATTATGCTCAAGGTCTTGAAGATAGGCGGGAGTGACCTGCTCAAGCGATTTCCCTCGGAAGCGCCCAAAGTCGAGTACATACTTTTCTGCAGCCCGAACACGCGCTACCTCCGAAGGACCCAGACCGAGCTCCTCGAGCGTTTTGGGGACGGTGGGCTCGTCAGGGAGAATACCAGGAGCAAGAGCTTCCAATGCCGAAGCTGCGGGACGTATGGGAATCGCGTAAGCCAGTGGTGATGACGGCGCACTTGAGAGGCGTGGATCATCATGCGCGTAGAGCTTGAGGGCTTTACGGAGGCCAATATGTTCTTCCAATAGCTGAGCAAGACGAGGGGATGCCAGTACAGAAGCGATGTAGTGGCGGCCCACTTCGCGAATGGACTTGCCGTAGTTCGTGCCCCAATTGAACACGTAGTCGGCGGCTACTGTATGCATACCGTGAGCAGCTTGTCGCTGAGGAGCTTGGCCGTCGTGGAACGCTTCATGATTGGAATTCCTGGGCATATTGCGAGGTGCCTTTTGAGGAGCAAATTCGCAATCTTTGATTGCTGTTTGGTCGGGGTCGTCGGCTGCGATTCGAGATGGTGCCCAGCCATATCTTCCCATGCCACCCAAGTGGTAGGACATGGTGACAGGGAACGAGATGTACTCGCCGGTTCGCAAGGTGTAAGGCGGTCTTGCGTTAGAAGCTGCACCTTGAATAACACGTTCCAGAATCTTGACAGCCTCCGCCTGAGTGAACATCACCACAGCCAGTCCACTGCATCCATTACCCCTTCCTCCAGAATCTTGAACGGATTCGTTGCGGACACCCCATGAAGCGCTGCTGTTCTCTTCTTGCACGGAGTCGTGATCTTTGAACGGCACGCCAGCTTGTTGATGCATAACCTTCCACTTCCTGGAGCGAGTCGTCATCTTTGACCCGGCCACCATCTGGTTTACCATTTTTTCTTGGCCTTCAAAGGACTGCTCGGCTGATTGCGTGCGGACACGCCGTGAAGTGTGGGCATCATCTTCCAGCTCGGGCCCCTCCATCACATCCTTGAAAGCTCGGTGGGGCCGGCCAGAAGATCGGACGCTCCTCGTGTTAGAGCGTGGGACTGGTTGATGGCCATTCTCTTCATCTGGATCGTCGTCGCCGGTTAGGTCGATGACTTCTTTGGGCTGCGCTTGCTTCGCGGCAGCGGGAGACCTGGCTCGTGGCTTCGTGGCACGTCGTTTCCTTGCAGGAAGCTGTTGCGCAGGATCTGTTGGCGAAGTGTCTGCATGTGATCGTGTGCGCTTAATCGCCGTCGTTCCGTGGGCGTTGTGCGCGAGCTGTTGCGGGCGAGAATTGTTGCCTTGCGCGCTCGACTGCGACTTGCCATCTTTCGGCAGTACTTTGCCCGACCGAAGCGGCATCCTGAGTGAGTTGATCGCAGCTCAGGTTGTCCAAGTAATTGTAATGTTGTGGGGAGGCAGAAGGTGAGAGTAGAGGCGCCCTATCAAGCTCCGCGCGCACGGACGTAAACACACGAGTGAGGTAGTCGCAGTCACCGCAAGAAGGAGAAATTTTCATGACGCAATTCTGTTCTGTCGGCCGGTCTTTGCACTGTAATCTAGCAGTGCGTCTTTCAGGCCTACCCATTTATTCACCACGTGCGACATGCCTTCAATCGTCCGCAGATAGTTTTCAGGCACTTCGTTCAACTTTTTGTTCATATGAGCTCCAGAGGGGAAGGTGAAGGTCGTCCACGACTTTCTTGCAGGCCTTGCAGGTCTTGTATTCTCCCGGCTACCCTGGATACGTCCTTGCGATGTTGCCTGTACCGGCGCTCCAGCTGCACGTGCATTCTTTCGCTCTGCCGGAGCTGTTCGTCGCAATCCAGGCCGGTGGTAGTCAAAGGCCTCCTTGATGCCAGGGTGTTTGTCGTGAAGCCCTGCATTCCCGGCTATGGTCCGCAGATAACCTTCTGGTACTTGCGAAAAGTGCTTGCCGCTGTGCGCACCGAAGTCGAAGATGTAGTCAGGCGCGCCGTTGGCTGCCGCTGCCGCTGCCGCTGGCCTGGCACAGGCTCTGTTAGTTGAAGTGCTTGTGCTTTGCTGACGAGACGTCGAGGCGGACGCGGGAGTGGCATACATTGAGCTCGAAGACGTGACGAGCTCTGGACGAGCAATCGAGGCTGGTCTATGAGGAATTCGAGAGGGTTGCGACGGGCCCACATTTCCCGAAGGCCGCAAGTCTTCGACGAACAGCATGGTCTCGGATGCCTCGATGCCATATCTGACCATCGTACCCCGAACCAGGGGGAATCCCGCCTGCCAAAGTCCTCTGTACACGCCAAGAGCCTCCTTCATAGGGAACATGACAGTCGCTCTTTTCGGCCTTGCTTTTTGTCCGTGATTAACATCAATGTTGATGGTCAAAGCATTCGCGTCCTCCATTTCCGAGTCGTCTGAATCGTCGCTGTCATCCGAGTCGGAGTCGCTCATTGTAATCTCGCCGTCCTCAAGGGATTCGTCGCCGTCCAGCGCGATTGGGTCATGTCGGCTTCCCGCGCCGTTGAGGACGTTGAAGTTGTTGCCGTTGGACGCAAACGATATGAAGTCCTGGTTTGACTCGATTCCATTGCCACTGCTTTGATCTCTAGAGGGTCTTCCGCCTCTTCCTCCACCACGGCCTCCGCCACGGCCTCCGCCACGGCCTCCGCCACGCGCGTTGCCACGACCTCGTCGGGCGTTGTTATGTATAGCTTTTTGTCGCGCCTTGTGACGAATCGGGGGTGGGCCTGAGGGTTTCGGGTTCGGCTTGGATTTTCTCTGGGCAGCTGCACTTTCGCGCCGCCGCTGGCAGGGTCGTGGCATAATCCGATGACGGACGTTGGGAGGTGGTTGAGCTTGTGAAAGATAACGAGTGAAATGTGTGGTGGTTCTGCGGTCTTTCTCGGAAGTGAGCTCGGGCCACCCAATGGAACGCGACCTCATCTATCGTTTGCGCGTCTTCACCACATATTCAGCAGCGAAGTAAATGTGAAGAAGAGGAGACATACATCTTCGTGCCACTATTATGATGTCGAGCTAGTCACTGTTCTACTGATTCTTTATCTTACGTCATGCGCCTGTATTATGCGCGTCCACACGTCTTGAGATGGCCTCCCTTATTTCAATTCATTTGTCATTATTTTCCATCAACTTTCATCAGATATCGCTAATCCACGCGCTTGAAGAGACAGTCTTTCTGAAGAACATAAAACACGTTAACTCATATTACATCAGTCTACGTCTACCTCTCACCCCCAACCCCCGATAAATCTATATCCACCCTCAAAGAAGAAAAGCATCGTCCAACGCACTCTTCGCCAAAACCCCCTGGCTTCAGAGTCCTCCATCATCCAGGCTGCTACCCAGACCCGCCGGTGGAGGCGATAAGTTGATTCCGATAATGACCTGCACGTACGCAGTTGGGTATGGGACGATATGCCGTCCGATGTGCAGTCCGTCTGAGAACAGTCCACAGAGAATCCTGTCTGGCAGGAAGCCGGACAGAATACCGCGCTTGGGCTGCAAGAAGGAGTTGTTGATTTGCACGATGCCGGAGGCGAAGAAGGTGTAGTTGTATACCTTGTCACTTACGGTTCCGGATCCGAGGACGCCGGTGGGCAGAGCGGCGGCGGGTGTGGTGAGCGTGGCGGGCTTGGGGAGACCGTTGATGAGACTGCCCAGAGGGTTGGCGGGAGCAGTGGTCGGAATGCTGCCCAGGGCACTTCCCAGGCCGTTGAGGCCGCCTAGAATGTTTGTTGGAGCTGGCAGACCTGTCAGCGGGTTTCCAGGAAGAGTCGGGATACCAGTGGCAGGAGAAAGTCCGCCGTTGGGAAGTCCGTTTGTTGGTAGAACCGGAAGGCCAGTGAGTCCGTTGAGTCCGCTAAGAACATTGTTTGGAATAGCTGAAGGAATAAGACCGCCAAGGGCGTTGGTAGGTAGCCCAGTTGGGAGAAGAGACGTAGGGATGCCAGATGTAATCAGACCACCAAGAGCGTCAGTCGGGAGTCCAGCTGGTAGGCCTGTGGGGAGACCTGCAGGCAGACCCGTAGGGAGACCTAGACTGGGGAGACCTAGAGTAGGGAGAGCTGGAGTAGGGAGACCTAGACTGGGGAGACCTAGTGTAGGGAGACCCAGAGTAGGGAGATCTAGACTCGGGAGACCCAGAGTGGGGAGAGCTGGAGTAGGGAGACCAAGTGTAGGGAGATCTAGACTAGGGAGATCTAGACTCGGGAGACCTAGAGTAGGGAGACCTAGTGTAGGGAGACCAAGTGTAGGGAGACCAAGTGTAGGGAGAGCTGGAGTAGGGAGATCTAGACTCGGGAGGTCTAGTGTGGGGAGACCCAGAGTAGGGAGACCAAGTGTGGGTAGACCCAGAGTAGGGAGAGCTGGAGTAGGGAGACCCAGTGTAGGGAGAGCTGGAGTAGGCAGACCAAGTGTAGGGAGATCTAGACTAGGGAGACCTAGACTCGGGAGACCTAGAGTAGGGAGACCCAGTGTGGGGAGAGCTGGAGTAGGCAGACCAAGTGTAGGGAGATCTAGACTAGGGAGATCTAGACTCGGGAGACCTAGAGTAGGGAGATCTAGACTCGGGAGACCTAGAGTAGGGAGACCCAGTGTAGGGAGAGCTGGAGTAGGCAGACCAAGTGTAGGGAGAGCTCGAGTAGGGAGATCTAGACTAGGGAGACCCAGAGTGGGGAGACCTAGTGTAGGGAGACCAAGTGTAGGGAGACCAAGTGTAGGGAGAGCTGGAGTAGGGAGATCTAGACTCGGGAGGTCTAGTGTGGGGAGACCCAGAGTAGGGAGACCAAGTGTGGGTAGACCCAGAGTAGGGAGAGCTGGAGTAGGGAAACCTGTAGGGAAAGCGTTCGAGATTGCTTCTAGGACACTGCTTGGTAGGCCTGTCGGAACGATACCTCCAAGTGCATTCGTCGGCAAGCCTGAAGTAGGGATGCCAGAGGGCAGACCCGAAGGAATCAATCCGCCAAGAGCGTCAGTGGGTAGTCCTGCTGGGAGCCCTGGGGCAGCGGGTGTAGGCAAGCCGGGCAGAGCACCTGGAAGAAGACCAGTAGGTAGGCCAGTGGGCAAGCCTGTAGGGAAAGCATTTGAAAGAGCATCAAGAACGTTGGGATGGAAGCCCAGTGGGAATAATACCTCCAAGCGCATTAGTGGGCAGGCCTGACGTAGGGAAGCCAGTTGGCAATCCTGATGGGATCAAGCCACCAAGGGCATCAGTAGGGAAACCCGTTGGAAGACCTGGGATAGCGGGTGTGGGCAAGCCGGTCAGGGCACCTAGAAGAAGACCAGTGGGTAGGCCTGTGGGGAAAGCATTCGAAAGAGCATCAAGAACGTTGGATGGAAGCCCAGTGGGAATAATACCTCCAAGCGCATTAGTGGGCAGGCCTGACGTAGGGAAGCCAGTTGGCAATCCTGATGGGATCAAGCCACCAAGGGCATCAGTAGGGAAACCCGTTGGAAGACCTGGGATAGCGGGTGTGGGCAAGCCGGTCAGGGCACCTGGAAGAAGACCAGTGGGTAGGCCTGTGGGGAAAGCATTCGAAAGAGCATCAAGAACGTTGGATGGAAGTCCAGTAGGGATAATGCCACCAAGAGAGTTGGTTGGGAGACCCACAGTTGGGAAGCCAGATGGTAGGCCAGATGGGATTAAGCCACCAAGAGCGTCGGTGGGGAGGCCGGTGGGCAAGCCTGCTGGGAGACCAGATGGAACCAATCCACCAAGGCCATTGGTTGGGAGAGCTCCTGGCAAGCCTGTCGGAAGACCACCAAGGACACCGCTCGGTATTCCCGATGGAATCAAGTTACCAAGGGAGTTGGTGGGTAAACCTGTGGGAAGAGCGTTGAGAATAGCACTTGGCAGGCCTGAAGTGATGATGCCACCAAGGATGTCGGTGGGAAGAGCTGCTGGCAAGCCTGGGACGCCGCTTGGTACTCCTGTGGGGAAGCCAGGGGGTGCCAAACCGTCGAGGATACCAGAAGGCAGGCCTGAAGGAATGAGGTTTCCGAGAGAGTTGGTGGGTAGACCTGTGGGGAGAGCGTTGAGAATAGCACTTGGCAGGCCTGAAGTGATGATTCCGCCGAGGATATCGGTGGGAAGAGCTGATGGCAAGCCTGGGAGACCGCCTGGTACACCTGTTGGTAGGCCTGTTGGGACAAGTCCTGCAAGAATGTTGGAGGGCAAAGCAGAGGGAATGAAGCCGCCAAGAGGGTTAGTGGGAAGCCCTGAGGGCAATCCGGCGAGGATATTGCTGGGAAGAGCGGTAGGGTTGATGCCACCAAGGATATCGGTAGGCAAACCCGCTGGCAGTCCTGGAAGGCCTGTTGGCAATTCCTGAAGCGCCTGGGACTTCTGGGGCACCGCTGGGAAGAATCCCTCCAAGAATGTTGGAAGGAAAAGCAGAGGGAATGAAGCCGCCAAGAGGGTTAGTGGGAAGCCCTGAGGGCAATCCGGCGAGGATATCGCTTGGCAGACCTGAAGGAATAATTCCACCAAAGGATATCGGTAGGCCAAACCTGATGGTAGTCCCGGGAGGCCTGTTGGTAGACCCGGGAGGCCTGTTGGTAGACCCGGGAGGCCTGGTTGGTAGACCCGGGAGGCCTGTTGGCAAACCGGAAGCCCCTGGTACTCCTGGGGCACCGCTGGGAAATAATCCTCCGAGGATGTCAGTCGGCAGACCTGAAGGTTCAAGGTTGCCAAGGGCATTGGTTGGAAGACCCGATGGCAAACCAGCGAGGATGTTGCTTGGCAGACCTGAGGGAATAACTCCACCAAGGATATCAGTCGGCAAGCTTGGGACACCAGAAGGAATACCAGATGGGAGACCGCTAGGTACTAGGCCGGCAAGAAGGTCTGACGGCAGAGCTGAAGGGATGAGACCGCCAAGTCCGTCCGTGGGAAGTCCAGAGGGAAGACCGCCTAGCACATTCGATGGAAGAGCCGAAGGGATGATGCCGCCCAGGGAGTTGAGGAGACCTGTCGGCAAACCGTTTGGAATACCTGAAGCTCCAGGAAGGCCTGTAGGTAGTCCCAGCACGGATGGAAGCGTGTCAAGCACATTGGTAGGAATGCCTGACAACGGAAGACCACCTAAGATGTCAGTTGGTAGCCCAGATGGAAAATCATCGAGGATGTTGCTGGGAAGTGCAGAGGGAATCAGGCCACCCAGCACGTTTGTTGGTAAGCCAGCTGGGATACCCGATGCCGCGCCCGTGGGTAGACCACCTGGGAGACCCGGAAGGCCAGTCGGAAGACCCGGAAGCCCGGTTGGAAGACCCGTGGGTAGACCCGTAAGTGCATTAAGAATGTTGCTCGGGAGTGCTGATGTGAGCAGGCCGCCAAGCGCGTCTGTCGGTAGGCCACTTGGTAATCCCGCAAGAACGTTTGAAGGCAGTGCTGAGGGGATAATTCCACCCAGTATATTTGTCGGTAAACCTCCTGGAAGCCCTCCGGGTGCACCAGTTGGGAACAACCCGCCCAGTACATCTGTAGGAATTGCAGATGCTGGGATTCCGCCAAGTGCATCAGTTGGCAAGCCGGAAGGCAAGTTCGGCAGACCTGATGTAATAATGCCGCCGAGGATGTTTGTGGGCAATCCGGGAATGCCACTCAGGATGCCTGTGGGAAGTCCCCCGGGAACATTTGTAGGAAGGCCGCCGGGTAACCCTGTTGGTAGACCGGAAGGAAACAGGTTCGGCAGACCGCTAGCCAACGGAGCCAAGACGCTCGCCGGGAGTCCACTGAGAGCACTGCTCACAGCATCCGGGCTGAGATTGTCGATCAAGTTTTTCAATGCGTTGTTGAGCTGTTCAGCTTGGTCATCGATAGCTTCAGGTATCAATGGTAACAATCTCTGGAGCGCCGGACAAAAACCGCAGGTGTCGCTGATGGCAGAGGAGCGAACTTGCCGCTCAACAACATGTTGCTTCTTCAAATTCGTGTTCGCGTTTTCTGTCTTGCCGCCGGTGGGTGCTCCAGTGATGGATGGCGTGAGCAGCCCAAGGACGAGCAGGGACGAGAGGTTTCTTCGGCTCGGAGGCATGGTGGCGGACGTTTGTCTTGCTATCTGCAGGCCTCTGACTTTTTCAACCTATCTCCAAGGAAGGCTTATATGTCTCTTTTATTTTTGTTATTTGAAAGCGCATTTGATGCTTCGCAATCTGGAATGCTGGCGCATTCTTGTGGGGGTGGTCGCAATCTCCAACGGCGCGTACGCGAACTCCATCACGACTTCAAATTCCTGCGCGAACGCTAAGCGGAGTTCTTCGGCGACCACGCGCTACAAGAAGTTACCGGATGAGTAGAGCCTCGGATTGCGTGTGTCACCCGTACCTGTAGGTCTAAGCTGCGGAGTGGCGCCATGCCACCTATCTTTCACATCTACAGGATTATCATTTATTAATATCGCCACAGTACGCAGTCAACAGTCGACGAAATGCTCAGCTTGCATGTATTTCATCATTTTTTTCAGGATTCTCTGGTGATCAAACATATCGTGAAGCAAGCAGAACGAGCTTTTATGTTCTTCTTTTCGTGTGGAATTGCCGCGCCCTGCCAGCGGCTCGATGAACTGACACCAGAGTAACCGGTTCCCAATCAGATGGGATATTGACATGCAGGTTAAAATTCACAGACTCTCAGTTGCTTTATCTTTCCATCCGTCAATATGTCTAGAGGAAGTGTGGTACAACCCTTGAATAGGTGTACCAGGCAGCGCGCTACCGCTGTAAGCCCTGGTCGCACCCGTCCGCATGCCCCTAGGGAGGTTTCTATAGGGACGTTAAACCAATTCAATCAACTGGTTAGATGAAGTGTGATTGCCATTCACTGGACCACCCACGGTTTAGTGCGTTCCGACGGCCTTTGCGGTTGCTATCAGAACGGGCCGTTGATACAAATTTGATGCAAAACTTTTCTTGAATCATGGCGCGATAGAGCCTAGGCCTTAGGACAAAAAAGAGAGGTAGTACAGACGGTAAAGTATTATAAAAGCGGTGTTATTGCATGGAGCGTCCACACGAGTCGAGCGCTGATAGGAGAAGCCTTCCATGCGCTGAGGAAGAGACACGTGAAAGCTCTCTTGACAGATTGATGTAGTGTATCACGAAAGCTGGTATCGAAAGGACTTCCTCGGCATTGTGAGAATAAAATCTCGCTAACCGGATGCTAAGGAAATGATCCTTTAGCTCAAGAATGATAACATCGCGCAGGGAATGGCCGATTGATTACTTTTACCGAGTTTAAAACGCTCTTCTGGAAGTCTGTTGATTGCGGGCCAACCCGCAAGAAGGCGTCGTCAGATACAGTGGAAGCTTTTGCAATCATAGTAGTGGCACCTCATGCCCGGGAAGGTCGTGAGCGCTTAGTTCAAAAAGTGGGCATGATGAGGGAATGACACTTGTGCCATGCACAAGCCTCATTGTATCCAAAGCCATATCAGCACGTCACGAGGTGCCCACAAGGTCCTGAAGCCACAGAGCATCAGCTATTGCTGATATCAGGTGTCGAAAGGAAGCGATCGTACTCTTGCACCTGACTCGAGACTGAAGTGGCTGATCAGCCACGACAGCATATGCACACTCTGACACACCAGCTTCAATCATCATCGTAAAAAACATGCTACACTACTTTTTAGGTGCTAATTCCGAGCTCTGATCATGCATGGGGAACAACAATGATCTTTTGTGCGACACTGACTAGATTCAAGCTACTCCAGTACGCGCCCAGAGGCAAAGGAAAAATACCTTGAAGATAGCCATCGCTACTGCTGTATGGCATAAATGATCGTACACATCTTACATGTATCGCGAGCGAAGTGGCCGATCAACCAAGTGCAACAACTTTCAGCACCATACAGTGACACTCAAACGCAACGTAGCTTAGGTCCCGACGGTTCCCATTAATGATAGTTCGAATTAATGCTTGCCCAGGGCGCAGTCTATATTGACAACAGCAATTTGCTTTGTCATCAAAACGTTGTGATGATAAAGTTCGCATGTTTCAAACAAGAAAGTGTGGTGAAGCAGCCCTCAAATGCTGACTTCTCCTGTGGTAAGATGAGAGGTTGCACATTACGCAAGGGAAGATGACACTAAGGCCTCCTCATTGGTCGATCAGGAACCGAGTCCTTCAAAACCAGTCAGCGATGGGATGTTGGAACGTGCGCCGCGATCTCAGCTCATGCCTGTGCTTTCAAGATTGCGACTTTGTCGTTGATGCTCTTCAAAGAATCCTGACACTCCTCCTTGTAGGTGGCAAATCGCTTCGCGTACTGCGTAGCCTAGCTCCTCTTCGTCATGGCTGCTACTGCTTCTCGGAAGGCCATAACCTCACCACCATCCTCAGCCTCTTCACCCGCCACAGTGTCACCGTCGCCATTCCTCTTGTCCAATGTGCGCCAAAGGATCGAGGTGGGAAACGTCGTCGATTTTAAAATCCCCAGCTTGCGCCATTATCCGGACGCCCTGCAACATCTTGACTCGAGGTGTCGGAAGCTCGGAATACTTGCAAATGAGGGCGCCTTACAGCATGACGTATTTCATCAAACACAGGCTTGATTTTACGGGCAAACTTGTGCGCATTTATGATGCTATGATCGGCCTTCGCCAGTATGGTGTTGTCGATTGAGTCAAAAGCGATGTCTTTGACAGTGACCTTCAAGCCCTTCCATGAGATGCAGCTGGGAGACCATCAACTGTGTCCTTAACAGTAATGAAGTAGAGCCATACAATCTGCGACAAGCTTTTGTAGCAGAGCCATTCTTATTTCTCCGATTCTAACACGGATATGTCATTTTCAGTTCACTTTGGCGACAGACTCAACAGTGTGAGAAAGGTTGATCATTTTGTTGTCGCTAAAAAGAATGTCATTCTCGAACGCTGAATATGAACATGATATTTAGAATTGCCTCGAGATTCAAGTCAGGTGGCTGAAGTGATGGAATTACGGAGGTTTGATGGTCATATAGCAAGAGCATCAGAAGGCATGAAGTTGCCCGCTCCGCTCCATGCCAGTCGCGTGGGCGGATGTGCATTACTTGCAATACTCGCTATCCCACCATTTGCATAACGTGTTCTAGGCAGAACAAAACTGCGGACTATGCGTAGCCAGGCTAACCTACAGGGTCGTTCGAAAGCTGGCATCACCCAGGTCCCTAATCTCCACTTTAGACAACTAATCCTCGATACCCATCATGGCAGCAAAAGCTACATCCTTGACACGTCGCATATACATCCCCATGGTGTGTTGCGCAAGATCAGCAAATATAACATCACTGAGCTCCTCAGCCGTAATGTGTGACGCGACCGTGTCACCACTCTCCTTTTCGCGCAGCAAAATGACGTTACCAGCATTTGTGAGTGGTGCTGGCGGTGTAGACCACATTGGAAGCTCTTCCCACGGAGTCTGCGGCGTGGTGGGAAGTGTCGTTCGAATAACTCTTGTGCCGCGCGACCCACGCACAACTTTTACTGGAGCAGCTATGGTCGAATTTGATGGTGTCGAGGCTGTCAAGAGTTTGACCAGAGACTTGACGTAGGCGCCGTTGCTTAGCCGAGTGACTGGATCACCTTCGTTTGCGAAAGATAGGAAGACGCCTGAGATGTGATCGCGTTTCGGCAAGGACGTGAGCGAGAGCGGGGGAGCGCCAAAGATTATGCAATTGATGCTGGAGAACAGATTCGCTAGAGTTGTCAACTCTGAGGTGACAGAACTCGACAACATGTGACTGTAAAGCATCGCTGCAACCGCTCCACCTGCGGAATGGCCAGTGAACAAAAGCGATGGCTTTTCCAAGGAAGCGGGATGCTGGTGTAGTTGTGTTGACACTTGACTGGTCATTGCCTTGGCCACTTGAAGAAAACCAGAGTGACACGCGTTCTCTTCATCATCCAGAAAGCCGACAGGGCTGATGGGATCGGCGTCCTTGTTGACCGACCAGTCTGAGAGACACTGAAATTGTGTCCCGCGTATAGCTACAATGATGACACGAGTGTCGTCTATCAGCTGGTCGTCCACTATCATTGCTTTTATACTCTTTGATGTGTTTGCCTGTGTGTATGTGCCTCGTCGAGTAGAAGCTCCGGAATCGTAGCAATCGTCTGATGCTTGTGCAGCGCGACAGACCATCGACCAAGTTGGAAGCGCAGTGCTGAACGATGGGATGTCTGGCGACAGCCGTGAGTTCTTGAACATGGCAGCCTTCTTTGCAAGTGTGGATCTTTCGCGCGATGCAGCGTCCTGAGCTTCTTGTCGCCTCACCGCTCCGGTTCGTGGAAGTGTACGCTGTGGATATTGTAATTTCCCCGATGCACGAAATTCGAACGCGTTCGGGACGTCCTCCTCAACGCTATATATTGAAGCGCAACTTGAGTATATGGAGGAAGCGCTGGAGTAGATTGATGCAGAGTCGCTGGAATATACGGAAACCCGGTCTCTCGAATACGACGACGAGGCACTGGACTGGGCCTCATCAACATCCAAATCATGAGATGTATCTAGAGTCATTTCGGGTGTGTCTTCTTGTCGTTCGGACGGCATTGACAATTCTTGGATAGAATTTTGTCGTGCGTTACTCTCCAATTTGATTGACGTGATAGCGTTCCTTGTATAGGCATTTAATGTGGCGCTTGTTCGCATAGCGATCGTTTCCGTGGGAGTGATAGCGACCTCTAGAGTAACATATAGTTCTGGAGTTGTGTCGCGGACGGAAGTGTCTGGAGGCGCGGCGACTGCGTTGGGCTCAGGCAAGGTGGTGCTCAATGCTTGAATAGTAGCAGTCTTTGGACGAGATGGCTCAAGTATCGGGAGTACCTGGTCTCGAACCACGCCAGCTAGTTTTGGTTCTGAATTATTTCTTGACAGCAGAGTTGGCTTCAGTAAGCCGGTTCGCCAGCGTGTTGGCTTTGGAGCTGAGGCAGAAGTGGTTGATTCGGTCTGCGCAGTTTTCGCTGGCTTGACCTTGTGACCTCCTCTAGCAGAGGGCATGATGTGGTATAAAGAGAGTTTGAACAGTGTGTCGAGAAATGGTCGTGGTGGCAAAAGTTGATGTTGCGAATACCCAAGTGATCCATTCCGCTTGAACGAGGCTGAAGTGATATATGAATGGATGCATGCAGACTATAGGATACGGCAGTGTGAAAAAAATATTATGCACACTGGTCCAGGTTATGCACCACAAGATAACGACTCCTGAACATACCTGCGGGCTCGACGCTTGAGAGACGGCTTTCGCGATGCTAACAGGTTGGTCGGTATTACCGACAATGAAGTGCAAGCCATTTGAAGACGCTATGGCGCATGGCGTATCGATATGCGCTCTCGCCGAAAGAAACAGCACATTCAGCCTTATCTATTCTTCAGATTCTCAGCTGAAGATATCATGTTTGCAGAGGCTCTAGCTAAAAAGAGGATCGCGAAGTGTCGTGAGAGATTGATGTGTGAGGCTTCAGCTCCGCCACATGGGCGCAGTGGCGCAAAGCCACATGCATCGCGACTCTGCATCAGGAGATTTCAGCTCAAAGATACACATAACAGACACGTGGCTTGCACTGCTTTAAACTGTAGAGTCAGAAAAGCTTTTCGTTAGCGCTGATTCCTATCGCAACCAATCGCGATTTTCTTCCTCAGACCAATAACAGATTTGCTGGTGCGTTGGACGACCAAAAGTATCACGCTAGTATGTTTTCGGCTATGCATAGGCGCTATGGGATCTAGAATGCGAGGCTGAGAGCCAAACTAAGTATTGTCCATGTTTTTTCTCGCTTGAAGGCTGCATGGATAGATGCGAGCGACATTTGCATATCGGCGTCTCCATGGTGTCGACGGTCTATGTGCTGTAGTGGTGAAAATATTTATGACCAGTCCATATAAGTCCGTAGCTTTTCGTAGACATGTTCTTCAGCACGCGTTCAATCAGCACTCGCCATGACGTTCGAAAAGCTGACCGGTATCGAGGTTCAGATCCAAGAGTCAGATGCCTCTACCAGTGAGCTTTGTGATGAGATCAAGGCTTTTATCAAAGATTGGGATGCGCCCGAGAATAAGGATAACCCCAGGAATTGGAGTTCTTGTAAGTTCAATGCTCTTCTCCATGAAAAAAGGCTGAGCTGATGGTCCGTAGTAAAGAAAGCATGCCACATCATTCCAGTCTCCATGCTTTGCTTAAGTGTGACTGCCGGTTCTTCAATGATTACGCCTGGAGTGTTCGCCGTCGCACACAAGTTCCATGTATCGCACACGGTGGCACTTCTGCCTCTGTCACTGTTTGTCCTGGGATTGGCCATCGGTCCCCTACTTGCTGCACCTATCTCGGAGACTCGTGGCAGGGCGATTGTTTACAAGGTTTCCATGCATCTGTACATGCTATTTATCCTTGGCGCCGGTCTCTCGGATTCCCTCGCAGGCTTGTTAGTATGCCGCACACTTGCGGCGATAGCTGGCGGTCCATGTCTTGCTGTGGGTGCAGGCACTGTAGCGGACCTGTTCGAACCCAGACAGATGGCTCCTGGCGGCGCATTGGTGGTCATGGCACCATTCCTTGGTCCCTGTAAGTCTCTCTGACACTGCGCAGCGGATAAGAAATACTCATGACTATGCTCAGGCCTTGGTCCCGTTATTGGAGGCTTTTCAGCTACGTTCACTGATTACCGATGGACCCAATGGAGCACCATATTCCTAGCTCTCGGCGCATACATCCTTGTGCTGCCAACCCAAGAGACGCATCGTGACGTCTTACTCAGGAGACGAGCATTGCACATGGGTCTTCCGCCTCCAAAACCCGAGCTTGCTCCACGCGAAGCAGTCAAAATGCTTCTCACGATCACTCTCTTCCGTCCGATTCGGATGCTCATGTCTGAGCCCATTGTCCTCTTGTACTCCATCTACAACGCCTTCACTTTCTCAGTGCTCTTCGCCTTCTTCGAGGCCTACCCGATAGTCTTCATGGGAAAATATGGGTTCAGTATTTCGCAGTATTGTCTCACGTTTCTTGGTATCGGCGCTGGTGTCATACTCGGTGCGATAGGCGCGGTGTTACTTGATCTCCTAGTGTATCAAAAGATCATGCGCAAGGGTGGTGAGCGTGCGATACAAAGAGGACCCGAGCAGAGACTGTACATTGGTATGATCGGTGACCTCTGCCTACCCATTGGGTGAGTACCTTGATACCAAGACGAGATGAATGACCCACGATGCTAATACACTCGATAGACTCATTTGGTTCGCCTTTACAGCGAAACCGTCCATTCATTGGATCGTGCCGGTACTTGCTGGCGTCCCCTTCGCTTTTGGCAACGTGACGGTCTTCATCTCTGCGGCACTTTATATGCTCGATGTATACGGACCAATGAGTGGTGCATCTGCGATGGCTGCGAATGGCTTGGTCCGCTACATCATGGGGGCTAGTTTTCCCTTGTTCACTGTGCAGATGTACAACGCGCTGGGTGTAAAATGGGCGACATTACTTTTAGCGTTCGTTTGCCTAGTCATGGTACCGATTCCGTGGATATTTTACAGGTTTGGACCTGGTATTCGGAAGAAGAGTCCGTATAGCCAATGATGCGACGAGTGTCGTTCTATTACGAGAAAAAGATGACCTCAAATACTTTTCACAATATAGAATACTGTAATTGTAAGCCTACGGCCCCGTCATCTCTGTTTGCAGAGCTTTGTGTGGCTTCTCGTCGAAAGCGGCGTTTTCTGCTTCCTCGAGGCCGAGGGTTTGAGCAATGTTGTAAAGTCTCGTCTTTTCTTCGTGAGCTGTAGTGTCTTTGAACACAGCATCCATCTCTTCTAGTGTTTTCCCCTTCGTCTCAGGTATCAGGAACCAGGTAAAGAAGAATGCGATAAGCGCAAAAGCGGCAAAGAAAAGGTACGTTCCGTAGCCGATAGTCTCAAGCATGTCAGGTGTGACGAGCCCAATTATGAAGTTGCACATCCATGTCGACGACGTGGTCAGCGACATGGCCTTGGAACGGTTTCCGATGTTGTAAATCTCCGACGGTAGTACCCATCCGATGGGAGCCCAAGAGTACGAGAAGTTGACATCGTAGATGTAAACAAAGGCGATTCCTGTCCAGCCAGCTGCGGGGTGGTCCTTGAGAGTGTTGCCGTAGCCTCCAATGACCCCACCCACTATGCAGAGGGAGATGAAGGTTCCCGCAGCACCAGACAAGAGGAGTGGACGGCGACCAATCTTGTCAATCAAGAACAGTGCTGGAAGAGTGGAGAGAGTCTGTGAAGGATGATGAGCCTTATCACTTCAAAAAGGATGGGTTATGGAGACCTACATTGACAATTCCATACACTCCAGTAGCTAGCAAACCAGTCGTCTTGCCGGACAAGCCGAGCTGGCCGAAAATGGTGGGGGCATAATAGATAATTGCCTGTTCTGTTTGTCAGTAGTAACCCCACTAAGCGTCATTTGTAACAACGTACATTACACCCGATAAATTGCTGGAAGAACTATGACACAGCAACCAATCGCTGTACGTCTAAATGATGGCCAATTCGAGAAGAGGGTTGAGTATCCAGCCAGGTAGAGAGACACGCCAGATTTGCCGGGGAACTTTTCGCGTGCATACTGCTGTTCAAAAATGACCTCCGCCTTGATAGCAAGGTATTCCTTCTGGAGCAGCTCGTCATCGGGTCTGGTTTGACGAACTTTGGCAAGAGCTCGAACGCCGGCTTCGTCATTATCGCGCATGCAGTAGTACCTAGGGCTCTCTGGAAAGAAGATCATGCCAATCCCAAGCACGAGACCGGGGAAGATTTGCAGGGCGAACGGGACACGCCATGATGCATCAGACTGCCCAGTGCAGCCGTTCGGACCGACATCTGTGCGTGGGTCGAAAGCTGGTTCGTCCATGGTCCCACCAGTATAAGGAATATCTGGTGCGCATCGTGGACCGCCTATATATTGTGTGCCATATTCGAGCCAGTATGACACAAGGATACCGAGAGTGATCGAAAGCTGCTGTAGAACGACTAATGTTCCTCGGATACCGGCGGTGGAAACTTCGCTCATGTACATCGGAACAATCATCGTTAACATTCCCACAGCAAAGCCAGCAATAGCGCGTCCTATTTCTAGAGTTAGTGCAGTCCTGTTCGCTCTGAATTATCCATACCAGCAAAGGCCATTTCAATGTTAATTGCACCAGCTTGGAGCGCGGAACCGATGGTGAAGATGACGACTGCAATCATGATGGAACCTTTCCGACCAAAGCGATCTGCAACGGGGCCATTCACGAGAGATCCCAACCATGCTGCCAATAGCAGAGATGAGACGAACCATCCCTTGAATGAGCTGTCGTATGAAATGCGGGGGAAGGCTGCTGCAAAACTCTCCATGGTCAAGACTCCGGAAACCACACCTTGGTCATAGCCAAAGAGAAAGCCGCCAAGCGAGGCAAACTGTGCATGGTAAGCGTATGCCTTTCTAAGCATAGAGTGCATAGAACTTACAGCTGATAGACCAAGAAGGTACGGATTCTGGCGCAACTCCTTGTACAAACCCTTCTTCTGTGGACCGCCCAAGCGAGTGCCGATCTGAAGGTCAGAAGCCATATTCTAGCGAGTCTGACTTCGTCAGTGCAATAAGCGAGAAATGAAGAAAAAGAAGCGGAGACAGTTTTAACTTATATAACGACGCCGCGATGGATTTCGCACATCACGCAAATGATGCGAGTCAGGCAAGCCGGAGTACTGTCGTCCGATCCAACGAGGGAGACCCGTTCGTGTCGTGCGGAAGCGATTCCCAAGTGTATTGTGGAGCCCCCACAATGTTACTCGTGACGTTACCCCGTTCCCATGGGGCATCTGCATGTTCTGGAATCGCGCGACAGTCGTCCGGACTCCACCAACATGGCTCACACAGAATCCCATCACATCTTCGTCGGAGTCTGCAACTGGCGCGCTACCCCTTGGCACAAAAGTCTCGCTCTCAAGACTTCACATCTTACAACATGTGCTTCTTGCCAGTTCTTCTCACTTTGCTTGTTCAGACACGATGACCAAACCCTTGGCTGTGGATACCTTGCACGAGGCCATCCTTGATCTGGTAAAGCGTGTTGAAAAGCTCCTAACAAGCCAAGCATCAAACCCTCGTCAGCGCATCTTAGTTGCACTGGCAGGTGTGCCGGGATCGGGAAAGTCGACGATATCGAACGCGCTCATAGCCGAGCTAGCTCTGCGAGGTATCCAAGATGTCTCAATCGTACCAATGGTGAGTTACATCTGAACGCCTTTGTATCACACTTGCTCATTTCATGTCCAGGATGGCTTCCATCATTCACAAGCAGCCTTGTCAACGTTTGATGATGCGGAGACTGCATTTCGCAGACGTGGTGCACCTTTCACCTTCGATGCCGAAGCTTTCGTCCGACTAGTCACTAAACTGAAGGCCATGCCCGTGACAACACCTACGGAGACCGAGCTCATCGTGAGCGCACCGAATTTCGATCATGCGACGAAAGACCCGTCTCCGAACGCTATTGCGATATCTTCCCAGAATCGTGTGATTATTGCTGAGGGCAATTATACATTGTTGAACCTCACCCCTTGGAATGAGATCGCAAAGAGCTGCGCAGAAAAGTACGCACATGAGTCGTGCGCTAAACTACACAGGCTAATACACCCCCCAGGTGGTTTGTCGATGCTCCAATCGATACTGTGCGAGATCGCCTGGCGGAACGCCATCTTGCGGCAGGTATCGAAGATTCGATGCAAGCTGCGGTGCAAAGAGCGAATGAGAATGACATTCCCAATGGTGCGATGATACGATCGATGCTGATCAAGCCAGACGTAGTCATTGAGAACTGAGGTGGTGGCGCTTGTTCTCTAGGCCGCGGAGTGTCATTGAAATGTATTGGAGCTGAGGTCCCAATTGAACGCGCCCAACAGCTCACTAGTTTCAGCCGACCATGGAAATGTGCTCAAATTGCCCTCGTTCAGCTGAATGTTTCCAAATATGTTAGTGTTGTTCCTGTCATCGGTGACGATCTGATCCAAGATAGCAACACAACGTGCCGATAATGAGTCTTCGCCGAGGTTTCGTCTGAAAGTGTTTCGGGCCATACTGATATCTTCAAGCCATTCGTTTATTGCAGTAGCCTGTGGAAAGCTTACGACACAAAGGGTTATTATGAGAGTAGCGTGGAAAAGAAAATATCTGAATGTCAGGTTAGTTGTCAACGAGACGTACAGCTTTGACGGCGCTTTTGTACTTACGTGGCATACCACCCTTCCAATCGTGTCATCTCTTGTGACGAGTACTCACAGATTGATACAATCGTAGCGTGCGCAGCTTCTACACATATGCGCTTACAGTCTTCTTGCTCAGACGATGTCGCAGGGTTCGAAAGTTGGCCGCGAACTGCAATGGCTTGCCGTAGCAGAACGTGCCGAAATACTATTATCTTCAAATTCCAGAATCGCCACCAGAGTCGAGCCCTGGCAAACAAATACCACCGAAACTGGCACAGAATCTGGGCATTGAGCTGAAAGTACATCGGCAGGCTGCGAGCCCATGATTCCATGGAAACACCAATCGAAAGTGCAGCTCCTGCCGACAGTCCAGGATCGGCGAGGAGGCGATTACAGATATGGTTTGTGTGCCGATGAAAATCGCTCTGCGTCTTTAAAGAAGAATACGAGGTCGGCTCCTGTAACTCCTGGGGCAGATCCGTAGTCCTTGGGGTCAGCGACTAGCAGAGTCAGTCGAGCCTCCATGTGAAAATAGGCTTGGAGCAAGTTACCGAGTCTTCAATGTTCAGAACAGCATGAACATTCATAGCGTCGTGATCTGGGAGCATTATCGCTCTTCCGAACGTAGTCGATGCTCCACTGTCGAATATGAATAGGCCCCACCAGACTCTTCGTCTAATCTCGCGATCGAGGAGGCTAATGTTCCAGTGAGGCAGCTCGCGGTGTAAAGCAAGACTCAGAGCGGTACGGACGGCAAGTCCCAACAGATTCCCAGCCTGTGTTAGGGCTATTCCGCTTTTGACTAAAGGTTACTCAGAAGCACTAGCGCTTGTACTGTTGTGAGGTCAGCAGCTTCGAAGACGGAATCGTGTTGTCCGAGAGTAAGCGCCTTTCCCGGTAGAGATAGTCTTCCCAGGCCAACATGATCTTTGTTCAAACTCCACGCTCCAAGTGCCCAGAATAGCATGATACAACATGTCCCAAGATCTTGGGGGCGGACGAGCAACGATTTCGTGATACTGTGCTCGGAAGGTCGCTTCATGCACAAATGGATAGCAGACATGATAGTCATGAAAGTACGCGTCGATGAGTGTCGAAGACAACTGTGTGGCCAGTGCGGCATGGGAAATTTGCGATGATGCCAGAGCACCATTGAAGACAATCGGTCTCGGCGTTGGCTGGGGCATCCCTAGGGCTTGGGACTGATGCAGGAAGCCCGCCCAGTCCAACAAGCATCGTAGGAAAACTACCCCGGATGTTGAACCTACGAGCACATCAATACAAGAGTATGATAAAAACATAACAAATTCGTACCAAGATAGCCTACACCAGTTGGCTCTACCGAGAGGGCGGCCATGCCATCCGTCAATCCGTCTACGTTCACGTTCTCTTCCTGCCAATTGAAACCATCTGCGTTACTTGGAACAGCTTCAGGGAGAGCTGCCTCGGATGTTTGCGCACGAACGTCATCCTCTAGGTTTGGAGTGGACGAGGGCGGTGCGGCTGACGAAGGTCCGCCAGGAGGCAAAGTAGCCTTGGCCAGCTCTGGCGACGAAAGCACATCATCGATAGTGATGCCGGGCAAGAGCTGCGAGAGCAGATTCTCTAATTTCGCTGAACGCTGCTCTACATTCGACAAATATCTTGACAACAATTAGAGATGCATTTGCATGCAATCGTAGGAGTTTGCACACGCTCGAGTAAGCGGAGATCGCACGATTCGCCCAATGTAGTGACACGGCGAGCCGCTATGGGCGCATGAGCTACATGTTGGTGTCTCTTTCGAACACTGTTCTTTGGTCAGCCGGCGCGGCGCGAGGCACAAAGACGTGCGAAGACTGACCTTAAGCTTCTTCGCCCTGCAACGTGCGCACTGTAGCAAAAATCAGCATGTATGACTACTCGATTGTGAGGACTGACGAACAGAAAGTGAATCTCTTCCAGCTGCCCGCTTATGCTCCATTTATGTTGAAAGCCATTTGTGTGAAGGAGTTGTGGTGGGTCCAGCGCATCGGGCTGAGATTTGGCCGGCATTGCGCCGATGTGCACGCACCACACTTGACCTAACGTGTCTAGCATTTCCTCGACAGCACCTCCTCCAACGGACTCTTACTTTCTCACATTGAAAGATCAGCCTCGAGTATTGGAGATGATTCAAAAGTGATGATGTATGGGCGAGCATTGTGGACGATCGTCACTGCTTGCGATTGCAAGTGAAGCACGGAGGTCTTCAACAGCTGTGACGCAAATCCCAAGTAGAAAGATAAGTGTCTCATCGTTCTACATCGAATCATTCCTACCTAATCCAAATGTCTGCGATGTGTTATCTTCAACTGCGGTTTCAAGTGGTCGAGTCCACTAGCAACTACTGCAGCAACAATTCGGACAGCCATGTCCAGCATAACAACCTTTCCGTCACTGGTGACGATGCGGAGTTAAAAAGTTTGGTAAAACGAGCTGCCAAGGACTGCTACAGCAACAAAACATTATAACATCAACTATAGTGAGCAATGACCAGGAGCTGTTATATTCGCAGATTGTGGGTCTTGTGCACGCCAGCACGGTCATGAGCATCGACCTACAGTTCCACATCATCTATCCTGACTCTTCGCAAGTCGTACAGGTGGGCTATGACACGGAAGAGCGAAAATGACTGGTACCATTCGTTCTACTTTAATCGACTAACCATGCATTGCTCTCTCAAGCTACCTTTCTCAATTTTGCTATTTCGTACTTTCTCGGCACTTTACTCTGTCATCTCACACGATACATCTAAGCCACGCGAACACAAAACTTCTCCAGAGCTGTAACACGTATCCCAATTCCAAGGAGGATGATGTTCTCCCGAGCACTCTATATTGCCCACGCAATGTTCATCTCGACCATTTCTGCGATACCAGAATACACCAACAACACGGCGCCCGGCCCCGCGATTCCATTGCCCACTGCAGCCTCGTATCACAGTACCTGGTGTCATTGTACGCCCCCATTCTCCTTGCTATCTCGCTGAACTGTTCCCTCACTAAACCCTAACAGATGACCTCCAGCTCTTCCAAGAATGCCGCATCACGCCATTAGGATCCTACGTCATCCGAACACTCGGCAACATCTTTGCCATTAGAGACGAACGCAACAATACTATCACCACCTACTCCGAAGGCATGGGCATGATCGATGCTCCCACCAGTATGGAACGACTCGTACCTGGCACGGACCTTTGGCTCAGCATGCAGTATGGCACCGACAACACGACGTATTTCGGATTTGGTACTTCGAAGTGGAATGACACAAGAAAAGAAACCATAAACACCACTGGATGGTGTAATCCGGAGCCCTGGACGAAGAAGGATATGCAATGTGGAGTGTTATCTGCTGATTACTTCAGGGTGAGTGAGATGCACTGCGCAAGTGACTTGGCTAATTCGTCTGTTGTAGTTCAAGAACATGTTCTGTGCGTTTTTTTGCTCGATTCCTGGCTGAACAGCGAGTTTCGGCTACGGCAAAGCAAAGCAACGTATTTGTGGATGGCTCCAGTATTATCTAAGAGCATGTGGCTGGCTTCTTGTCCCTTCTGTCCCAACGGATCTGTAGAAGTCAGTCACGAAGCGAGTCCTCCACTCGTAAGTATGTGAGTCTAGCAGATCAATAGAACCGTATGCACCTCCGTATTTGGAGCATAAAATGTCGTCGTGGAGTAGTCGGAAGACACTCTTTCTTTCCCAAACAGCACCAGCAGGCAGCGGCAAAATCTGTGTCCGCTCTGCAACTGCGCGATATGATCTTTTAGTTTTTAGCAGCGCGCTTATAGGTTTACAAGAGAGCCTTATCTAGTGTCGCAAAAGTCTTGACGATATCTAGGCTACCTTAACCTCTTCTCGTTGGGTGAGGGCGGACACGAATTTTGCCGGCGCCTACGCCTTCTCGCATATATTGACACTCAGTGCAGCTATCAAAACAGCTTCTTAAAACCCACTCGTACCACCACGAGTCCCACCCGCTAAATCTCTGCTGTGTAGCCTTTTGGTCACATGGAGCGATTACACTCGCAGTACCATAAGTAAGTAGAAGAAGTTCGGCCCACGTCCACCGGACTAATCATCATAAAGAATGTAAGATCTTGAATCGATCGCGCAACTGCATGTGTTATTTATTAAGCTACATCAAGCACAACGAAGATGACAAGAGACAGTATAAGATAATCATGAACATGTGTTTTTCATTCCCATCAATAGACATAATCTGATTTCATGTCATTCATTACCCCAATACCAGTACCCATACCACCCAGGCCTCAAAAAGCAACGCCGTGCTTTTTCCCTTTTCTCAATGAAGAAGAATGAATACCACATCTCCTGCACTATCATCAATCATCACTCGCCTCACTTCCCACACTACGATGTGCTCCCCGGCGGTCCGCCCATATTCAGTAAAATATCCAACATGTCCATGCCGCCCACATCCGGGCCCATGGCCGTCTGATTGATTTCGGCCCCATACTGATCGAGCAGTGGATCGAGGGGTAATGCCAGCCAATCCTGATCCTGGCCGGCGCCCCAGCTCGCCCCGCTATTCGCCCACTGGCCCCAATTCGAATTGCCGCTCGTGTCGAAGTTGGCGTAGTTGCCGGGCGGCGGCATGATGGATATCGAGTTGGAGTTCGGGTCGTACGGCTCCGCGGATATGCCCCAGAGCGAAGAGGAGAGGGGTGTGGCGCGGCCGGAGGCGGTGAGGCCGAGGGAGGGCGAGTTGGGGACGGAGGTGGAGGGGTTTTGGTAGATGTATGGGGGCTGGAGGTGGCCGAGGTTTTGCGAGGGAGGAGGCATCATGGGCGCTTGGATGGGGCTTCTACTGCCTGCGCGGGAAATGCCTGCGGAGCCGTTTGCGGCGAGGCGCACGAAACGGGAGCGGATGCGGTGGGTGAGGGTCTCGACGAGGTCGGCGAAGCGGTTGCCGACGTGGACGTCGTCGACGATGCCTTGGCGGAGGGCCGTGACAGCATCGCTGAGGAGGTTGAGGGAGATGGCGACGTCTTCTTCAGTAGCGCCCAGGGCGAAGGTTTTGAGCAGGATGATGGCTACGCTGACGATGCGGAAGAAAGTTCGGACGGGGGCGTGGCGTAGGTAGCCTCCGGGGTGGAGCCCTTCGACTACGATTTTGAGGACGTTGCGGGACGCGTCGATGACTTCGTTGATGTAGTGTCGGTCATTGGCGTACCACTTTACCAGAGTGCTGAAGGGAATGGCGTTGTCGTGCTCCGCACTACCCATGCCATTCGCAGGGCCCATACCGTTAGGATGAGCGTGGGTTGGACGAGGTGTGCCTTGGGTGCAGCGTTCGACAACAGCCTGGAGAGCAAGCGAGTTGAGATATACACGAGTGTACTCAAACTCGATGATCAAGACATGTCGGAGTTGTTGTGGGACTGTTAATGTCAGTTACTACCACACGGAACGTGCGATGATGATGTCTTACCTTGGACTGCGCGATCAAAGCAAGCCTTCCACTCCGTCAACGGCCCTTGGAAGAACTTCAGCATCTCCTCGTAGGTCCCTGACTTGAGCAACTCCCTCGTCTTCCTCCTATTCGAAAACAGCTTCAGATTGCCCATCTCCATGATCTTCGCAATGCGTTGCCAGAAGTCAAGAACAAGATCTTGCACAGCATGGCGCTCCTGGGTAGCGACCGATTCCAGAGGCAGACGCGCGCCATCCGAACGCATGCCAAACTGCGGGGGCGGTGCCTTGATGCGATTGACACGCTCCTGGTACATCTCCAGTGGCGTCGGACCTCCAACCAGCGACTCGTCGCGATCGATCTTGGGAAGCATGGACGTTAATCCCAGCCGGCCACTCGTCTGCGTGACATATATGATCAGCAAATCGCGAAGGTGATTCTTGCGTCGGTAGTACGCCTTCACTGTCGCATGGGACAGCTTCTCATTCGCATTCTCAAACTCCATCTCGCTCGTGTCATCGAAGACACCAATCTCAAAGGCCAGCGTCATGGCATTTCCGAGCAGCATCCAGCACATGCGATCACTCCGCCAGCAGGGTTCGAGCCAGCTGTCGATGCGCTTGTCGCCAACACCCGGGAGCATATCCGGCCTCGGTCCAGCATCGTCGGCTCTATTATCAGGCAAGACAAGCTCATCGTCATCGTCACCCGGCGGGAAGTGCAGAGCACGTGGATGCCACTCAGTCAGCAACATCAGACTCTCGACTGTGCCCAGCGTGCGCAGACCCTTGCGCGACAGCGGATTGACGTCTGATCCAGGCTGCTGTCCTGCGCCACAAAACCCACCACCAAACTGCTCTTGGCCAAAGATCATACGGTCGATCATGCCCTGGAGGTATTTCCACAGCTTCTCGTGGATCAGATAGGACCGCGACTGCGCGCCGATACCGCTCGAGCCGCTCGGCTGGGAGTACCTCGCCGCGATGGTGAGCAGGGTGATAGTCAGCATGGGCTCCTCTTTCAGCAGCCGCGCATGCTGGCTGTGCTCGCGGTAATCCGGCACGACAATGGGCGTCAAGGGCGACAGGAAGGCGTAGAAGTAGTCGATGTACGCAATGGCTTCCTTGGCAGTGAGCCATCCGGCGCGCACGAAGCGGAACTTCTGCCACGCGGCGACGGCCTCCATGAAGGCGTACTGATTCGGCGGGTCTGGCAGCATGGGCTGCGATATAGCCGGGTCGACAGCCGTGTCTGAAGCCGTGTTCCGCGAGCCGTTGCGCATGTGTGTCGGGTGCACCTGCGGGCTGGCGAAGTTTGTTTGCGAGCCGGGTGTGCTACCCATCGTGGGGCGCTGCATACTCGACGTGCTGCCGGAGCGGTGGTGGGCCGCGGCCTCGAAGAGCAGGTTAAGCGCATCGTGGCCGCTGTAGACCTCACCGTTCTGCAGCGTCGCGACGGTTTCATTATTCAGCTTCTGGTCGTCCTCGTCGTTCTGCTGGGGCTGGCTCGTCGACGTCGTCGGGCGGCGCAGAGGCTCATACCGCCCGACAGAACCGCCCGGAGTCAGCGGCTGGGAGAGGTACTGCGCGCCATTTGCATTTGCGCTCACGACGCTCACGGGTTCCGGGACGGTGTTGGTCTCTGAGCGCATGCGCTTCCGGCCGTTGCGCAACTCATAATCGTCGGCCTCGTCAAACTCTTCCTCGTTGTCCTGCTTGCGCTTCCGACGCGTCGCCGAGAAGTAGCATTCTTTGCTCTCGCGCCGGCAGCGTACACATGGCGGGTCGTGGGGGTGGTCTTGGAGCCAGTCAGTACTTGCGGCTGCTATCATCTACACCATCGAATACATGCCTACGGGGCCCAGGTCACAGCGCACCTTGCGTCTCCGACATGGAATGCAGGCTTGATACGTGCGCGTATGTTGCGACTGCGCGCCGCCTTTGTTGACTGGCGGAGACGCGCTGGCCATGGTGCTGTATGCTGGCGCTTGGGACGTCGTCGGCTTGCGGCGGCTCTGCTGAAGGCTCGAGAACGACCGGGTCCCTCTTTCTATTTGGCTTGGATAAAGGCCGAGATGTCCAATTGTACCTGCATGCAGTGGATCGAACTGCGCCGCGCGACCGTAACGCTTAGAGGCAGGTAGTAAGTAGTGCTGTAAGTTTTGTGTGTGATTAATTATCTGTTATTCGTGAGCTCCCAGCGGGCGACCGTTCTTGGTCACGAGGGCGGGGAGGCTCTCAGAGGGCTAACGGCTCCACCAATGCTAGCTTTCCCGTGTCATTTACGTTCTCTTTTTGGATTTCTCGCGAGCACCCTCAAAAAGACTCTCTCACTAAACGCCCATGGAATAACGTCATTGGCTCCCCAAGTAATTGTCTGCTTGGTCATTGGCTGTATTTCGCCTCGTCGCTCGAAATGCGGCGGAATATGCACAGCCACAGCCCGGAGCATGTGATCAAGAGATACACTCAGGAGTCAGCGCACGCGGACGAACAATGACGACTGAACAAGGATCAGCATGCTCTCAACTACGGCAGGAAGCGACCAGAGTGTAGGCTGAAGCTATGCGCAACGTCGCGAAGACTACGTGTACAGCTTCAAGCTATCAGAAGACCCAGCCCAAGCGCATCTCTCGTGTGCATACATCTCTGGTCTTGTTTCTATCCGCCGCGACATGAACAAGTCAGATATGGCCCATGTGGCCAACGTTCACGCACTAATTTATCATCGAAACATACTTCACACCGCTGGAACAGCCACAGCAGCCACATCCGCTTAAAGTTGACCTCTCATACCAGCCACTCATACAAAATGGTATTCACCGGTCGATGTTGGTTGCATCACCTGAGCCTGGCACTGCTGCTGATGGGCAACGCAGGAGCTCAGTCTGCGTGCATGTGTGTATACCTCCTTCATGACCGTCCATATGCACATCTCTTTGCAAGTCATGTACCTTGTATCCTCACCGCGTCTTCAACATTACATCTTCTTCAGTAAACCCGTTCTCTTGTGGTGGGAATCGATTCTATTTAATTTCCAAAGCGTCACTTTTTCCATTTCGTGATACCTAGGGCTAAAGCGTCATATTTCATAGTTTCATAACACAAAGTCTCCTCACAGCCAGATACGCTCCAAACACTGCAAACGCTTAGATGAGCTGCTGGAACGCACGGTCCAGAGGAGAGCGGAGAGGCTTGACGTCCTTGTACCAGTCGATGGTGAGCTTGGCGCGCTTGGCAATGCCCTCTGGGGTGAATTCGAACTTCTGTAAAATTATTAGCCATCGATGTTCGTGCGTTGTGAGTATGAGTTCTGCTTACCGCATAGACCTCCTTGTATGGGCCGGAGGCACCGAATCGGTTGAGACCGAATTGCTCGTGCGAGTACTTCTCCCATCCGAGTGTGGACATGACCTCAACAGACAAGGCGGGAATGCCGCCTGGGATGGTCTTGAGCTGGTACTCCTTGGGCTGTGCGTCGAAGACCTCTGTGCAAGGCATCGAGACGACACGGGCGACAATACCCTGCTCCTTGAGGGTCTTGACGGCGTCCAAGCAGAGGGAGACCTCGGATCCAGTGGAGACGAGGGTGATCTGCGCACCCTCGTTCTCAAGGACCGTGTATCCACCCTTGATACCGTTCTCCAGAGTTGAGCCCTCAAGCTGGGGCAGGTTCTGGCGGGTAAGTGCAAGGATGGATGGGGTGCCCTTGGAGGTGAGCGCCATGTAGTATGCGGCCGAGGTCTCGTTACCGTCAGCCGGGCGCCAGACCATCATGTTGGGCAGAGCACGGAAGTGAGCAAGAGTCTCGATAGGCTGATGGGTCGGGCCATCCTCGCCAAGACCGATGGAGTCGTGGGTTGCGACGTAGAGGACGCGCTGGTGTGAGAGGGAAGACAGACGGACGGCACCGGCAGCATATGAGACGAAGTTGAGGAAAGTTCCTCCGGCAGGGATGATGGTACCGTACGCAGACATGCCGTTCATGACAGCGGCCATGGCGTGCTCACGGACACCGTACCTGATGTAACGACCGGCCCACTCTCCAATACCAAGATCCGGAGGCTGGAAGTCGACGGCCTTCTTCCACCGAGTGTTGTTGGAGCCAGTCAAATCTGCGGATCCGGAGACGAGCTCAGGGACGACGTTGTAGATGGCCTCAAGAACGCTCTCGGACAGCTTTCTTGATGCAATAGCGGAGTCACTGGGCTTGTAGGTGGGGAGAGACTTCTCCCAGCCTTCGGGCAGGTCGCGGGTCAATCGGCGTGCGAGGTCCTTGTGCAGGTCACCGTGCTCCTGGCCGTACTTCTGGAACAGCTTGTTCCACTCCTCCTCAGCAGCAGCGCCCTCGGCGGCGTGCTTGTGGTACATGTCGTAAACCTCCTGGGGAACGACGAACATCTTCTCGGGGTCAAAGCCGAACTGCTTCTTAACCTGCTTCATGTCGTCCTCCTTGAGGGGGTTTCCGTGGACACCTCCAGTACCCTGGAGCTTGGAACCGAAACCAATGGTGGTGGTGAGCTTGATGACGGAGGGCTTGTCGGTGACCTTCTTGGCCTCGGCGATAGCCTTCTCAATGCCCTCGAGGTCAGAGTCACCGTCCGCGACGTGCTGAGTGTGCCATCCGTAGGACTCGAATCGCTTGAGGACGTCCTCAGTGAAGGCGCACTTGGTGTCACCGTCTGCAATAGAGTCAGTATGCGAATTTTACGCCCCAAATTCTCCTTTACTCACCAATGGAGATGTGGTTGTCATCGTAGATGGCAATGAGGTTTCCGAGCTTCAAGTGACCAGCCATTGAGGCAGCCTCGCTGGCAATACCCTCCATAGCGCAGCCATCGCCGAAGAACATGTATGTGTGGTTGTTGATCAGCTCGAAGCCGGGCTTGTTGAAGACGGCACCAGTGTGTGCCTGGGCCATGGCCAGACCGACGGCATTGGCGAAACCCTGGCCGAGAGGGCCGGTGGTGACCTCGATACCGGGGGTGTCATGTGCCTCGGGGTGACCGGGTGTGATGGAGTCGACTTGCTGTAGTGTTGTCAGTAACAAATCACAATCGTCAATTTTCAGTGCACTTACACGGAAGTTCTTCAGGTCGTCGATAGAGACCTTGTAGCCGAAAAGGTGGATCAGAGCATACTGGAGCATGCATCCGTGGCCGTTTCTGCGAGCTTGTCAGCACGTCCATTCTCAGTACTCAAAAGTCCTTATCTCGTTGAGATCAAGCGCCGGAGCAGCGCGGAGATGCAGCGAAAACCACCACTCAGAAATGCATAGCTCTGGCGTCTCGCAAACGTTGGAAAATCAAGCTCAACAAGCTCCGCAACACCGGAAATGCTGGAAGCTTGCCAGAGCCCGCGCTCCGCTATCGGCCACCACTCAATGGCAAAACTCCATGAAGCTGAAAAGTCTCGAAAACTGGAGAGAAATACGTACGATAGAACGAAGCGGTCGCGGTTAACCCAGTCAGGGTTCTTGGGGTTGAAAGTCATGAACTTGTTGAACAAGACGTGAGCCACCGGGGCCATGCCCATAGGGGCACCCGGGTGACCTGAGTTGGCCTGAAATGTGGCATCGACCTGTTTTTACACATAATCAGCAATTGCCCTAGCACAGCGCGTCGTCATGTTGAGAAAAAAAGATTGCTGCGACGGCGGGGTAGCTTCATGGTGGGGCAGCGTTGACGACGATGGGGACAGGAAGATGGGCAGACGTACCGCGAGGGTGCGGATGGTGTTGATGGCGAGCTCGTCGACCTTTCCGTACGGCATGATGGGCAGTATGTAAGAAGGGAGGATGAGTGAAAGAGAGAGCGCAGAAGTTGGCGCGGGATCGGGGCGTTGTTATGTAGAAGGTGGAGTTTCCGCGCCTACTATGACATGGATGGCCCGCAGTGGTGGGGTTCCCATTGCCACAAAGTCAAAGCCCGATGGATTAACATACGTCAAATCAAAGCCGCTGCTACTGCACCCGTTTCATGAAATAAGCAACTTTGATGCGCCTGACTTTGAGATTTTCTCTGCAGCTTTGCAATGGGTCTTCAGTCGTCTTACCAACTCTCATGCTCTGGAACTGCGATTGCTTCTTCAATCGGCCATGTCAGAGCAAACGCCGAACATAGGCGCGGTCAACTTCGCCCATTCCATTTGCGAGTCAGAGCTCGTGCCATCATCGCGACATATCTCACTCGAGCCTGATGTGAAAAACGCCAGAGGTGAAATTCTTCCGCCGGCTTCTTGATTGCGCGCGGCCGGCGCGGAGATGTGTGTACAATGAGGCTCAAGTCGTGGATAACAGTCTCGAGTACAGCCGGGCATTTACCCTATTCTCCGAGGACATGGTAGTGTCAAGTGTACAACATTTTAGTATCGCGGCACCGTGGGATGGGTTGGCTAGGCAATTCGCTCAACAACTTGAATACGGTCGGCCTGTTTTTGTTTATAATTGCGCCGAGCATTACATAGCACATACGACAGACAGGAATATTCTTCATGATAACGTACTTCAATTTCATACTGTACAAGTGAGCGCCGTGGGTATCTCGTCGTGCGCTAACAACCTAAGGGGAAAAGACAGTCTCGTCCGTCGTGTAGCGCTGAACAAACATGACAAAAGAAAAGCGGCGTCTATACATGCCAGTCCAGTCCAATCCAGTATTACAAAAGTACCTCAAAAGAAATAGTAAAAAGTCGAAGAGAATCATCACCGTCCGCCCCACCCCACACTAATAAACAAATCATCTCCCTTCTTTGTCGGCGTCAGTTTCGGAATCCAAACCGGGCTCCTCAACCCCTCCGCATCATGATCAACGTCTCTACCAACGTTAATCTCCCTCATCTCATCTCTCTTGCGCCGCACGTTGAGCGGCCGGATCACCACGGGCTCTTCGTACATGTTCGGGCTGGCGACGCTTTGCGTGCGGCTCTTACGATCGATCTTGGAGCGCGGCGTCGTGGACCATGATTCCGTGCTGTTGCTGCGCACATGTGTGCGCGTGCGGGCACGGGGTGGGGATGTAAAGGGGTCTTTGAGGGGAGGACGGGGAAGCATGGCGACGTCCTTGGGCGCGTTGAGTTTGAGGGGTACACGCGTTTCGAGGAGGAGTGGCGCGAGGTCTTTGTGGCGGTTGTGTAGAAGGTGGGAGGTTGAAGGCGGGCTGGGTTGGTTACGACGCGGTGCTAGGTGAGTTCGTGAGGTATTGAAGCTGTGCACGTGTTGGGGGCTGCATGGGCTGCGGGGCACGAGTTGGTTCGATGCGCGTGGGACTTTTGGGTAGCGGAGTTTGGAGATGGGGGATTCTGCGACGGGGGAGAGTTTGGCGTCGTCCGAGAGTTGCTTGTCGTCGTCGTCGTCGTCTGGTGTTGGGTCACTTGGGTCTGCAGTCTCGAATGAGGTCTGTGACGAGCCCGAATCTCGGAAGTTTGTCGATGCGCGAGATGCAGTGCGGGAGACTGTACTGCCAGATCGCTTCGTTCTCATGTTCACACTTTTCGGTGAGTCCCTGGCACGTACTGCATACCCTGGTACCGGTAACGGTTTAGTGTTCTGGTGCGTTGAGAAGTAGTAGTCGTCAATGTCGGAGCTACCAGGCGTTTTTTGTGGTGAAGCGGAGGCCTTCATTTGACTTGGAGGCGCTGCCCAATTTGGCCGACCTGGAAGTTGCTGCGGCGATCCTGTTGATGGCATCTGGGCCGCGATGATCCTCCTGGGTTGGGGCCTCTCGTGGCGGACGGGTATTTCTAAGAACAGCTCGGAACGCCGTGTAGATTTGTGGTGAGCGTTCTTTGATGTACCAGAGGATCCAACTGCAGTATCAAAAGTCGCTGCTCGTTTAGATGGCTGGAGGCTACGAATCGGCGCAACCGGAACAGGTGGGGTGGGGAGTAACGCAGATGACCTACGGCGTGCTGTGGTCTCGTCTTCTTCAAATACAGTATCTTGTGTCATAGTACTGACGGGTCTGAAGGGAACGCTGAGCTGAGACTGTTTCGGTCTGCCGCGTTCCAATTGCGAAGGGGCTTGTGTCGTAATCTGAGGAACTGCAGAGGTTCCGTCTAGCTCGGCACTAATGGCAACACCAATCTGACTGAGAGGTAACGAAGAGTCGGAAGCGCTGTTGGCGGTGCCAACGCCATTGCGTTGGACAGGGCGAGTTGGGCGCAGAGTCGCTTCGTGGTCCCTGACTCTGTTCGCATTCAACTTGACATGCTTGCCTCCTTTACGAGCAGCCGGAGGAATTGCCATTGTGAATCTGCTTGACGGTACTTTGGTGCTTCCCGCAGCGACAAAGTTCGAGAATCGTGAAGTAAGCTGGCTCGAGTTGGTGCTGGAACCCTTCTCATCAGAATCGAAAGCGTTCTTACGCTCCCTTTTCCTGCGTAAGCATACGCTCAAGGCCATGAGTCCTACAGCAATAACGAATGCGGCAACCGCAGCTACAGATAGTCCAGCGATCTGAGCTGGAGTCATCTTTGGCGGTGGGTCTACGGCGGCCGGTACAGCGACGAACGTAGACGTGGACGACGATGTTGCAGACGGCGTAGAGGAGATTGAGTCAATGACGATGGATCGAGTCGAAGTGCCTGTAGTTCGCAGGGTGGTTGTGGGTGTGGGTACGGCGATCGATTTAGATAGTATCGTTGAAGTTGTCCGAGGGGCACTGCTTGCGACCACAGTAAGAACACTTTTGGTTGGCATAACCGCATCTTGTTGTCCGAGACATACGTTGTATGCCGAAGCTGCTCCTTGGTCGACCATGGAGCAGCCTGTATACACACAGCCTAGAGCCACTTCACCGAGTGACTCTCCATTATTACTATAACGAGAACAGAGACACTGAATATTTTCTTGACCAGAACATGCTACAGGGAACTTCTCGGCCAGCGAGGCCTGTACGCATGTCTGTGCACATGAAGGGACAGCCTGCTGAAGTACAGACGGAAGAGATGTTGATTTGGGAACGACAGTGGCCAGCGGAGAAGCTGCAATTAGGGTAGCAGAGGTAATGCATAGCCTTTTGAAATGGCTTAAAAGCATAGTTGTACAAAATCTGGGAGACCATAAGCTTCATCGTGCGGTGTAGTGCAGCTAGGTTCTACTCACTAGGAGATCTAGACATGAGGAAATTGTGACTAGTAGAAAAAGGCCGTCCAGCAGCAAAAGCGAACAAGGAAATTGAAGGAGATAACTCAAGGAAAATCGTAACGCATGCTCTGTCTCAAGAAGTCTTGTTAACGCATCAGAGGGAGTTTGGTGGGGGATGGTAGGCTGTCAATATGTATCAGTAACCTCTACACGCGCCGGGCCAAAGTTGTGCCTGGGCAACCGCTGCGGCGTCATAGTAGTGGCTTTACGGGATCTTCTGCATCCTTGGTAAGCGCTCGGAACAATTGAGAGCAGCGATTGATCGAAATGTTGGTGGTCGCAGCATGTCGTGATGCAGTGCTGCTATTTTGGGCGCCTCTATTTTGCGCCTTACCGAATCAGTCTGCGTAAGCGCCCAGCTCAACGCTGTACTTATATGGCAGCCTATGAATGGTTACTCGTCTCCTACTCTTCGCGCAGAGTATAGAAGCGAGCCTTGGCCTACGTTCATACAGCGTTAAACATTCGTGCGCTACCAGCCACTAGCAACATACAAAATGATGCTCCACGAGATTTGTTCAGTAGAAAACGCTGGCGTCTGCTCTGTTAGTCGCAATGGCTGCAGCCTGCCTTCATTGAACATTCAAGGAACAAGTCCCTGCCCAGTACTTTTTTTCTGGCCGCAATATGGATTGCGGTAAGATTCGTGGGGCCGTAACATAGAGAGTGCGAAATAGATGTTGGAGATTTGAAAATACAATGAGGAGTGGTAACAGTTTGAAGTTGGCTATTTTCGCGGGCAGTTCACCTACGGCGGACACTAAGATATTTCGTCGCTCTTCGGTTCGGAGTGTCAACCAGAGCTGCGGCGGAAAGTGAAGCACTGGCATCCGGTCCTCGCATGCGGACTGTTCGTCTCCATTTCCTGTGGTACATGTATACCCAAGAGCTCACGGATACAAACAGGTCGAAAGGACTGAGTCTTGAGAACTGGGTCCTGTCGTGGGTACCATGTCCACATGGGACATGACAGGCCAGCACAGATGCAGTGTTGTTGGCGACAGTATCGCAAAAGGGACCTGTGTCCGGGAGGCGCCGTTCCGATTCGGGGAAAGACTTCGGTGCTGAGTGGTGCAGGCACAGTCTGACTTACGGGAGTCTGCTGCTAAAAGTACACCTGTGACGTGGTCCATAGCCAAATTTCTGGGTGCATTTGAGGAGAGCATGGGTTCGGCAACATGTATTTGGCGTGCATAGCTCATGCGTTGTCCATTCTGGCGGCGCCCCTTTCTACCCACATTCACGTCAAGTCAGTGCTTCCACGTGTGTTCCACTGAACGGCAATCCCTGACAGATGCCGCGTACTGGGAACAGGAACGAAATAAAGCTGGAGATTAGTGTTGACGCTAACGGCGACGATGCGCACCGCAGAGTCAGGTACGTTTGTTTGTCCCTGAACTTAGTGAGGGTCTAATGCAGCCTTCTTCACTAATGATACGCAGAGGTGATCGCGCATTCGCGACGCATCGACGAAGCTACAAGGTCGTCATTTTGATGACAATCGAACAGGACGCAGATGCTCACAATTTGACATCTGCGCAGTGACAAGACGTTGAGTCGCTGGCCGCCCGCCAATTGAGTTGGGAAAGAGAGGCGAGCACAAGCAGAGGATTTAGCCTCGGAGGCGTCTCGATTGGACAGATGGCGCGATAGAAAATGAAGACGCGCAGTTTGGCGAGTATCGGATCGGTCTAGCGTCTATGCGGGTCGCCACCGTGATTGGTCGGGATACGTGAACGATGGCCGATGAAGCGATCAAGTCGCGATGCATTGAAGGTTCCGAAACCTTACGTCAGGTGGCCACAAGAACATGTCGACCAACGTCGAACAGCAGCAGACGTGTTTGAGCGGCGGACTGTGGATTGTCAATGTCAGACACGAGGGCGTGACTGCGATGATTGCGTGCACAGAATCGTTTCAAAGTCGCTGGGGGCCGTCCGCTGTGGGCCCGGCGCAAGGCGTCTCATTCGCCTAGTGTAATTAAGGTTCCTTAATGCTTCTAGAATGATTGCGAACCAGTCTCAGGCGGGACGGGAAGCGCATCTGGCGGTGTTGGACAGCGAGACCATGTCGAACAGGTGCAACTGCTTTCGGGGCGACGGCTGGGCCTGTGTGGTGCTCGAGTCTGTCGTGCTAGGAGGAGACGGACGAGCAAGCGGACCCTAGCGTGCAGGTGAAAGTGAGCAGCGAGCTGTAAGCCGTCGTCACGTGCAGGCCTGTGTGAACTGCGTCAGGCCAGCAGCAAGCCGTGCAGGGGAGCGTTCGCAGCGTGTCAAGGCAGGAGTCAACCGCGGCGAGTGATTTGTGAATTACAGGGCGCGGTCAGTCTGTCGCAGCGAACAGACAAGTGTCGGAAGGGTGGACGTGATGGTGCTACACGAGTGCACGGACGAGCCCCGAAGCTAATTCCCATGAAAGCGATGAGGGCGATGCTTTGGGTCAAGCGTCGTTCTCCTTTCGCAGCCATTCCAAAAGCCTCTTTTTGCCTGAGTCTCCGTTCTGCCTCTGCATTTCGCATCCACAACCAGCCTCTGCCGGCTTCAAACACTCAATCGCTGCTGTGCAACCTGACCTGCACTGCGTCCTTTCTTTGGTTGTGTTGTTGAGCATCTGCAAGTGACAGCCCCAGCCGCCTTCTCCACCCCCGACCGGCCTTGCAGCGTCCCTGAGACCCGTCCAAGCGAAGCGAGCCTCGCCGTCACTCGCCAGCCAGCCATCCCTTCACCCTCCACCACCACCACCCACCGACACATCCCTTCGCCGCAGCATCCTGCCACAGTGGTCGTCGTCGACGAAGAGCAGGTATTGTAACAGCAGGTGAGCCTCCTCCATGTCCTCGGTTGCGCCTTCCTTGTCGACAGTCGCACCTTCCTCACGTCCCCTGACAGCCAAGCATCCTTGACTTGTCTGGGCGACCAAGCACCTTCCTGGCTCGCCGTTTTCTCCCCGAAACCAAACCAACACCCGTCTGCACCTGACCGCGTCCCTTCGCACTGCATTGAGTTCGTTGTTGACTCGCCTCTCCAGATTTCCGCATTGGCCGGCCGCGACGGAATATATCTACGCACCTTTACACCTTATTAATCACACGGGACTCCGTCCACACTCGCCATCATGGGTTGCGGTATGAGCACAGAGGAGAAGGAGGGCAAGCAGCGAAATGAGGAGATTGAGAACCAGCTCAAGCGCGACAAGATGATGCAGCGCAATGAGATCAAGATGCTCCTGCTCGGTCAGTCACCTCGCCACTCGCATCCAGACGCGACATGCTAATACGCTGCAGGTGCCGGTGAATCTGGCAAGTCGACAATTCTCAAGCAGATGAAGCTCATCCACGAGGGCGGCTACTCGCGCGACGAGCGCGAGTCGTTCAAGGAGATCATCTTCAGCAACACGGTCCAGTCGATGCGCGTCATCCTCGAGGCCATGGAGTCGCTTGAGCTGCCCCTCGACGACCAGCGCGCCGAGTACCACGTCCAAACGATTTTCATGCAACCCGCACAGATCGAGGGCGACAGTCTGCCTCCGGAGGTCGGTAATGCCATCTCCGTGCTCTGGAAGGATGCCGGTGTGCAGCAGTGCTTCCAGCGCTCGCGCGAGTACCAGCTCAACGACTCGGCGAAATAGTGAGCCCTACACGACACAGATTTTGGATGACTTATATGCTGACAAACCTAGCTACTTCGACTCAATCGACCGCATTGCCGCCCCCGACTACATCCCCAATGACCAGGACGTCCTCCGATCGCGTGTCAAGACCACCGGTATCACCGAGACCACCTTCATCATCGGCGACCTCACATACCGCATGTTCGACGTCGGTGGTCAGCGTTCAGAACGAAAGAAGTGGATACACTGCTTCGAGAATGTCACAACCATCCTTTTCTTGGTCGCCATTTCCGAGTACGACCAGCTTCTGTTCGAGGACGAGACCGTCAACCGTATGCAGGAGGCCCTTACACTGTTCGACTCCATCTGCAACTCGAGATGGTTCGTCAAGACATCCATCATCCTGTTCTTGAACAAGATCGATCGTTTCAAGGAGAAGCTGCCCGTCAGCCCGATGAAGAACTATTTCCCCGACTACGAGGGTGGCCCAGATTACGCTGCGGCCTGCGACTACATTTTGAACCGATTTGTCTCGCTCAACCAGCACGAGACAAAGCAGATCTACACGCATTTCACCTGCGCCACCGACACCATGCAGATTCGATTCGTCATGGCAGCAGTAAACGGTATGTATTTCCAGATCCGGCTTCTTCTAAACACAGCTAACGCATTGCAGACATCATCATCCAGGAGAACTTGCGGTTATGCGGTCTGATATAATGAGAAGAGCTGCGAAGAAAATCGAACATTTCCACTTGGATCTTGTATTGCATGTCTTTCACGACGGCTCGTATATGATGTCGTCTATCAGGCGTTGTGGGCCTATAGCTTCAGCTTTCTTCCGCCGAGTGGCTTGCCTCAGCCCGGGATCGCTTCTCCTTTGATTGATACCCTGCGGGCGGGCTAGGGGCCAATCTACACACGAAGCGTAACAGGAAAGCCCGTTTTACACATGAAGACGGAGCAGATGGAAGCAAAGTGTGCGAGACATAGGAGGATTCTTATAAACTGGTTCTCTTTTTTGGGGGGGTTCATGGCTATAGTTTTGAGCGGTCTCTCCCCGCGGAACAAGCCCTCTGTTTTTGCTTGTTCAGCAGATTTTTGTTTCTTTAATACCATTCCCTTCCAAACGTATCTATTTTCTCTCTCAATGCCCTCAATTTCCTTCGTTGCCGATTCTTTCTCGGTTTGGCACTTTTGCTTTCTCAACAACCACAACGTGTAACCTGAACCGAACCCTGATACAAAGTCTGCGATATGTAGTAAATGAATAGCCCTGATTATAACAAAGCCAAGTCGAAAACAATGGCAAAGGTCGGTAAGTGCAGATGCATGCGATATCTCAATCGCAACCGTCCGGCTTCCCGACCCAGGGCTGCGGGACGTACCCACCACCAACAAATACGCAAGGGGAGAAGTTAGCTCGTGTGCTGCAAACGACATATCCCCCAACCTCTTTTCGGACGGCTCGCTTGCGTATGTCGGGGCTTATGCGAAGATTACTGAGCATCGTGCATATTGTTCGCCGCTGTCCTCGTAGGACGGACATACGTGCAACTCTGTACAAACAGTATTGTTTGGTCTTCGATGACGGGAGTCTGTGTTTAAGCCGAACATTCCGCCGTGTTCGAGGCGGGTCCTGTTGAGGCTTGATTATCAGGGCGTGGCTTGGCGGAGGATTGGGGTTTGTGTTCGCTCGGGTGCGTTTAAGCGAGGAGGGAGGGTGGCACAGGTGCGATCGGGTGTGAGATATATATAGCTTGTGTAAGACTCGATTTGGGGGAGGGTGGTGGGGTTTTGGAGGGGCTGGGTGAGGGTGGGGAGATGGTTTTGGAACGGGGTTGAGGAATGGGGGAATGGGGAGGGACTGGTATGTTTTGTACGGAGGTAGAGATGTTTTCATAGTTTGTGGATTTTGTGATTTGGCTTGTTGGTGCAAGTCAAATTTGTGGCTGCGAAAGGTGCCAGCAGTCCACTGTAGAATGTTTTATGATCCTGGTTTTGCGAGGAGAAATTCAGTATATAATATCAACCGAGTAGGAAAGTTTTTCTTTCCATCTTGTTCGCCCAATGCAGAGGGTGTTGACTATCTTTACGAAAAGTCGGTGGCTTCCATGTCCACAGCTTATTCTGCTTCGTTCTGAACTGCTTCCTATGTAACTGCTTCTTGTGTAACCGCAGCTTAGATGGGATGACAACCATCTCCTCGCTCCATTCATTGTGACATCCTATACGCTGGTCCCCAAATGACCTGAGAACAAGCAAAGAAGGTATTTGTATCATGTGCTGTCGAGTATCCCAAGCGAGCTCTGGTGTGAGAACTACACAAAGCAACGAGCCACATTTTTCGGGCTCCATCTTGGCGCGATTTACAGCTCATGGGTTTTGGACCACGGGACTATATGCTAGAATCCGTCATGTACGTCGTGATCTGAGACATTCCATGTGATAAACTCTAGTCCAAATTCCACTGCAATTGCGTTCATCTTCAGTAATGGTGACATTTTCGCCGTAATGCTATAGAACTGCTCGGTGGTGGTCTTGAGCAGTGACTCTAGTGGGTGCCATTGGTTGTTTTCAGAGACTTCAATCATGCCCTCATACGAATCCGGTTTCTGTCCAAAATGCTTTGATTCAACGGCTCCTTTCCAACCCAGAAAAGACCAACTGGTGAACTCCAACCGTCGAACCGCAGGACTCACATGGGCCCACAGAAGACTCGGGTACACGCAGGACGGTCGAAGGGGGCGTGTGCAGAAAGGTATCCCGAAGATATGTCTGAAGTCCGGATTGTGCTTTTCGAACATGCCCCAGATACCAGTGATAGCGTCTAAGGCATCCTTTTCGAAACTGAGATAGCGTGTCGAGTGTTGTTCAATGATGGCATGGGATTCCCCAGGGTCCCACCTGATGGGTGAAACCCAAGCATGAACATTGCCTCTAAGTTGGTGGAGACCGACAGAGTCAAGTAATCCTCGGGCCTCGTGACTAGCCTTATCATTTTGACCAACACATACCACCTGGGTGTCAGTGAAAAAAAGAAGTCGTTTCGACATGACGCCTTCCTGGAGCGTCCATCCTCAGGTCGCCCATATTGAGTCCGCGATTAAGTGAGAGCTCGTCGTTACCAGTAGAGAAATCTCAAAGGACCCAATCTTCATTGCCTTGCAAAACGGGCGTTGAACGCTCACACCAGGGAGACCATGGGTTTGATCCTTTCCAGCACAGGCGACAAGGGTTGCACTTGCTGTACCTGGGTTGCCATATCGGATGGATCATCCTGGTCAATACACTACACAGAGTGTTAACAGCAACTTGAAAGGCATGCCTAGAACACGCAAGCCGGCCAATCCAAAGGAATCTGTATCCCAGCATTTGTGTAGCCTTGAGACTGTCAGTATTAAGAGGTAGCTCGTTTGGCAACTCAGAAGATGCAAAATGTTTGTACGAGGCGGATGAACCCCATACGTAGGACAATGCAATATAGTCGCAGTTCTGAGGGGCAAGCTTAACATTTCGCTCATAGACGTCAATGACCCAGAATCGCTTGAGGGATCCTTGTGGCTGGGGGCTGCACGATAGGTGCTCCGCGTCACAGTTCGAGAGCCATCTCTGGATCACCCGGTAGTATGTGTTGGGCTGTCGCTGCTTGATATTATGCTCTTCAACTTCGTCCTCGTTGCATGTCACGACCTCCAGCTTGTCTTCTGCGAACCGACGTGAGTTGACATCGAAGATCGCCAGGGTCCCAATAACGTGAGGATACGCGATATGCCGAGAAGAGTAAAACAGAAACATGTTGTCTCGATATGGAAGCCATCTCAACAATATTCTCACCCTTGACTGAAAACCGTGAGACGCCACGGCGAATCGAACGAGGCGGCATATCTTGCAGCATGACGCTTCCCACTCTTCCAGTGACTGATCAATATCCAGTATGTCCTTGCCATCTACCATACGGGTCAATTCTTGGGGTACCTTTGAGCAACGTCTGCACACAATATCGTATTCGACATTGGGATCCAGCGCAGTCGGAGACTGCGGATTCGCGAGTTCTTTCCTATGTTGACCGTCTAAGGCTGAAGTCAGATAGCTGATTGATGACGGTATCCACAAATCCCAAAAAGGATATTCGAGATGGTATTATGGTATGTGAAGCAAAAAGCCTAGAATACTTGTCCGGTGGTGTTGCACGTTTGCAGTGATAAAATCCTGCTGGTTCCGAAGTGAGCAACTGAACAAATTATTATATTGCTATTGGTACAATGTGCTCCGGACGTATGAGATAGGTGAGACAGCCTTAGTTCGTTTTCAATCCGGAGAATGCTCTAGGGTATTGAACTCTAAACTTGACACACGGAATTGCTATTCCATATACGTTGGAAGAAGATGCGCACTACGCCCTCATCGCCCTGTCTACGCGGCAGATCCTCGTCGCCCATGTGCTGACTGAGAGTCGATTAAACGCCTCCCAGCAATTTTTCAGATTGAAATTTCGTCTGGTGGCAAGACAAGTACTGTCGGCATGATATCTCCTGCGCTGCCATTCTATCTATACGCAAAACCCCGAACTGCTGCGCTTGTTGTTGGAGCTGGTGTTCGAGTATCAAGAAGCCGGGCTGTACAAGGTATATGGAGAATTCGCTATGCATGATATCGGCCGGCAGTATCCGACTACGGTGGGATATGATGAGGTAAATATAAGCTTGGATGAGGTGATACCGGTAGACGAGAGCGCGAATATGATAATACTCGCATATGCTTACTTTACCTTCACTTGAGATGTCGAATACCTATCTTCGCACCACAAAACACTGCGCCAATGGGACGAGTATCTCATCAACAATCTGCCGTTTACGAAGTTCCAGCAGAGTACCGGTTCGTCCACATACAACTCCGTTTGTTCATGTTATTAATTCGTCCCGGTGTAGACGACTTCAGCACCCGCCTAGCCAACAACACAACCCTCGCCTTAAACGGCATCCTCGCACTCTCCACCCTCTCTTCCACCGCGCAAACCCTCTACCTACCCACTAACGCATCCCTCTACTCCACCACTTCCACCTCCCGTACGCCACCTGGTCCACCCACGCCCTCCACCCCTTGGCACACACATAACCCTCACATACCACCACCGCACCTCCTATACACTTCTATGCAACATCCTCCCCGCGCTCCTCCTCAATTTTTCCATCATACCAAGCGGACTGTACACACTGCTGCAGTCGGCCTTCTACCCCACGGTGTCGCAGCTGTATGGCGTTCCGCTGGACAGCAGACAGGCGTGGGCGGAGAGCGATTGGGAAATGTGTGCGGCGGCGTGTAGTGAGCCGAGGACGAGGCGGTTGTTTGTGAACGCATTGGCGAGGTGGGTGAATGAGACGAGTACGGATATGGCGCTGATGGATCATTATATGACGACGGGGGATGGGGGGTGTACATCTTGTGCGTCTGTTGTGGGCAGGCAGTTTGCGCTGGATAAGGCGCAGAAGATGCAGGTTGGGGGTGGAGCATGAAGGTATCAGGGAAGGAATTGCGAAATGAGAACATTCATTTACTTTTGGAACACTGATACATTACAAAAGCGACATGCGATGAGTTTTGCCTTTTTATCCTGTAATCGTAATGTACACTGTCTGACGGTCCAACCCCCAGACCAAAAATGATACTACAACCACATCAACCCCCTATAATTCCCAAACCTATATTTAGAAAGAGATCTAGCCCATGACCATGCCCTTGAGGCCGGCCATGTCGCCCTCCTTGGCGGCAATCTCAAAGTATCCGTAGATGATGGTGACGGCCAGGAGAATACCAGTTCCGCTACCCAGAGCGCCGAGGAGATCGCTACCAACGGACAGAGCACCAATGCACGCACCACCGAAAGCGGCGGCAGTGGGGATGACGCGCTTGAGCTCCTTGTACATGGACTCCTCACGGTGACCAGCCATAACGAGACCTTGTTCCTTGAGCTGCTTGGCAACATCGCGGGGAGAGGAGCCGGAGACCTCGATCCAGGTCTTGGAGAAGACGGCGCAGGCGACGAGCATGTATACGACGAAGACAGCGGTCTTGAGAGGGTCGGAGAGCGCCTCGGTGATGCTGAGAGGGGGAGACCTGAATCTATTAGTAAGGGGTTTGTGGACATGTGGATCAAAACGTACATGTAGTAAGCGACACCGGAGGTAGCGAAGAGCTGAGCAGATCCCTCCTTGGGCTCCCAGACACCGAAAAGACGGACGAGGAGGTTGTCAGAGAAGCGGCTGTAGAGCATCTGGCTGATCAAGAAGACGTTGGAGGACAGGGCAGATTGCAGCATGATGGGCATGTTGGAGGTGTAGAACAGGCGGACGGGGTATGAGCCACGGACACCACGCTGGCGGGCAGACTTGACGGGGATCTCGACACGGAAGCCCTGGAGGTAGATGACAGCGCCGAACACGATGACGGTGGAGATCAGGTTCATGACGTTGGGCAGGTTCTGGCGGTAGAAAGCCTCCTTGAGAGCGACCGTCTTGTTGGGCCAGGTGAAGAGCAGGTGGACAAGGGCAATGATGGCACCCTCGAACTCGGGTCCACGACCAGTGTTAATGGTGGTGGGAGAGAAGGCCTTCCACATGATGGACTCGCAGATGTTGGTGGCAATGAAGAGCGAGATACCGCTGCCGAGACCGTAGCCTTTCTGGAGGAGCTCGTCAAGAAGGATGACAATCAAACCGGCGATCATAAGCTGGATAACGAGGAGAACGCAGATACCGGCGCCCAGGTCAGAGGGCTGGCCGTAGAGACCGGAGATGACATAGACGACAGACTGGCCGAACGAGATGAGGATGGCGAGAAGTTTCTGGGCGGTCTGGTAGAGCTCGCGGTCGGACTTCAGGTCGAGGTTGACGTCGATAAGGTGGGTGCCAGCGAGGAGCTGGAAGACCATGCCGGAGGAGATGATTGGGGTGATACCCAGCTCCATCAGGGTTCCTCTGTTACTCGCCATCATCATACGCAGCCAGTAGAGCGGATCCGAAGTATCAGACGACACAATGCCGTACAGAGGCATCTGGCTCATCACCAGGAAGACGAGCAGCGTGAGACCAGTCCATACCAGGCGGTTGTTGAAGGGGACCTTGCTTTCTGGCAGCGAGATCTCAGGGACGAGGGGCACAAAGGGCTTGACGAGGTCGAGGAACCGTACTGCGCGCATCGATATTAGCCATGTCTTCTGTCCTCTGTGTAGCCGCGTGCTGCGTGCGGCGTTCGCGACTGCTCGCTGCGGCGCAATTGCGGGCCGGGGAGCAACTTACGGCCGCTCATGATTGCGAACTATGGCCCAGAAGGACTTGGGAAACAAAGAGAAGTGAAGAGGAAGTGGTTGCGACTGAACCTGTTGATGGATGAGAGTGAGAGGGGGTTGAGCCTCGATCTCGCAACGTGTCGACGCCAAATTGTTCGTCCGTGCGTGCGCGCTAGCATGGCGGCGGAGAGCTTCATCCCTGAGCTGCCGTCCTGCTTGCTGCAGAACAGAGGCCACGTCTTGCTTTTGTCGTGCCTTTGGAAGCTTCGTGAACGTTTCATCGCCCTTCTCTCACTCGGCTACAGCATTGCGACAGCCATCATGACACATTGCAGCAATTGATGAGCGACAAGCGACAAGCGACAAGCTACAGCGGCTTCCTAGCTGTATAGCAAAAGAGGAGATGGAACACGCGCAGACTCTGTCTCACACTTGTCTTCAAACTTCTTCAGTGATGCGACTCAGCCTGACCATGGAAAGTCGAACGAAGACGTGCGCTTCATAGCTACCGATGGTACATGCACGTCATCCTGAGCTTCTTCAGCAGCCTCATCTGAGCTTCCTTCGGATGACCAACATCAATTTTCTACGGTCTTGTTAGAATGAAAGAGATGGACGCGTATCTTCCTCGACTTTCGATCGTCACTTTTCCGATGTCGATATTCCGAAGGGCGTCGTGATGTTTTGGTGGTTGCCTTGATCTAGTACGACCATTGAGGAACATCTCGCATCTGCTGCAGCTGTCTCTCGCAATGGCGCATTATCGTACGGCTAAATAGCAGCACTTGTATGACAGCTTGACAGGTAACAAAACCATCACTCGCGTGGATATCGCGACTCCAATGCGAACATATCACATTGGCCGATAGCCTGCTTTAAGCGAATGCGAACGGCTTGGCGCTTGACCACTTCTGGAGGACCGTCGTCGTCAGCAACTGTATCGAGAATGCGAATTTAGCTTGACTTGCGAATGCGCACAAATGAATGGCATGGCCGCCTTATCGTTCTGCAGGAGAGCAGGCTGAGTCCTCCGCTGTGAGCATACTTAACGTAACCTCCAAGCTGTTTAGCTTTGGAATTGCATACTTCACTTTCTTGAGCAAGATTTCAGCAACCTCATCAGATATTTGATAGTAGCACTTACGACATCTTAGTTTCACTGATCAAAGTACACTCCAACACTTGAAGATGGCCAACCCCCCAAGCTCTCCCGAGTTTGACTGGAAGATGTACCGCTATACGCCAACCCTCATCGGAGCTATCATAGCTCTCATTGTCTTCCTCATCATGACTCTGCTGCACCTGTGGCAATTTCTGAGACTCCGACAACGCATTGTGATCTTTGTGATTATTGGCGCCTTGTGTCCGTCTTCACTGAACCACTCCTACTACAGATCCCGAGACTAATCTACATCAGGCGAGGTCGCTGGCTATGGGGCTCGAATTAGCTCGCACTTCGATAACGAAGCATGGGGATCGTTCATTACACAAGGCGTGTTCCTCCTCGTCGGCCCTCTCTTCTTCGCAGCCACGATATACATGATGCTTGGCCGAACCATCAGACTCGCGGGAGGAGAAGACGTCTCGTTCATCAAGCCGATGTGGTACACGCGCATCTTCGTTACTGCAGACGTGACAACCTTGATCATCCAAGGATTAGGTGCGTAGATTTTATACAAATTGGGTTCGAAGTAAGCTAACAGAGTCCAGGATCCAGCATCATGGGAACCATGCAACTCAAGCTCGCACTTGCCGGCGAGAAGATTGTTATCGCCGGTCTAGCTCTACAAGTCGCTACCTTCATCGTTTTCCTCGTCGCATCGATTGACTTCCACATCCGCATGAATCGCAAGACGCGCGGCTCCGCCAGTACAGATCCTAACATAGACTGGAAGAAGATGCTCTGGATTCTCTACAGCGTCAGCGCAATCATCTTGTTCCGATGCACATTCCGTCTCATTGAGTACGCGATGGGCAACGCGGCCTATCTCATCGCCCACGAGTGGACGCTCTATGCTTTTGACTCGGTGCCAATGTTCTTGGTGCTGGTGCTGTTGTTGGTGCTGCAGCCTTCGAAGTACGTGTCTGATCAGACTAAAAAGGTAGAGGAATCGAGGGGTAGCGAAGATGGCATTGCGCGAAATGCTTGACACTGCGTCGTATCATAAGGCTCGCAGCAGTGTCAGAGCTTATATCACATGATTTACTCGCTCAGTGCTTCACCATGCCTACCGTGCTTCAGAAGTATAGTGCCAGAGCTCGCTGCATTTTCCAGCGAAGTTGAGGGTGAGATGACGTAATGATTTCCTCGGGGCATCTCCATAATCGTGGTCACAGGATGCCAAGACGTCAACGGCGTGTTTATATGGCCGCATTGGTGGCCTTATCACGTGCGCACAACGTTAACGCGACTGACGACCATGAAGTCTGACAATACCCAAGTAAGCTCTTCGTCAAGTCAGTCGACATGGTGCGCCGAAGTCCTGGCTTCATAAGTAAGAAGCCTCATCGCAAGTCGAGAGGCGGATGCCTAACATGCAAGCGCAAGAAAGTGAAGGTACGCCACCACCAGATCACAAGCATGAATATGCAGTAACATGACTCAAGTGCGATGAAGCGCAGCCTGCCTGTGGATACTGTGCATTGAGACGACTGGACTGCGACTATCCCACTCCATATCCATCTCCACCAACCAGCAGCCCTTCTACTACTCACTCATCATCGCCTCCAACCCAAGAAATCGACTTCAACACAAACTTCCAGATCCTGCGCCACTTCCAACCCTCCATAATCACCGCGTCTGGCCCCCTCTCCCCCCTCGAACTCTCCCTCCTCCACCACTACCAAACAACAACATGGAAAACCTTCGTCGTCCGCGGCAACACAAATACGCACGCCATCCATCACACCCTCGTGCCTAAAATGAGCATCGCCCACCCACACCTACTCTACGCCATCCTGTCAATCTCCGCATCCCACCTCGCCGCCCTGCAACCGGCCTCCCACCTAACATCCACGGCCCTCCTATACCGCCAAAAAACCTACCAAACCTACGTGAAAGAACTCGCAGCCATCACGCCCGACAGCTACGAGGCGATTGTCACGACTGCATATTTTCTACTCACGCTCATCCCGCGTCCAGGTCCTGACACGCCCGACGAAGAGTGTCTGGAGTTCATGATGACGCTGCTTAAACTCAGCGAGGGGCTGCGCATACTCGTGACGCTGCGCTGGTCCCAAGGGATCGAGAAACTCGCGGTATATCCCTTGATATGTCGAGAATTGCGAAGTTTGCCGCCGGCGCCGGTTGTTGTGACGGAGGTGCAGGTGAGGCCCGGACCCGTGGGAAGTACGCCTGCGCATCCGAATCCCGCGGCGACGTACGACGAGTACGTACTGCCATTTGCAGCATCGGTCTTCTTGCCTCCACCGTTACTCGGGCTGTTGGAGAGTATTGTGAAGCCGGCGGATGGGGTGTTGGACGTTGATGCTAACACACTTATTCCCGTATTCCACGTACTCTCGCCGGTGTTTTTGTCGTTGTATTATTACCACCTGAACCCGGATTTCAACGTGCGGATAGTTGTCTTCACGTCGTTTCTCATGCCGGATTTCTTGGCGCTGGTTAAGGCGAGGGAGCCGAGGGCGTTGGTGCTGATGGCGTGGTTCTTTGTGATGTCGGATATGGTCCCGAATGGGTGGTGGGTGGGGAACAAGGTGGGCGTGGTGGCGCAGGCGTTGAGTAGGACGGTTAGGAAAGTTGGAAGTGAGAAGGTTATTGAAGCGTTGGAGGGAGCGGAGAGGGTTATTGATGTTCATCAGAGGGAGGGAAGGGAGAGGGCTGCGGAGAGTGTGTTTGATGGCTGGGAAGGTGTGAATTGGGATGAGGGGCCGAGGAGGGCGAGAGAGTGGGAAAAAGGGCTGGCGAATTTGACCAAGGGTTTTGATCTCTGCAAT